TTAAAATTTATATGTGCGGTTGTTTATTTAGTAAATTAAATGTTATCCATTATGCCCATATCTTCTTACTAAACTCGTGGTAGTTGTTCATCACTAGTTAACTATAAACAATGTAACACGTTCTCCTGGCTACAAGGGCGGGAGAGCGGAAGACGGTGACCGGATAAAACCCCAACGGACAAAACCCCAGTCTCATATATAAAATATAAAATAAAACACTTTTATGTTTAGGTTAGGTTAGATTAGTATTGATAAATGACAACCCCGTTGGGGTTTTGTCCGTTGGGGTTTTGTCATGGAACCGCGGAAGACAACACCGCATAGCTCACCCGCTCAACACCTCTGAGACCTATCAGCTACACGATCTGCCCCTATGCCACCTTCAGGTATACCATCGTTAACTTGTAATACAAATATGAATAATCTCCAATGTTGTGTTTCTTCTAAATGTTTTGGGTAATTATTGACACACCCGTTGCCGAATGTTCATATAAAATGAATTTAAAAACCTGCAATTTCACAACGAATTGCAGTGGACTTGGGTGTAGTTTTATTTGGGCAAATGTGTTAAAATGGGTTATTTTTAAATGAAACCTAACCTAACCTTAGTCGATAAGAAACACAAGTTCTCCCGGCATATTAAACAGAAAGAACTTACTTTGATTTTGTGTAATCTTATGTTTTTCGGACATGAAAGTGCGCTGGGACTGAAGGGCAGGTTGTTGTACTGAGACACTTCGAGCCGCCATACAGTTTCACCGCCGATTAGACGAAGTATTGAGAGACTTGGGGCCTAATTATCTACTCAACGAAGCATTTACCCAAGAAATAAATATCATATTACCACAACGATGAAAATATAATAAGAAAAATCCATCAAAAAATGTATGCTGTTTTTTTTGTGATAACAATAACATACTGTACCTTGAATCTGCATCCCTCCTGTACTGTATAAGCATTCACTAAGGCTTCCTCCTGTAAGGATTTCTTTCATCTTCCGTTAATTATCAGTTCCTACTTGTCTTCTCTCGTTAGGTTTAATTTTTCCTTCAACTGGTCTTCTCGTTGGCACTTCTCTTTCAGACTTTTTGTGGGAAGTTCAGAGGGAACCTTCAAGTAAGGTCTGTCTCTACACGCAATGATTTATCGGGACTGTCTGGAACCCTGTCCCCAGCCCACCACCTACGGCTTGTTTGTGTCTGAACATATCATTATAACTCCCCCTGAGCAGTCATAACTCTGTGTGACCGTATGTCATCAAACATGGCCGTGCTCATGGGTCAAATTTGGGTACTAATGGAGCATCTGCCTGACACAAGTTGTTTGATAATATTAATTTTCTCCACAACTGTTCGTTGGATGATAGTAAGTAATTAAAACGAAATGACAACTTTTTATTTTAATTATAAATACTGTATATATATATATATATATATATATATATATATATATATATATATATATATATATATATATATATATATATATATATATATATATATTGTGGGGTATAGAGATGTTTGGGTTCGCACTCAGGATGGGATGGAGAAAGGAAACTCACAATGTGCTCTCTATATACATGTTGTATTGGATGTACAATGCAGCTTGGTGCTGGGAAGGCAGCATGGTTACAAGCGTGATGTAGAGAGAGCTGGTTGGTGAGGACGCTCAGAGAAGGACAGCTTGTGGGTCGCCATGCTCGCCAGCGGGAGAGAGGACCGCCAGGCAGGCGGAGGAGGAGCGAGGCCGCCAGGCAGGCGGAGGAGGTGTTGCTGGCTGGTTGGTGTAGGTAGAAGGAGAGACAGATCACCACGAGGTCAGGTCTTAAATAGCGGGGGTAGGCGTGGCTTAGCAGTTGACCCCCGCTCCGTGGTGTATGGCGGCGCTGGTTGACCTAGACCACGAGGCATACACTGGGGAATTGGTGGGGTCGGCTAGGCAGCGACAAACAGCGTTTGTAGGGGAGAATTCCACTACAATACTCCCCCTTCCCTCCAGGCTGTGTAGGAGACTTGTTGTCTGCAGAGTTGCATAGCACATGTGAGGCAGAACGGGCGGTGCGTGCCTCATGTGAGACAACGGCGATGGCGTGATGAGCCGGTCGCTGGATACAACTGTCTAGATACACAATATCTGTGGGAGTAGAGAGGGAGAATAAGGGTGTGTGGAGGCGATGAATGTTGTGCTTCCCTCACGGCAGGTACAGAGTCGACAGATGCGCCTGCTGGGGTGTGTGGACCTGGGTCAGGAGCAGGGGCTGTGTCAGCAGCAGCGGATGAGGGCTCGTGACAGCAGCTGGGTCCACGACAGCAGCAGGGTGCAGGACATTAGCAGGGAGTACCTGAGGGAGAAAAGAGGGGTGTGTGGGTCCGCACTCAGGAACAGAGGCCGCATCAGGGGCGGCAGGGGTTACTGCTGGGCCAGGGTCGGCGTCTGAGGCAGGACGGGTGTGCTGGGGTCGGTAGGACGTGGTGCTTGGGGCAGGAAGAGGAGCTGGTCTCTGCTTAGAGTAGCAGAGCTGCTCTAGGGTGTCTAACCTGCGGTGTAGAGACAGTAGCTGTAGAGCCGATGATAGCTGCTTCTGGGTGGATAAGCCAGTCTTCCATGTTGCTTGAAGACTGGGAGCGTGATCAGTTTCTCCTCCATCCTGTGTGAGTGCGAATCTCCGGGAGTCACCATTTGTGGGGTATGAGATGTTTGGGTTCGCACTCAGGATGGGATGGAGAAAGGAAACTCACAATGTGCTCTCTATATACATGTTGTATTGGATGTACAATGCAGCTTGGTGCTGGGAAGGCAGCATGGTTACAAGCGTGATGTAGAGAGCTGGTTGGTGAGGACGCTCAGAGAAGGACAGCTTGTGGGTCGCCATGCTCGCCAGCGGGAGAGAGACCGCCAGGCAGGCGGAGGAGGAGCGAAGGCCGCCAGGCAGCGGCGGAGGAGGTGTTGCTGGCTGGTTGGTGTAGGTAGAAGGAGAGACAGATCACCACGAGGTCAGGTCTTAAATAGCGGGGGTAGGCGTGGCTTAGCAGTTGACCCCCGCTCCGTGGTGTATGGCGGCGCTGGTTGACCTAGACCACGAGGCATACACTGGGGAATTGGTGGGGTCGGCTAGGCAGCGACAAACAGCGTTTGTAGGGGAGAATTCCACTACAATATATATGTTTTTTTTCAATAGCCATGATCGTAAATCGCCTGTATTGGGCAGGGTATGAAGGGTGAGAGAAATTGCTGGTAAAACACGACAAAAAGTGATCATATGACACTAAACGATATCTGTACATACTTTGTATGTAAAGAAATTAATTATTTATCGTAAATATTCTGCCAAAAATTCTGCAGTGTCAACACGTGTTGTCTTCCACTCTGTTTCAGTGCAACAACCGAACTGCTCCGTCTGAATGTACTCTCACGTCCCCCCAAAAAGGTGAAATTACACCATGGCGGTTCAAGACAGTTGCTTTTATCGGTACCTGATATCAAAGTTTTCTCAGGTTAATATGCCAAGGGGTCCAGTTGCAGTTAGGTAGGTTTTTGGGGTTGGTTATGTCAGGTTCGATTAGGTTCTCTTCATTGTTATATCATTTTTGTTATTTACTATTATCCAAAGTGCATCTGTCGAAAAAAATGAGCAAAATCGACCAATTCCTTCTGGTGTTGGCCATCAATTTTTCAATTTCAATTGTTTATTCCTTGATAGAGGAAGTGGGATCCTAGTGCTGTCACTAGGTACCCCTGTATAATGACACCAGAAGCATCTGGCAAGTGTGACAAGTATATAGTATAAATATTATAAAGGGGCTTACTAAAGCCTAAGGAAGGAAGGATATTCCTTTAACACATAATCAATATTATTTACATAATATCTGGCCAGTATGGGGAGGATCATCGTGTCTCCGTCAGGGGGTCGTGGAGTGGTGGTCCAGCAGGCTTCACGGAAGTGTTGTGTGTGGGGACATCTTAGGAGGTAGTGGATAAGGGTACTGCTGTCTGGTCTTCTGCATAATGCACAAGAGCGTTGCTCAGGGGATGTGGGGATACCAATCTCCCAAGCAAAGTCATACCCAATGCATGGTTGGCCATCTGCTCCACTTTTACCCAATTTTGTTTTGAATATCGAGTCAGTGAAAAAATATGTTGTAGATCAAGCTATAACTAATTTGGGAGGTGGGACGTCATAAATACTTCTGAGTGTTCAACCCCTGTTCTTCCCAGGTGCTGCTCATTTCAAAGTTGACTTCTTGATTTTAGCTGTCGTATATCTTATGGTCCCCCCCCCAACCCCCCATCTCCCATTAAAAAATCCTGGCTATGCTCATGGAATTGAGGAGTAGAAAATTAAGGTGAAAACGTTGTGATGGATATATTGGGAGTGTCACTGAGGAATGGTTAAGGAATGAAGATACTGTATTAGAACAAACAAGAGTAGGAATGATTTGTATAAACTGTACAATGAGAGTGGCAAGACTAAACTGATTTGGACAATGATAAGGAGAGTGGGAGGTAATCAAAGGAGCCCGGAATGAGACAATCAAAGGCAGGACGTGAAGAGGAGGACAAATGTTATGTTGGAGAGGTATGTTTAAGTGAAGGAGAGAATGTTGGGTTGAGAGAGGCATATGAAAACAGATACACCATAAACATGCAGATATGGATCCAATAAAATTATTGTATTCATTGGCAAATGATAAGATAACTTTTGAAAAGAATGTTATCTAGATAAGCCTTTTTAGGTAACAGCAAATTGTATGATTTTGTTTTATTTTATTTTTATTTATTTTTTATTTTTTTGCCATTTATCAGCTTACTACACATTCGGAGACCAACCTGTGATGTTTGGTAAGGTCACAGGGGGGCCAGGCCGAGGCTTGAACCCTTGACACACAGGTGAGAGATACGTGTGTTACCACTGTACCACCAACACCTCCTTTGGTTAATACAATAATTATTCTTTTAAATATTTAACAAAAATTATGAAGTGAATAAATATATACTAAACATTTTGAGAAAATACATTTTATTTCTCTCAGAAGTGTACAGTCACCTACACTGGGTCTAGCCAGACCAGTGCAACTTTAACTTTCACTTTTCAGCAAACAATAAACATGCACATATATACATTTACACACATACACACTCACACAACAAGCAGCTGTGTCACTTCACCACGAACAATATTCAACGTAAGTTGACAACAACAATAACAAGGCAATGAAAAATAATTATGATAAAAAATTGATGTCATATACTGTATAAATTATCATACATATGTACAAAACAGAAAGATTAAAGTTAGCCCTTTCAAGAAAACAATATAAATATTCTTGAGATTCAAAGGTGGTTTTCAAAGAATGAATAGAGCAAACAAAAGATCCAAATTTCTTTAAATAAAAACCTGATTGCACATTAATGTTGATACTATCATCAACAACCATGAATTTATTAATTAAATTTCACATTTATAACAGAAAATAAAAACTTTAAGACAGTATCTACTGCCAGGAGTATTTTTATTTTTAAGAATGTGGTTTATAACAAAAAATGCAATGAGAAATACATTAGGAACAACATAACTTTTAAAAGTTTATAGCAAAACATTAGGGTCCAGACCTAAACAGCAACTGTATTAAAATAGAGATTTTAGATAGACTGACTGTTAAGATTCACCAAACAGCTGCTAAAGGTAAATGAAATACAAGAGACATGCAATGCTGGGCAAAGAGGCAGGAATACATAAATAATTGCACATGAGGTTGTGCTAGATAAGGGCTGAGATCACAGACTATAGATGGTCCAGTTTCACAAGTAAATACCAAGCAAGACTTCCTGCTGGCACTTTTCTCACTGCACTACTCAATACCTACAACAGTATAAGTAGTTAGGTCTACAGTGCTGCCATCATGAGATATTTGAAAAGCCCAAGTACTTGGAGTACAGATGCCAAGGTTTTTGTCCATGGATAAACTTTTAATCCATGGGTTGATTAATCACTATGAGAAGCATCCTTGGAGTTGCTTCACAACTTGAGCATCAAGAGAACACAGATCAAAGTTGAAATGTGCATGAGTGAGCTGGAAACTGCTATGTTCTGCTATAATATCCACCACCTGCTGTAGCTGATCCCTATCTACTGAGTTCATAATCTTGTGCTGCAACTCAACCAGCTCCTGCAGGTACTCGGGGGTTAACCGTGACGTAGCTGTTGCTTCCTCCTTTACTCCCTTTACATCCTCCTGTTTAACTTCTTCTTTCACGGTCTTTGAGGTTTCCTTGGGTGATGATGAGGGAAGGTTGGTTGTGATGGGGCTGCTGTTGTCCTGTTGTGAACGACGCTTCTTCTTTTCTCTCTGTGGAGGTCTGCGAGTAATCGGTTCCCTCTTACCCGTGACCCTCGAATTATCTTTGACAACGGGGGTCACTTCGTCATCACTAGATATAATTGGCTCCTTCTTTATTTGTCGAGGTGTTGTGGACACCTGTTGACTAACTGGTGCATGAGATGATCGACTGGCATCTGCTGGTGACCGTAGGGGTACCTTCACCTGTCCTTTACCATCAGCACTCCCTCGTTCCTCACTTTCACTGGAAGAGCTACTAACCTCTTTCATCATGATACTCAAGGGATTAGTTGGCCCTCTGGAGTCTGTGCCAGCAGCAAGGGGTGGCCGTGGAGGGCCAGTACGTGGAGCTGGAACCTGAGATTGACTTTCTGCTACAGACACTGGCGATGGTGAACTACCACTGGAACTGCTGCTAACTGAACGTGTGGGGGACCTGGAGACTGACCTTGACTTGGATCTAGCGGGAGAACTGGACTGTGATCTACTACCTGAAGCTGACCTGGAGCGTGATCTAGACTTTGATCGTGATCTAGAAGGTGACCTAGAGTGTGTTGGGGATCTAGATGGTGACCTTGATTTTGATCTTGACACAGATGGTGATCTTGAAACTGATCTTCGAGATCCAGAACTTGATCTAGAACGTGATCGAGATTTGGAACGCGCAGGCGATCGAGACCGAGACAAGGAGGGTGATCTGTATGGTGACTCTCGCCCAACAGATGCAGGTGATGGAGGGCTCCTTGATCTGGAAGATTTTGAGGATGATCTTGAACACGCAGGTGAAGGAGACCTAGAAGGTGACAGCGAAGGTGAGAGACTTCTTGATGACGACTTGGATGAAGATCTTGATCGTGGCGGTGCTGGTGGTGGAACATGCACAGGTTTTTCCTTTACCTTCTTTTCTTTGGCATTAACCTGAGGTGTGACAACCACAGGTTCCTCCTTGACAGCTTCCTTATGTACACCTTTCTTTACTTTATGTTCTACCTTAACTCTCTCCTTGGCTGGGCTTCTATCTCCACTCTTAACAGGCAACACAACTCGTTCCTCTTTTAACATGGGAGCAGCCATTTTTGTGGAACTTTCTGTCTTTACAATCACTTTCTCAACAGGCTTCTCTCTGTCAACTTCCACTGAAGGTACGTCCTCTTTGTCTCTACGCTTTTCCTTCTTGTCTTTCTTTTTTTCTTTTTTCTTTTCCTTTGTTTCTTCTATAGTCTTCTCAACTACTACCTTTGTACTTTCTGTTTCACACTTTTTCCTTTTTGCACTAGAATCTGATTTTATACTACTAGCTGGTGACAATGATCGCTTAGATGCCGGAGATAATGATCGCTTTGACGCCGGAGACAATGATCGCTTTGATGCAGGGGACACAGATCGTTTTGATGATGGGGACGATGAACGTTTGGATGTTTCTTTTTCTCTTTGCGCACAGCGGCACCCATCTTTGCTTGTTTTTACTTGCTGGCATCTCCCTTTACATTTCTCGCTACGTCACAAAACTAAAGATTACATTTGCTCACCAGAGGAAAGAAAGAAGATATTTTCTCACTTTTGTGTTTATCCTTTGGTTTCTTTTCATTAGATTTTGATACAGGAGGTTTGTCTTTGTACTTCTCATTAACTTTCTCAGGCACTTTTTCTTTCTCTTTGGGAGGTTTTTCTTTACTGGGCTTCTTCTGGTCAGCAACCTTCTTGATTGGTTCACCAAACAAGGCAGAGAACTGATCTGATACTTTGGACTCTTGCTTCTTTGTTTCCTGGGAAAAGAAATACAAGAATTATTAACTTTCACCAACATATATGATACACCCTAATTTACACTATCTATTAACTACCACTTTATATCTGTTCCAGAAATATCACTTCAATACATAATAATACAAGAGACCTATAAAATCAAGAAGTAGAATCCGCAGCTGGGATCCCGTACTTTAAATGGAAGGGCAAGCAGGACTTATTAACTGCAAGCTAAAAGGAATCTTTAGCATCACAGCTTTCTGTAATGCTCCCATCCCATGCCTGCACAAGTCATGGCATCCCATCACATCACCTGCAACAGCCAGCCATCACATCTGCCTGAAGTCATGTCCCATCACGGTCATGCCCTGCAGTGTAATGCTCATCACATCACACTGCATCCCATCACCTGCAACTCTATGTCTCCATCCCCATCACCTGCAACTCTATCCAATGCATCACCCATCTCATATGTACTGTCCCTTCTAATGCCCTCATATTATTACATCCATGTGTTTTCCTGATCAGTAATCACCACCTCTCAACTCTCCCCCGTCCTCTTCCCAATAACTTACCTTGAATGTTTGATGCTTGTGCTTCTTGGCAGTGTCTGGTTGGTGCTGGGGAGCAGCATGAGGTTTGATCTTAGCTCCACTTGATGGTCTGGACACAGCTGTCTTTTCCCCCTGACTACTGTCCTCTTGCCCCATCACTATAACCTATAAATATATAAACACTGAAAGTACTGAAGAGAGAGAGAAAAGAATCTACTGACCTTTTTAAAACTTTTTTTTTCCAGATACAATGCTGAGTGGCTGGGCAGGTGGTGATCCTAATTCTAGGATTCATTGATTAGTCCACCAAAGGATTGCTCCACCACTGACAAACACAGCTGAATGTACGAGAGGACACATTCCTCTACACCAGCGGTTCTTAACCGGGGGGGTCACACCCCCGTGAGTAATTTCCAGGGTTGGCGCAAATCCAGAGCAAAAATAAGGAATGGCCTTAACAGGGGTGTGTATGTCCTTAAATGGTAACTACATCAATCAAAATGTAAAATTCCACCAAAAGTGACGGAATTAAGGTAGTAATAATGTCGGGAAGTGTACGATAATTTGACGAAGAAACGATAATTTTGAGGCTCCAGTACGATAATTTTATATGAAGGAAGGAGGGGGGCGTGGAGATGAGGGCCAACTGCTACAGGGGGCACGACCCTAAGAAGGTTAAGAACCTCTGATCTACACCATCTAAAAGCTGAACCCAGAACCATTTCAATAAATACTGTGTCCCAGCATATTAGAAGATACCCCTAACTGAACTATTGTAACACAAGACCAGCTCTATCATGGAGAGTTCAGTGTACAGTACTTGTATATATCATGGATCACTCAGTGATACTGTACATTACTAAATAACACATGTGCTGCCTATAAGAAAGGTATTGGCAACTACTCAGTATTGAGCAGTGGATGTGAGGGGTACAAAACAGGTACAATGATGTACATTGCAAATTGCAACATGTTGCTGACTTTAAAGTGAGCTGCATGTACAGTACAGGTAATCATGTGGCATCAGCAAGGTTGGAAAAAACTCAACATTGGGGATACGTCATTGGACTCTATCAATGAGTTGTTCTACCTGGGTGACATGATCAGTGTTGGAGCTGATGATCTTTTGGAAGAACCAGAAATGGCTGGGAGAAGCTTAGGGAGCTGTTGACTTTATTAAAAGGGATATACTGTATGTATACAACCAGAGTGAGAAGTGTAATGATGCATGTCAGTGAAACATGGGCAGTTAAAGATGATGACATACATTGGACTGTGAGAGACAAAAAGGGGAATGGTGAGATTGATGGATAATGTGATACTCAAAAGACAGGGAACCTTGTTTAGATCTTCTAAGAGGGTGGCTGGGAATGGAAAGTATTAGAGGTGAGCGGAGATGGTTAAGTCACTTGAGGGAATGGAGGAGACCATCTGGGTCAAGAGATGCATGATTTTGAATGTGAAGGGAAGAAGAGTTAGGATAGGCCAAGAATAACATAAGGAAAGGCTGTAAGAAATGGCCTCGGAGATAAGAACCCGATGAGAGAGGCTGCAAGAGACCGTGCAGCATGGAGAGCTGCCATCAAGTAATCACACCTATCCCATGTAAGAGAAATGGTGATGATGATGAGTATGAAAATATGTAACATTAATGAAGAGGACAAAAAAAAAGCACTTAAAGAGAATCTAAACACTCTTCTCTGGTATGGAAGCTTTGGTCTTGGCTGGAGGTGTAATAATTGTTTATCAGACCACAGCTTACAGCCCAGAGAAGAACAACACATATAACAGTAAGAAGATGAGCAGGTGTACACCCAAGCAAGTTGACACACCCTACAGTGACAGTAAGACCTGACCCAGGAGAGGTCGCAGACAAGGTATTTGAGTTAACCCTGCGATATGACAGTGTTACAACCACACCTGGGCAAACAGCTGTCCAGACCTGACCCAGGAAAGGTCAGTCACATTGACCCAAGGGAGGTCAAGTTCACAAGGGAACCAGAATTCTCACCGCCACTCAATCAGCTCAACCCGGCGTCATGACCTTGTTAATTAAAGGAACTGCAAACCAGCCAGCACTTCTGTTACCGACAAACACAGCCGTCTAAACACACCCAGTCTAGTGTTAATTAGGAGAGGTCATCTGCTGACTCTCCTCCAATATAAAGGCCCTGCAGCTCCGTCCAAAAAAGATCACTTTCACATCACTGAAGACAGAAGACGGAGTCACGCTCGTCACTATTCGAGGTCGGGACGGAGACTTCTCTCCCCAGCACAGCGCCCCCAGATAGCAGTCTCCCATAGGAGACATAGTCCAGCAGCACCCGCTGGGTCTCCCTCAGGTCACACGTGTGTCATTGTCAGAGCCATCCATAGGGTGAGTTACTTACGGTGGGAAGTGTATCCATTTCATGTTTGTGTCCGAGAGTCACTGTCTAGTAACGTAAATATAATGTGCTATTAATGTGTCTGTGTCATTGAGAGAATAATAAATAGTTGTATTGAAAGCGGTGTTTAGAGAAAGATTTCCCCTAAGAACGTATTTACAGTTAAATAACTAACCGGCCACACTACCAAACCTCCTCACTTTACAATCCTACAACTAAATATTCTATCTATACTTTCTACGAAAAATCCCCCCCATTACAGTCTGAGTGAAGATACAAACAGTGAAAAAACAAACAAAAAACTTGAGACTGGAAGATCATAATGAACAAAAACACAACATTATTAGAACAGACAAAACTATGGAGGAAAAAAATGAGATTATAACAAAAAACAAGACAAATGAAGAGAGGAAAAAACTTACCCCGCCACCCTGTAACAGCTTCTTCTTAAAATCATCGGAAGGCTTGAGGAACGTCAGCTTCTCTTTCCGCTGGTAGGTGATTGGAGGACATTGCACGTTTTGCAAAAATAAGTCGTATTCGAATCTGCCAAGAAAAAAAAGAGATGAAAGTACATGCTCTCCAATCACCACTGAGTTGAATATAGAATACACTGACTAAAGGAGTGACACTAGAGGAAAGCATGAGGCAACAACTTAGGCTTTCAAAGTGAGCGTAGAAACTGGAGATAGGTGAAATATTGTACAACAAATATATTTTATTTCCTTTTTTGACTGAGGAGGAAGGTATAACTATAAACAAAGACCAAAGTGGTCCAGGTACCACAGACCACACAAAGACTCAGATAGTATACACACACACAGTAAACCCTCGATAACTCGGAATTTCATATAACTCAGCATGGATATGGTCTCGGAATGTACTGTATTAGTATAACTCGGTAAATGCCGTGATATATTAAAGTATCTGCGAAAATCTCGGCATATCTAGCCACCTGCATCACCTACCATGCCTGTGTCACCGACTATGCCTCTCTATCACCTACCACGCCTCTGTGTCACCTACCACGCCTCTGTGTCACCTACCACGCCTCTGTGTCACCGACCATGCCTCTGTGTCACCTACCATGCCTCTGTGTCACCCTACCATGCCTCTGTGTCACCTACCATGCCTCTGTGTCACCACCACCACGCCTCTGTGTCCACCGCCCCAGGCTCACCCACCACGCCTCCTGTGTCACCTAACACACGCCCCTGTGTCACCCACCATGCCCCAGGTCACCCACCACGCCCTGTGTCACCCACTGCCCCCCATCACCCACCACGCCCCTGTGTCACCCACCATGCCCCATCACCCACCATGCCCCCTGTGTCACCCACCATGCCCTGTGTCACCCACCACGCCCCCAGTCACCCACCACGCCCCCAGGTCGTTCCACCATGCCCCCCCATCACCCACCATGCCCCCCAGGCCCACCCACCATGCCCCAGGTCACCCACCACGCCTCCCCCATCACCCACCATGCCCTGTGTCACCCAACACGCCTCCTGTGTCACCCACCACGCCCCCACCCACCACGCCTGTGTCACCCGCACTCATGCCTCTGTGTCACCCACCATGCCCCAGACACCTGCGCCACCATGCCCGCACACCCACCACGCCCCTGTGTCACCCACCACGCCCTGTGTCACCCACCACGCCTCTCCCCATCACCCACCACGCCTCTGTGCTCACCCACCACCTCTGTGTCACCACCACGCCTGTGTCACCCACCACGCCTCTGTGTGTCACCTTACCTATGCCTTTGTGTCACCCACCACGCCTGTGTCACCTACCACGCCTCTGTGTCACCCACCACGCCTCTACTCTACCACGCCTCCCATCACCTACCACGCCTCCAGGCGTCACCTACCACGCCCCCATCACCTACCACGCCTCTGTGTCACCTACCACGCCTCTCTATCACCTACCATGCCTGTGTCACCTACCACGCCTCTGTGTCACCTACCACGCCTCTGTGTCACCTACCATGCCTCTAAATATAGATGGAACTGCCATACTTAATGTCTCCTTTTGAGGAATCCATTATAGTATACAGTAGTGAGAAGGTTTACCTTTTGAAATTTACTCCAATTATAAGTTTAATTTACATGTTATGAGTCCTTGGAACCTGATTTTACAACCCACAGACTTGCTGACTATACATGAGTCTCTTGAGATTGGCACTAGATTAAAAATTCAGAGCTTTAGCATACCTAGGATTTGACAGTAAGAAAATAAGTCAGACTGTTGAAGTGGAGAAAGCATATAGAATGTTGGTCAATAAGAAGAATGTATAAAAGATATCAGTTCAGTTTTAAAGATGAACAACGGTCATCAACATAATATAGTGGGTACTGCACAGTTTTGAAATACATTATAACCAATATTAGAGCAAATCCATCAAAAACTTTTATTGAGAAGATCTAATATATAGTCTGTTTCATTTCATTGCACAACCTTAAGCAGTAGCCTTCATCAGTGGATGTTTCATGTTCCTCACATTCCACTTGAGCATGAGAGCACAGAAGAGATCTTTTTCTGCCATATAAGAGTTAACCCATCACAGCCACACCACACCACACTGTTAACTTTGCACTTACTGAGCTCTGCGCGTGTCATCAGGGTGGTTGGTTCTGAAGTAGATTTCGATAGGAAGGTTGAAGCTCCCATATCCTTTCTCGCTTACTTTGTATGGTGAGGTCCTCACAACTGGAATCATTTATAACATTAGAAACATAGCTAATAAGTAACTCTTAAGTATAATTAAATAAGTTAAAAAATATATATGTATACAGTATTTCCTTAAAATTTATTTATCAGAAACTTTTTGATAACAAAATTCAACAAACTCTCTCTCTATTTGTCACCTGGGCTTCAGTGCTGTGCTGGCCACTGAAGAATCAAGATGGTGGGTATGCATACAGCACTCCAATATGGGCTCAACAAAACTCTTCCTAACAGACACTTGGATTCTCTCCTAGTAATTATTGGGTAACCCACATTTGTATGTTCACCCTCTATCCCTATTAATTTACCTCTTTTGGGCTTTGCAAAACTCTTATGAAGAGTAAATACAATCTTTTCAATAAAGGCTTCAATACGAGTCCCACTGGGCCCCTGGACGAAGACCTCCCAGTCATGTGTGAAAACCTCATTCCCTCGTTGTTGCCGCACAGTCGCTCTATGACCCAGCTCCAGCGTCACCACAACATTCTGGAATAAATTATTATTTTACTGAATGACAAAAGCAATTTACACATCCATTTTACAATTAAAAGAGCTATTTTTTTTATAATATAGATGCAATAAGTTTAAAAGAGTATACAGTACATGAAATAATGGAGTAATCCTGTACTGTACAATAACATAACACCAGTACTAGTTATCAAATAATTATCAACTCATAAGTACAATCTTCTGATAACACAACAAAATACGAGTGATATGCAAGAATGCTTCTCAAACTTTATTTCAAAATTGATGTACTTTTCCTATATAACCGGTTGAGTCCTTCATCAATTTTTTACAATAAAATTGTAGGAATTAGAAAGTAGCAAACACTTTATTCATTTTAAAATGAAATAAATCTGTTTTGTACAGAAAGATAAAGTACATGGGGAAAGTGTACTACAGTACCACCAATTAAGGTCAAAGTTCACACTACAGTATTAACTTGGGGGTTGGCCCTTACCTTCACATTTACCATCTAAACATACAGTACCGGTAGTGCTTTACAAAGATAACAATATAGGTATACAACCAGTCTCCAGGGCCCTTCTATCAGCTGTAAGATCTTAAGGTAAAGTTTGGTGGGAGATCATGACATCAAATTAAAATTTACAAAACAACATTAACTGAACACTCTTACAATACACACATGAATGGCCAAGTCTTGGCGTTATAGGCTGATGAAGGCCACATGTCAGAAAAGGATTTTATAAGTATTTATAAATATATATTTGTCTTCACATTTGTACTGCTCTTAACTTAGCCCGCCTCTAGGCTCTGTACCTCAACCTTGTACTTGTTCTAAACCTTTCCTCCCACAGCGTTACCAGGCCCTTGTTGTTTACCTTGGATGACATGACGACTGGCTGGTGGCATTAAGCATGTATCTAATGATAAATATTAAGTGATACTAAGTTTTGCATCGATCCAGTAGCGGCCGTCAACTGGCATCAAGAGGGACGAGTCGCTATATCAGGCTCACGTAGTCGTCGCCATTACTATTTCTATGAACTTTAATATGTCCTCTTTAAACATAATTATAACTATTATTAAATATTTTTACAGAAATTTGGCAGATAGAGACCACAATATTTAAATTAGATATGAGATTAATATTTAATATTTGACTCTTTATGTATAGTATCAAGAGAAAATATTAATTATATCCAAGTTACAAAATATTCATTACTGCCCCACCAATTCACCTTTACAGATAACATTAGCAACATCAAGGTATTCAAAATAATTTTAAATACAAAAGTATATAATAAAAATACAATAAATGTACCAATAAATGAGTAAATATTGATGTTATCAAAATAAAAGGTTGTTATGAGGGGCGGAAACAAGTGAGCTGGGGAATGTAAACATGAAACTAGAGCAGCGGCGCCACCGACCACTGCGAGATAAGATATTAATATCAACCTACAGAAATAAATGCCAGTCGACAGTTAGAAAAACCGAGTAATTTTATTCGATAATGTCTTACTTTAGAGGCGCTGCCTTAATTATTGGTTTAGAACCACGATCTTTTCACCAGAAGTGCGCTTTTATTTGTAGTGTACAAGCCCTAAACTTCAGGAGAGGTACAAGTACTGTTGGGCCTCTGCCTATAAATTTGTCAATTTAGTACACTAAGTACACAAAGCTTAACAAAAGTTATAATCTATAAAAATATTGAAATATCTGATGTGTACCGGTATATAATTTATATTTTGTGTAGCTATATTTTACTCACAGATGATCTTCTGGAAGAGGCTCACGCCTGTGACTCCAGCTCAATAGCCTCTTGTATAGAGAAGGTAATTTTGCAAGAGTAGTGCAGCTAATCATGAAATTTAGGATATTTTTTCTCCAAACGAAAATTGCTTTATCACCACATAAAAATCTCAAAGTGGCAAGGATTTGCACATTGGACAATATATATTTTCATTTTTCTCCTATCCTGAACCTTAATCATGTTGGCAAATTGTAAAATGGTAAATTAAAAAAGAAAATGAAAAAAAATAGTTGTTAGTGGCACACCAGTAATGCACTACTGTGCCCTGGATTCAAGTCCTGGCCTGGGGCAGATGTAGAAGCGATGTGACTCCAATCATTGCAAGTACAGTAGTTTAATGATAATTTGAAAATATAATAAATATAATGTGCTTTATTGCCATATTCACTGTACATGGTGAGTGCTGCCAGCTACTGCTACATTAATTGACTTATTGGATGTAAGATGAACCAACCTTACCCATTCATCTAGCTTAGGGGGGTTCATTTTACCCCCAATACCTCATATAAGGTAGCAGTACCTGGTAAGTTCTGTGGAAGTGTTAGTGTGTATGAAATGCTATGCAGGAGAAAATTGCCACAATAATAACACTATATTTGCAAATCCTTCACTTCTCTAAATCACAACAGTAATAATAGTATACATCTAGTGCTAAATTTAGTAAGAAAATTAGTGTACAGTACAATAAAACTAACTGCAGGTACAGTATACTGTACAGTATTAATACTGTATACTGTAGGTCATAACAAATGCCTGTGCAATAATCATTGTATATTCCACTGAGATGAAAGATGTCCAGTCTTGTCAACAAAAGATATCCCATTATTGTATCTAAAGTTGTTTTCTTTATCCTTAATCAGTAAGATGTCTGGAGGAGGGCCAGAAGCAGCTGCTGTACAGGTGTTGACAAGGGCTGTACAGCTAGATAATGAAAAAAAGTTTGCTGAAGCACTGGCATGTTATGAACAGGGAATAAGACTACTGTTACAGGCAGAAAAAGGTACAGTGCTGTATGTTGTCATTTACTCTTGTTTAACATTGTTTCATAACATTCATAAATATAATGATATACAAGTACTGTATACTGTAGAATAGAAACTCACTAATTCCAACTGTAAGGATGGGTTGAATTGGCTGATGACTAAAATATTGCTGTTGGAATTTTTTAGAGGCGTGATAAATTAACATAATACTCTGCATAGCCACCACCATCACATAACCATCTAATATAAAAATATACATGAATACAGATGAAACTCATTATTTTTTTTACTGTGTCAAAAGTTCTTCAGTATATTTGAATCAACAACAATTAGAATAGAAACTGGTACTTCAGCACAATGGAGCACTTTGAACCTCCTCTAAAAAAATGGTGCTACTATGGCGTGCAGTCTACAAAGATATCTTTAGTCTAACCTGACCTGACCTAACCTAACCTGACCTGACCTGACCTAACCTAACCTGACCTGACCTAATCTAACCTAACTTAACCTAAATATCTTGTAGACTGCATGCTATAGTATCACTGAAAAATTTCTATGGACACAAGTGCTCTACCATGGTACAGTGCAGTATAATATTGTGTTAACCTTGTAACCTTTCTCTGTAAAGGGAAACTGTACATGCTTTCTGCCATTCCATTGGTAACCTTCCCCCTGTCACACATATCCTGTACAGTCACTCTTGTTATCTATTCTGTCATTGGGACATCTTCCACCCTTAACACTACAATGGAAATGCCATCCACTGCTGATGCCATACTTATATTAAGCATATAACCAGCCTTAGCCCCTTATAATTTCTACCTATTTCACTTTGACATTACTGTACTCAGGTCACCATACCCAAAATGTTAGTCTTGAGTTTTCTACTACAGTATACAGTAGAGGTTGTAGGTGTTTCATGCAGATTAGGTTTTCCTTGAATTTCAAATATGTATTGTTAATTTTAGTAGTAATAAGATTTAACTAAAGGAAGTACACAATACTGTACATGCAATATAGATACAAACAGAAAATTCTTCCATTCAGCAGATACCTCAAGTTAGTGGGTGGGTGTCAGTCCGTTGTTATTGTCCACTAATGGGGAACTATTCTCTCTTCACTCCAAGCTTACAGCTGGGCCAAATCAAGGGAAGGTCATGATTGGTTGAGTCACGTTGGGTTGACTTATCTTGATACTGTACATTATCCTTTTTTTTTAGAGGTAAATGATGAAGGCAAACGCTCCCACTTTCGGAAGAAGACGAAAGAGTATTTGTCTCGAGCGGAAGCCATGAAAGAGGCAGCAGCCAAGCAGCGTACAATGGGCCGCACTCACAAACAGGTTAGCACTAATATTTACTTCGCTACTATTGCATAAGAAAACTTTTACATATACTCTAGTTACAGCATTACTGAAACTTTTAATGGAAAATGTGTGGTCTATAATTTAAGCTCTTTGGAAAATAAAATGCTTGATGCCCTGTTGCACAGTTTTATGAGTGAAGATTTAAGAATCACTATTGATTGAGCAGAAAAGTGAAATAAGTTAAAATGCAGTTTATTTCTGTTTAACTACAGCATGTTACTAATGTCCTCCTCAGATCCAGGTGGAGGCTGGGGCAACTGGCTACAGTTATGAGACCATCTTTGGACCACTCTTAGACAAAACTCTCTCCTCTGTTGTTGTAGAAGATGCTTACATACGCTCCACTCACCAAGTATAACTAAATATGTGTCTATTCAACTCTTTTGTTTCTCAATGATGTACAGCCTCTTGTACCGAGTTGTTAGTTTATCCTGCTGGAGAATGGTTGCTGAAAAGATTAATGAAATAAAAAGTGTTGGCCAGACTAGTATTTTCCTTATCAGAATTGAGTAATGCAGTCAGGCGCCTTTTGCTCTTGGTTAAAAGTACAGGGGTATTTTTCTAGCCATCTCCTCCATTCCTATTATATTATTCCCATCTTAGTATTTAGTTAACTGATGTTCTATTTGTACTGTGCTAGAGTGAATTATCTATGGTCTAGGTGATTTACTGTTATTTCTCGTGTATACTGTATATATATCACATTTGTGGAATTAATTTTGTTTTAGTAGGTGAGAAACAGCCCAAGAACATTTAGAGTGGAGGACTGTGGTCACCAACCTTCAGATATGGGGACACTAGTCTGATTGATTGAGTAGGTGACCAAAATTAATTAGTTTGCTGCTTTAAGTATTTACAGTTTACTAATTTTATTCTGATATTTCAGATTTATAACTTCCTTCATTTTTGTGAACTGTTGGTCCTTAAAGCAGAGTGTTTGCGCTCCATCACTCTACGGACAACAAGAGACCCATCTGGTCACGGGTAAGGCCATTGTTGTCTGTGTGGTGGTTGAATTATCCTTCCTTACAATATATTTCCCTCACATGGTACAATTAATCATACTAAAACCATACTCAAACATCAGCTGCCTTGTTGTATATATGTACTATATCATTTTCCTCTCACTTTTGTTTGCAAAGGATGGGAAAACACATACTTAACAGCATCCTAAAAAAAAATTGCTATCAATCATATTCCTCTATTCTAAATCGAGTTTGCAAACAATGAAGCCCTACAAACAGTGATGAATAATAAGATGATTTAGCTCAACTATACAAGATTGTTCTCTATTTGGGGATGGAGAGGAGTGACAGAAGCTTTGATGCTGTTTAGGTACTGGACTAGATTTTCCACTGCTCTGAACCATTCAGTACAATAATTAGTCCAGTAGAATGCCATAATACTGTACCTCTTCTTCTGAACCATAACTTGGGATTTTTTAGTTCAATCGGAAGTTTGAATAACCTGCAATACTCAAGGAATGGTTTGTTGGGTGTATTTAAGAGCTGTTTTTTTTTTTTTTTTACTAAATATGAATAACTACAGTAATTGCTATATCAACAGAATACAACACGAACGGCTGTCAGAAATCCAACAATCACTGGAGAAGCACAGCATCAAATTTACCTTTATCTTCTCCGACACAATTCACGATCGAGAAATCAGGTGAGCTTTGATTGCCTTCAGTGAAAGAGCATTTAAGTACTGGTCTATGATTTGGAGAAAACTAACCGGAAGCTCAAAAAAGAATCCTATTGGGGACAGTTAAGGGGCATAGTGTCACAAGACTGAAAGGTTGAGAGCGTATGTCACCATCGTCAAGTCATGAAGGAGTGAAGAGAACTGTATACATAATGGCTATACAGAGATCAAACAGCCAATCCCAGACTATAAATCAAGTTAAAAAATAGGTGTTGGAGACGAGTACATACACATCAGGGAATTAGATTAGAGGTTTTGGAAAGATTCAAACAGCTGTAGCTACATGTAGTATTGGATTCTTCAGTGTGAGAGAGAGATCAATAGTGATTGGAAATTTAAATGTGTGAGGGAGTTACAGGGAAGTGGATAGGATTTGGGGGAAACAGGAAGATATTTGGTTGATGGTGGTGGGGAAGAGTGCTGGTGGAGGCGTGTTGATGATGGTGGTGGAAGCAGAGTGTTGATGATGCTGGGATAATTTATGGTGGTGGGTCGATGATTGGTGGTGTAGGTGGTTGATGGTGTATGGTTAATGATTGGTGGTACATGGTTGATGATTGGTGGTATATATGGTTGATGGTGGTGGTGGTAGATAAGTCACATTTCAACATACTCAGCACTTTCAAACCATTTTCTTGTGTCTGTGATCTTCCATACCTAGTTTATTTATCTCATTAGCAGAATCTTTCCCTAACATTATTTTTTCTTACTGTTTCCACATCATCAATATTCAAAACCTATCACCAATGCTTGAAACATCAATTAAAGATGGTCTCTGTTGTGTGGTATCAAAAACATCTCAACGGAATGAAAAGTTGATAATGGAAAACAATACCGACCACCTCACTAAGAGTACAAGTGGTGACAATATCAAATCAAAGTTTATTTTTATATATTTTGAAAAGTTGTACTGTTCTGTTTTCAATTTCCAGTAACTCAAGTTCCCTCATTTATCCTATTTTCCTGGTTTTAATAAATACTTGATCATGATTTAGGTGTTTTATTTTAGGGTGAGGTTACAGTACCTTTGGAGAGGTTGAAATGGGTCACCATATAAAACAGTTTGGAAATGACTGTAGTGACGGATAATGTATGAGGTGTTCAGTGCCAGAAGGGTGAACTGCCAGGGGTGGTAAAATCCATTTTCTCTTATTCATGGTCTATCAGATGGACTGATTCTCAATGCATTATTGTTCACCATCTGGTGCATTCTTGCCATTCAAATTGTGGATGTGTTGGCCATATGCTTTCATCACGCTTTGGGTCCTAGCTTTCACGCCAGAAAGGCAAGCAGACACAACTACACGAGAGCCAGCAGCCAATCAGTACCACGCTACTGTTACTGAGCATGTCACAGCCAATGGAAGGCCATGTTGCATCTCTCGCAAGGCAGTCTCGGGCGTTTGGTAAACAGTGATGGAGCTTATGTGTATTTTTGCTATTGATGATGGCTAACAACATGCTAATACTGTACTGTACTGCTATTAGGTATTTAAAAACATTTACTAATATTAATAAACATTTGTACCTACCAGATTTATGATCACATTGCAATGTTTTCATTCCATATAAATTTTTGGGGGTACGTGTCTCATTTAAACCTGCAACTGATTTTGCCAAATGACCAGGTGATTTTTCATAGATTCTGGTGCCCAAAACAAGAAATTTTGTTGGTGACATGTTAGATGCTATGAATTCTAATTAACTTAAGAATGACAGTGATAATGAACCTAGTAGGTGTGTGATATACGTACAGGATAATATGCAAGAAACAGCAGACAAAGAACACATAAATGGTTCAGGTTCTTGTGATGATCTCGGCGTGGGAGAAAAGTGGACATGGGAACCTGAGCACTCCACACCACATCAGTACACTTTTGATTCAACACACTCAGGTCAGACAGACACAGTAACAGATGCTTCAGAGGAACTGTTAAAGATATGATTGTGAATTAGTCATTATCATAGATACTTGAAGGTCACACACCACCAAGGATGAATTGTATAGATTTTTGGTGCATAATGATAATAAAGTTACATAATAAGAAACACAGAATAAATAAGTATTGTACAACAGATGAAGTAAAGAGTGACTTGTGCTTGATGATCTGTGCAGGAAATTCAGAGAGAAATTTACCTCTTTCAAAAAACGTTTCTCTTAATAAAGGAATAATGTGAAGAAAAATGTCATAGAGGGAGATAAAGTAATTAGTTTTTTTGTATTATTCTCTCCAGTGAAATGGTTAATGTAACATAAGGTTGATTGTTGTTTGTAAATGACTACTACAGATAGTCTACGTGGTAGTGTAAGTGTGGTACAGTATCCTCCTCCCTAAAATATCTAAAAGTCATATATTTGTACATTTTACTCTTCCTTTTATGAACTGAGACTTGAGATACCATTATTATAAGTTGAATTTTTTTAATAGAATATAAAATAAACATCAAATACAGGTTATAGTTCTTGATTGGTTAGTGAAAGTCGGTTATTAATTGTGTGTTATGGAAGCCATTAGTTGAGAATGGTGTTGTATAACTTGTGTTCATTTATAGGTTTGACAATGGATGGATCATCAAAATTGGCAGAGGCTTAGATTACTTCAGGAAAGCTGATGGTCGTTTCTCCCTTGGCTGGACAGAGTACCATTTCCGTCAGTGTCACCAGACGACCATTGATATATTTCACCAGCAGTCAGTAGAGTGAATTTATCATATTAAAGAGTAACAGGTAACACCTGGTATAGTTTATATCATGTTGACATAGTTGTTGAACAATTTGTAGAACCTGTTCGTGATTTTATGTAAATTGTATTGTTAATTTTTTTCATTTTATGTCCTTCTTGTGATATCCATAACACTAAAATGTATGGCACAACCTGTTTTTACCAGTGGGTCTTGATAATGTTTAACAGCAGGACACACTATCCAGATGGGTAATGTTTTGTTGCCAGCAGCCTTCTCACACACATGAACCAAGATCAACGACCAGTTCAATTTGTTTCAATGCTTGACTTAAAGTCCATTAAGGCTTCAGCTCAGTTGTTGAAATTTGCAGTAATTATTCATTTGAACCTTTATTGGTCATTAAAATAAAGTTCATACTACAGAACCTCAGTTCTTCCTGTGTCACCAGAATGATATTATTTCCTCTGGTATCATCTTCATACTGGGTCACAATTCTTAATATTCCTCAGGATTTTTATAAAATACAGTACTGTACTGTATAATCTGCCTTGTTTTTAGATCATGTTGCTTCTATTAGTTCTTCCATAATAGACAGAAATGGTCAATTTTTTTTTCATCACCTCTTTAGTTATCATGGTTTTGCATATTTTTTCACTTGTTCATTCGACTTAGATTAAGACTTGCAGTTGAGGGTCATTTCTTCTTTGTCTAAGATATGCACCAAAGTTGGAAAACTGCACAGTATATGTTGGGTATCTTGCAGTGTTTCATTTGGGCAATTTAAACCTTCAAAGTGGAGGCTTTTTCTACAACTCATTTAATTTCTAGATTATATCTCATCAGTAACTGTACCAGTTGGTTTTATATTTTTATACACATTCCTCCGGAGAAAATGATGTAATATAATTTTTTTTTTTAATGCTGTTGTCCCTTGCATTTCTGGAGACTAGTTTTTTATCATAATTTTATAGTAATAGTTATCACTTTAATACATTTTCATCATATTTAAGCCACATACATATATATATAGTGTCTATATTTATAACTTGGCATTATGATGAATCCTGTGTTGTTCTTGGCTTGATTCATAAGATATTTTAAATAAATCGTTGCAGATATAAAATTTGTATATTTCACACTGCTGGGGTTTGTCTCATAAAAAGTTTCTCAGAGGTGCTGTTCAAAAATTCTGCACTTAATCATGTCAGGAACTTTAGTCATGATAGAGGACAGATAGTTTAAAAACATCTTCAGTTTCAGACTATGGCTCAGAGACCTAATAACATGCCATTGACTGTTTAAGCATAAAATAAATATTATGAATAGTTTGAGATGGTTCGTTGTATTTCTCTCTGATATTAATTTTATGGTAACACTGAAGTTCTCTTGTGAAGTCTTAATATTTAATGTTCCCAATTTTTCCTAGTTATAATATTATTCCTTATTGCAGAAACAGTTTATACATTATTAAAACATATTTAAACTGAGAGCCATGTAACACTGAACTAGCAGCCTTCATCCACCTACTGTACACTCTGCTAGAACCCCTGGCAGTAAGGGAATGACCTATAGTACCGGTAAATTATTATACTTTTGACTATAGAAAATGACCAATTTGAGACAAGATACCATTTCTTTACCCCCAAAAATTATTAGAACGGTATTGAAAACAAAATAGATTTTTTTATTTCGATATATGGTCATACAACTAATGTTAGTAGGTGTACTGTACAGTATTAATAGTGGGCTAAATTACTTAATTTTTGGTGATAAGAAATAGGAAAAAAAGTTAACAAAAATAATATTAAGGAAGACATAATAAGACTTAAGAGTATGATTGAAACCCACAGCAAAATACAAATATGAAATGCCATAGTATCACAGATTAGCAAATGTCACCAACAGCTGCCTTGACAAAGCTGCCATTTGAATGTACTGTACATTAACACAGGGTGTCTCGTATACTGTACACGCTGGCTTGCATTTTTTGTGCCAATCATGTAAATTCTTATATCACAACAACAGCGTCCTTATTTGTTGATGTGCAAAATCTACAATAATTCAGATCTCACACATCAACAAGTGAGGACAATGCTGGTGTTGTAATACAAACATTCACACGATTGTCACCAAAATCTGTAAGCCAGTGTGAATGATTTTTTTTTTTTTTTTTTTCCATATTCAGTATGATTCTAATCAAGTTAATTCTCCTTTAGTTTAATGTTTGCAACCTGTTACTTCAATAAGAAAGAGCACTGTATTGTATTTAGTAAAGCTGCCGGTATTAAAAAAGGGTAAGTTAACACCAATATATCAAGGCTGTACAAGAGATATTTAGTATTACCAAATTTTTTTTCTTCTAAGTTCTCAGTTTTGGGTAAGATAGGATACAGTTTATAAGTGTTTGCTATATTACGTTTCTTTTGTTTCGTCAAGAATATACAGTCTGTGATTACTAGTGCCTTATGATAGAGTCTTTCCTATTGTTACATGAATAATTTTGTACTAATTTACAGCTTTACAATGTGCAGTTAGTAGGTGTCTAGCACTAAATTAACTACATACACACTCCAAAAACTATCTTTATGGAAAAGTCGATGAATTTCAAAATTAACACTGTGACTCCTGTTGTCTCGGTAGGGTTGTCAAAATTGTTCGACCGTTGTGTCATATTGTCTAAAGATACTTTTTGGAGTGTGTGTACATAATACATACATCTTTAATTATTGTATTGTACTGTATTATGTATATTATTTTATGTAGGGTTTCCTGTATTATCATAATCATGTAAAAGAATGATCTGTACCTGGAGAAACACTAATGTAAAATACAGTATAAAGAGATATTAACAAATTCAGGTGTTTTCTTGACCCAATAAGTTCTTTTGTCTTACTGTACCTGTTTATGTGTGCTATTTTGTGGTGCTTTTATAATGGTGGTACTATACTGTATGTTGGTTGGTGATGCTGAACCTTAGGACCACCTTTGTCAGGAGTTGGTCCAGGATGGGGTTGATCACACTCATCAGAAGTATTGTGATGAGGTTTGGAGAGGGACATTGTCTTAGTGGCCTCGACACCCATATCATTCTGGACTCTCAATGACATCTCTAAACAAACCTAGCTGAATTTTCTGGTATTTCTTTATAATAAATGGCAACATGCACTACAGTACATGTTCACTGCAACACTAGACTACATTTACACTACAACACAAACACTACAGTACATTGTTTATTACAACTGCAGTACTGTAATACAGTGAACAGTACTGTACATATTCACTACAACACTAGCACCATACATGCTCACTAAAATGCACGTACAGTAATGCATTTTCACTACTAAGCCTTTACTTAATATTTCCTACATACAGTACAATCCTTGTACAGTACTATATGTTTACTAATGACTAGCATTGCATGGTAACTAAACACATCTTTCACATCACAATTGCTACATGCTCACCTTTATACAGTATGAACACTACATTTTAATGTAAACAATACTGTACTGCAGTACTGTACTACATATTCAATACAAAACTTGAACTACATAAGGTACTTACTACAACACTTGTACTATGTATTCTTTATAACACTAGCACTACATGTACACTATCATACTACAGTAGTACTATACTGTATATATTTACTACTTCACTATTACTACATTCTCAATACCACAGTACATAGCATTATTTTTTCATTATACTGTTGTACTGTACTAGTACAGGGTCAAGTTTTTATTCAAGAACCCTAAATGATTACAGTACTCAATTTTAGGATGTGCAATAAACAGCAACCTAAAAAATCAGACTTTATTCCCACTGATTTTTAGGTTGCTGTTTATTGCACGTCCTAAAACATAGTACAGTAACCAATTAGGGTTCTTGAATAAAAGTATAACCCTGTACTACACGTTCTTTTAATGGCACAAGTTTTTGATGTCCATTACTGCACAAAATCAATATATTCATAACAGCATAAATGCACATTATTATAGCACAAGTCCAACATGTTTCTCAAAGCACTACTACTACTACATGTTTACTACAACACTACTGCTATATGCTCACTACAATACAAATACTACATGCTTACAACATTAGTACAGGTTGCCCTTTAAATATCCAAACATCAGTTATCCAAAAAAACAAAAATAATAATTTGAGGTAAAGAAACAAAGCTACCTTCACTGAGGGTGTATTTATGGTATTATATTGCCCTCACTCACTAAGGTGTAACCAGGTACCCAGTAACTTACAGAGCCAACAAAAAAAGATGAATAACCACAGACATGTCACTAGATTAGTTTAAGAATCAATTTGTAATTCACTTTACCATCAGCAGCCTACACAGCCCTACAGTTACAAATATTTAACTGTAGGTACCAAAAAGTAACTGTACTGGACATGGTACTGTATTATTACTAACCTTACAATATTTATTAAGTTAGTTTAATTCTAGTTATACACAATACAGTCAACCCTCGCTTTACGCGGTCCCACTTTACGCGTTTCCACGTTTACGCGGTACCCTGCCGAAACCGGAATGCTCACTTTCTGCGGTGTGTGTACCCTTTTACGCGGAGAGCGGCGCGAGCAGGGTGCGCACAAGGTCGCCCAGTCATCAAAACATTACCATTCTTCACCTGCCACCCACCACAGCCGGCCCAAGTCAGTGATAGTGATAATGATAGTGAGGATATGGACTTTGAGGGGTTTGACAAAGAGGCCCTGCAAGCCTCTGTGGTGGATAGTGATACAATTGATACAGGTGAGGGCCAATAATCTGTCCTCTGCCTTGGAACCAACCCCCCATCCCCGTGTGCCCAGCCATCTTTTCTACTAATGTAAGTGTTAAAAAACCTAATATTATTGATATTTCTCTTAATTATTAATTGTGTGTGCATACCATCATAAAATTAAGAAGTTATTTTTACTACAACGTAGGTATTGTGTCTGAAAAAGTGGAGTTTGGGGGTCGGCCCGGTCTCTATTTCAATTAATCCCATATGTTATGTTGTTCACTTTACGCATTTCTCACTTTACGCGGGCCGCCGTGGGTTGAATTAACCGCGTAAAGTGAGGGTTCACTGTACTGTATACTGTATATTAAATAATTATAATATACCTGTAGTATTTTATTATGTGTTTAGCGAAATATTAGGTTTTTTTATAATAACCTAAAGTTAACCATTTTTTTTAACTAAAATGACTCTAGTCCCAAACATTTTGGATTTTTGAAGCACAACCTGTACTGTATAACATGTTTACTACAATACTAGTACTGTACTGCACAACACATTTACTGAAGCACTAGTACTACATGTTCACATACTTACAGTGAGTTCTGCTATAACGCATGTTTTGATAACGCGAATTTGCTCTAACGCGATTTATGAATTCGGAACAATATTTGTATAACGCGAACGCTTGTTTGCTATAACGCGATTTTTGCTTACTATTTCTCCAATTTTGTGGTATTAACTGTCAATATGGTAAAGAAGAATATCTCCAAAAAGCGTTCTGATGATAGAATTCCCGGTGATTATCGTAAAAGAAAGGATATAACACTTGAAGAGAAGCTTGATGTTATCAACCTCAAAATCACCCTTCTCCCCATCAAGTTACATTCATATTTTTTCAAGGTAAAGTGTTAAATTTACTGTATGATTTCATTATTAGATATGAATGTAACATTTATTTAGACTGTGCTATCCTTTGTGTTAGGCTAACTACTAAATTTTTTCGATTTCGAGTAATCTGCACCTAACCCTATTTTCTCCATAAGCCCTGTTATTTCTATTACGCGATTTTCTATAACACGATATTTTACAAGAACACAATTATCGCGTTATAGCAGAACTACCTGTACTTCAATACTATTATTAAATGTTCACATACAAAATTAGCAGCACATTCTCACTACTACCTACATCTTTAGTACTTAAAATATTCAGATAAAACAGTGTATATTCTCATAAAATCAGAACAACTACCATTTTAAAACTTTACCTTGCATGATCTTAATAGAGCAGGTAACACTAATGGGATATTATTTAACACTTACTCATCACATACCTTCATCTACCAAGGAAACTGTCGATGAGGCGTTAAGGTCCAATCACTTGCCATCCTCTTTGCTTTGAGAGAGTACATGAGTAATCTTACAGAACCATACATGTCTGGATATGTAACCCTTCTCTCTGTAACCAAAAGGAAAGTAATCAAGTGTTACCTAATGTCATATCAATGCCAGTGACTACCTCGACCAGCTAAACAAGTACAGTAATGGCGGAGGTGTCCTTTGATACAAGAAAGTTGGTTGCATTATTCTGATACTTTCATGTAACAGTGACATTTTTCATTGTCATTTATGCAATATTAACTCAGATGCTAAATCACATGAGTGGAAAAGGAGGGTATGGGGTGGTACTTTTGAGTATGGTGAAGCATAATGAAACCTAACTCTTGGCTGGAACAGAATAAACAGTGGGATGGGAGTTCTGGGAAGGTAATAAACTTCCTCTAAATAAGTGTTTGCTCTACCCTCAATATTAACACCACAATGTACAGTCTCACCCAAAGGTTCGTTGACTCTCCCAGCCAGTTATTGCTGCACTGCCTGCTTCAGATGTTTGAGACTGTCTCCGTACCAACCAGAACACGAAACCGATACGAATGAATCTAAAGGTTCGAAGTAACAGACTCAAGTTCATACATCTGAAACAGGCAGTGCAGCAATAGTTGGCTGGGAGAGTTAACGAACTTTTGGGTGAGACTGTACAGTACAGTATAGTATAGACCTATAAAATGAAGTATTATATAGTGTAGATACATACTTATTAATGTAAAGAACTACAGTACAAATAATCAAATACTGTACCATGGAGAAAGATGTACCAGTTATAACCTATTGCAAAAAAATGTGATGTGTTTTAGGTCCCAAATTTCCAAACCTAGTTGACTATATTCACCAATAATAAAAACCCTGATAACTACAACAGGCATTTGGAGCTTTTGAATCATGTGGCTACTAAAATAAGTCTTTGTGTTTACGTGTTGTTGTGTCCTCAGAGGTTTCATGGTATCATCAATTCACAAATGTATTATATAATGGGCAATTAGGGGTCAGGTTCCAAGGGCTATCAAGACTATCCATTACTACAACTTTTACTCTCTCATAACATATAAAAGCCCTTGAAAAGCATCTGTTGTATGATAAAATACATAATTACATATAAAAAAACTTTACTCGTCAAATGTTTAATAATTTATTGGATTCTTAATGTCTTCCCTTGACAGAGGTTCTCACTGATGTCGTGTCAAACACTCAGTACTACAGGTTCATCATCATATTAGCATTAGCCAAATAAAATCTCTTACCTGTACTAAAATATCCCTTATTTATACTTGGGTAGACTTGAAGTAGAAGTAGTGTTCCAAATCTTGTACAGGGTATTGCTATTATTTTAAATTTAACCCATTGGTGAGGAAGATTTACCGATACGTTTATTCCATAACAATTTCTGCCGAGATATTGCTTACACAACATTAGTTTACCTTACCAAATAAGGCCATAATATATACAGTCTTCATATATAATGTAAGCATTATGTCAGCTTATGGATATACGTACCATAAACCTTAAGAGTGGTTGTGAAATATGTGAGTAAAAGATTTTGTCTGATTAATGCATTATAAAGGTTGCTGAATTATACACTACTTGTTTCGTCTTCCTTTTTTGAATACATATATATATTTATTTTATTTTATTTTTTTAATGTGCCGCTGTGATCAATTTATGCAGACATTCTTCCATGACTTAACACACCCACTGTACCTGAACCATCATACTTCGCCCATCTCTTGTTTCCTCTTCTATACTTTTCATCACAATGCTTCTGTTTACATTTCCTATTAACTTTCTCTTAACTCACACTCTTCCAAATTCCTCCCTAAACATTTACAACTTTTCTTCTGAACTGTACATTACTGTAGTACTGTATGACCTAACAGGACCCAACACACATCCCATTGCATCCTGTATCACCAGATTCCCTTCTATACAGTACACCTGCTTTCACCTTTCATGCTACCCTATCAATAATCATTGTGGCATTTCCTAGTTTCTACTTCTACCCGTTCCTACACCCCCACAACAACACCCCTTCCCACACACACATTCTTAAGTTTAAAATGCCTTTGGCTTCATGAGTGTGATAGCTAAACCAGTTTTTACCATTTGAATAATTTATAATTCTGTATTGCCATTGGGGTCCCCACATTTAAAAATATAGAGATAATCAAAACTTAAAATAATTAGGAAGAGTCTGCATATAGTGCGTCTTGTGCTGCAACAATTTGATAAAGAATTGTACAGTAATTTGTTTAAATGATTGTGTGCATCATCTACTACAACTACTTCATAAATACAGTGGGGTATGCTATAACGAATCTAATTGGTTCTAGAACCTTGTTCGTTATAGCATTCGTTCGTTATAGGATTAATCCGTTCCAGGCCCCCAAATACAACCACTTAACACTGAAAAATAAAATATAAAATTGTAAAAATTGTAAAAAGGTGCATAAATATGCATCTAAACCCCTGAAATAAAGAATATCATTAATACTTGTAATAAAAAAACAATAAATTAGTAAAAAAAAAAAAAAAAAAAAAAATTTTTTTTTTAAATAATGTTCGTTGTAGGAGTTTCGTTCGTTATAGCATTCTCAATTTTATAGGTAAAACCGTTCGTTATAGGAATATTCGTAGTAAGATCCGTTCGTTATAGCATACCCCACTGTACTTGATACTGTACACTCAAGCTGATATAGACTCCTGCAAGGCCGCAAAGCTGTACTACACAAGATGTAAGGACTATCTTTCCTCCATATAAAAGAGCATTTAGGAGATTCACATAGTAAGAAAAAAGAATAAAATAGCTTTGCTCTTAATCACCAATCACTTTTACAATCATTGGTATAAATAACATACATTATTATGGAAAGAAAATATAGAAAACTAAGAAAATTATATAAATTTCGAACTTTTACTACAAAACCAGGTAATTACAAATAAAGGTAAAACAATGTACAGTACTATATAACAGGTAAATTAGAAGACTATATTTTAGAATAACATCATACTCCTGAGCCTCCGAAAGCTTTTAATGCAAACGCTGTGGCCAGAGTGCCGATACCTGCCCCAACAGCCATTGCTGTGGCTATACGACCATAACTGTAGTTTACAACAACCACGGGAGCTTCTTGGTGCTCCTCACTCATTGATATACTCTGCCTATTGGTCTCTAAAGATGAAGACACTGCTTCTGTCAAAATCTTCACCATGGAAACAATTTCGTCACGAGTTCTATCTCCCTCTGACACTACATGGCTAAGATAAGCCTTGAGCTTTTCATTCATCTGTTCCAGAAGTAGCTTCCTCTCTTTTGCAAGATTCTCATTTATTTGGTCTAAAATTTTTTGTCTCAGTTCCTCAGTTAGCTGCACTACATCTTCCTTTGTTACTTTGGCTGGCAATGGTCCACTAATGTCTCCATTGTGCTGCTTTGTTTCAAGGAGAGTACTGGTGCTGTTCTTTGTTTGTGTGGTATTTGGTGATACTGGTGAATCATTTTCAGCCATGGAAAACAATGCCTGAACAGTGCCAGCTGGATTACCACGTTCAGGTTGTGGGTGAGCGGTAGTAGCAAGTAATGCCTTGATGGTGTCCAGTACATCCTGGTGCATCTGCTGGAAGCCATCCAGCAGGTGTTGGCCTTTACTGGTCACATGATCTTTAATCTCTCTGATCCTTACCCAGTTGTTGACCGAGGTGATGAGGGATGCCAGAGCCGCCGATACCACCGATGCGATGATTGACCTTTAAACAGAGAGACCAAGATCTGGGTAAAGACAATAAAATTAGCAAGTTGCTCAGTCTTTTTAAAAAGGTACAAATGGTGACGTGGCATAATACACCTATTATGTTGATAGTTACACATGCATGAGAATAATACTATTTTCACCTTATAAATTATTAAATATTGGTGCCATATATAATAATAGAATTTAACTTCATAAAGAATGGGATTTTACCATGGCTGGTTTAATTTCAAACAGAAAGACTGGGTTTATGTGCAACAGTCTGGTTTCATTTCTTGCATAACTATAGCAATGTAACAAAGTACATAAAACCCAGCCAGCAGATGAGCAATAGCAAAGGTCATGTGACCCTGACCATTGATACCAAAGTCAGTACAATGCTTTCTTGATCTAAGGGGCATCAATAAACACAGACTTACATGAATAAAGTTTCCACCTCCTCCTTATCAAGTGATGTTGGAGAAACAGCATGTAAAATATTTGGCAAAAACATCAAAGTTAAGATATCCTTCATTCCCAAGATTGATACCTTTAAATATATCATTTTAAGTCATGAAGTGCGGGAGGACTGGCACATACAAGACAAGTTTGTAAGGTGAGAAATGACAGCAAACAATCTCCCCCATTACATGAAGGGAGACTGTCACTCAGTCTAAAACAAAATAACATCACAAATTAAACAAAAGATATCTGTCCTTTATATACGTACATGGAGGCTTAAAATATATGTTTAAAGAGAAATTCTCCTAAATTATACAATCCAGGTACAAGACAGATAGAATAAAATAATACATAGATACAATAAGTCAACAGTAATTTGGACTTCATCCAAAAATCAAGATAAACAGATAAATTGCTGAGCTAAAAGGCAAAGGGAACAGAAAAAAGTTAGTGAGGAAGTAGTGTCATCAATGGTGTGTTTCCTGGGAATAAACATGCCCCCCCCCCCCTGCAATATTCAAGAAAAATTATGTGAAACGAAAGTCTGCCTATATATCCTCTTTGACAATGAAGCTGCAGTGGTTTCATCTTCATATCTCTGGTAACATTACAACCAAGAAACAATATCAAGTGGTCCTTGACCATTTTTATGCTGGGAATTATCGTCTCATCTAATGACATATATGTACAGTCTAATATTCTCTTCCAGGAAAATTTATTTTATCAACATAAAAAACTTGCTTTGGAGATTAACGTCCTTCACCAATGATTTGTTCGAAATACTAGGTAAGTTTATTAGTACTTGCTGCCTCACCAATAGTCTTGATGTTGTGGAAGTTGGCCCCATTTAAAAACTGTTGAAACCAACCAAAGTTTACACTGAATGGCTCTGCCTGTGATCCTTCGCCCACTCTGGCTCTCGAGTCATTGTACAAATCCTTGACCTTAGATTGAATCACTAGGTGACTGACAGGCACATTACAATGGTTTTGAGCCTCTATCCACACCATGAGGTGCTCCATAATTGCACTTCTTGACTGACAGATCTTCTTTGCACTAACAGGAGTCACACAGTGATACACTTGAACAGATTTTATCAGCATTATCATAAATGGATCTCACACTAATGAGAGTGAGATCTAGAGCAACACCAACTGCATCAAAATTTCACAAGACTTCTAATTTAGTGCCTAAACTGATGAATTTCTTGTCTCTTATGGAGTAGATCTTTTATGGGGTAGACACACCACTATCACTTCCTGGGCAATTTGTAGTCATCCTGGGATAGTTTGCAATGAAAACACTTGATGGTGGGCACAGTGTAAACAACAAAGGCAAACCATGCAGAAGGAGGAGAACTGATGAGTGTCCTCCACACTGTACATCACAAAGCAGTAGCACCTAGCAGACAACGTTATAATGAAACATCACATGACTTTATATGGATATGGGGCCCAATCACTCAGGAATGCTACAATGAAACAATGTGAGTTAAAGCAACTTGATATGAGGACACCTTATACAGTACAGAATTTCAATTACATCCCATATCCAGGCAACCATCACACTTCAATAAGCTACATCCCTCATCCACATAATGAGTACTGTACTGTACTATACTGTATGGTGCTCACTATGAATGGCATCTGGTTAACAGCCAGATCACAGATCTTGTGAATCTAAATTCTGTATCACAGATCACTGTTTGGTCACACTAAATAAAATTTAGATGTTCTGAGTTGTCCTAAATTTGACTGACATATAAAAAAATTGCATTATGAACTTGACCCACCAGTATTTGCTCTGCTCCGCCTGCATGCGTTCCTGTTCATGACAATCACGTATAGCAGCTGACATTTGTGTAAAGGTGTCACGTTCCAGCCGTTCACATTGTGCAAAGTCTGAACGTACAACCTTCAACTGATCATTCCACTGACGGGCCTGTGATCCATAAATGAAAGTGTTAGTATATGTAATAGCAGTTAAAATGAAAAGAAATCCTTTCCTCCTTAATGTAAAGTCAAACACCCACCTTTTCAAGCTTATACTGTAAGTGCAATGACAGACATAATGAAACAGACTATTTCATCCTTCTACAACAAGATCAATATGAAAAATGTCCATAAGCACACACAGTACAAGTGCTATATCCTTGTACTGTACTCTTCAAGGGAGATGTAAAAATGGAGGACTGACATATGCACGCCTGGCATAAAAGCTTGGGAGTTTTTGAGGTGCAATAACTGTTCAGCTTATCTCCTGCCTGAGATAAAATAGGTTAACTACTTCAGTACTTCACTGGATACAGTACAGTTTTTGATGAAACTGGGTGAGGAACTGTTTTGCAGAAAATGCATTAGTTACATGAATAATTCTTACTACCACTGTACTGTATCATACTCTATGACATCATCAAACAGTCACTGGGTGTTGATTGTGTTGGTAATATCATGGGTCACTCATTGAAGCTCATTGGTCATGACTATAGTTATCTAACTCATTGTATTTCTGTAAATATGATCCATGCAGTACAGTATGTGGAAAACTTACTGAATACAGTACAGACAAAGAGGCTCCTGATACAGTATTCTTATACACACCTGTTCTAATAACGTAAAATGCTCCTTAGAATAAAGTTCAGTTTTATTGATGCGATCATGGTTGACGACCTGTTTCTCTTGGATGTCTTCAATCTCTGCTTGCAGCTCCCGCCGTTTACTCTGCACTCCATGCAAAACTTCAGACAGCTAACAAAAACAAAAACAAAAATTGTTATTTTCTCATAACAATGTTTGGTACGTGGATAATACAGTAAGTGTAGTGGATCTGAGCACGACAGAACTCATAATAAATCTGGTGAGATACACCAAAGTTCAATTGAATACTACAGTAATTGCCACATCAACAACTAGTCCTTCCCTCCCCTTCACATCTCATTTTACCACTACAGTACAGTAGTGGTAAAACTTCCATGGGTAATTCACTAATGAAATCCATTCCATTAATCCCTTGTTTTCAATCCTGCCATAACACACCACTTTTTATCATGCCATCCCTACTCTGTGTCGGTTTCCTTTAGCCAAACTCTACATGAATTACCTCCTGCTCTCAGATTTCTCCCTGGCCTCTCCTGACTTCTATAGGAATACATAATTTTGTACAGTACACCTCCCCCCCTGTACTGAGTTTTATGAAAATGTATCTAACTTTTAACAAAATATCCTGGTCTAAAGGTACTGTACTGTTTACATTACTGCTCCCCATAAAACCATGACCTACCGTAATTACCTAACTGGTATATAAATTGTGTTAAGTTGTAGCAATGATATGTACTGTATGATAATAGTGAATCTACACAAATGATAAAACAAATTGTGGTTTTTACTGAATGACTCGTAGTTTGGTTTGGCCAGACCTACTGTACTGTATTTATGTAACGTAAAAATGTAACTTGCATTTTAACCTATGGGAAGTGATGGCTTGCTCACTCACCTCTGTAACCCTGTCCTGTGCAGTTTTTAAAGAAGTTATACCAATAAAGTCTTGATATTGTTGGTACCAGCGATTTAGTATGTCATTCCAGTCTTCAGGTTTTTTTGTGCCGGCTTCGCCTGCCGGTGCAGTGATGCTCGTCTGCCGTAAGCTGCTAATTAACGATGATGACTTTTCTGATATTTGCTGTCCCAGAGAATAAACCTCAGGATTTTTCTCACGGATATAATTAGTTATTTTCATTCCACTCGGCATTTGTGAACCATCGTTTGAATGTGATTGTTTCTGCTCAGGTTCGTCACTAGTTTGTTTACTTCCCGGTGGTTTTGTTGAGCTGCACATATGACGGCATGACCTAATGTGTCCCGTCATTTGCAACACATATATTTGAGCGTCACTTGTCTTTCCACGGTTTGAACAGCACACCACACTGGGGCTGTGTATAGCCCTCACACTGGGAGTCTGAGTGAAATAGAAGGACCTTAATCCTAAATAAGACTTGCTCCTCCAGCCATAAGAACAGAATGGCCGCTCCACAACCATCACCAGTGACCGCTGCATATTTGCCAGGTCACCTTTTGCTATATAATATCTTAATATTTATGTACTGATAAATAAAGTAGACTCAATTTCTTTACATAACAGGAACTAGTCTGCTTTCCAAATATTTTATGGACTAATTGCACACTAGTCACATTCTGAAATAAAATACACAATACTGCATTAAAAATACTGTATTTCCTAAAAAAAATTTAACAGGGAAATCTTTTTAATGATGTCTAAAACACTACTTTTTATTAAACAATACTATACTTTAACATAATACTGTACTGGGCTGATGATACCAACAGACCCCACTAAGGTGTGCACAGTACAGTACACAATGCAGCCAAAAGTAAGATTTTTTAATCACTTGATATGATTTTTAAAGTACAAATGGGCTGTAGTCACCAACCCTTCAGCAGTTAAAGAAAATACACTGATCTAATTATGATTCTAGCAGACACGAGCCAACCTAACCTGACCTAACCACAGACACGAGCCAACCTAACCTGACCTAACCACAGACACGAGCCAACCTAACCTGACCTAACCACAGACACGAGCCAACCTAACCACACACGAGCCAACCTAACCTGACCTAACCACAGACACGAGCCAACCTAACCTAACCTGACCTAACCACAGACACGAACCAACCTAACCTTAAAAAAACCCAGTATATTATGAGGGTTAGGTTAGATTTGGTTATGTTACGTCCAGCTAAGACAATGGTGTTTGATCCTCAGGTGAAATAAACTGAGGTTCCTAATCTCTAGTGTTATCCCTCCACGAGAATAAATTATTATACTGTATTACTCCTACACTGGGTACTGTCATGACCTCCAGATACAGTACACTCATTTACTCTGTACCAATGAAGTGTTAAGCTGTGTAATTATTCTTGATAAAATAATCATCATCCACCTATTTGATATTGGTTTTCTTTATTCATTTTTTACACCATCAACACTTAACACTACTAACTATCACTGAAGTATACCTGTGATGTTTTAGCGGTTGACTCAAATAACCATGTAATATGATCTTAATATAAAATAATCTCAATTAGAGTAACACTTATAATAGCCGGTTAATAACTGTAATTAAAGTAAGTCAATATAACAGACAATAACCAACGTGTCAACTTATATTACATAATAATTAACTGTATCACTGCCCAGCTCTGCACCTCCATGGCGGCAACAACAAATCTATATATTTCAATAGACATGACAGATAATTTACCTCACATTTTATAATATTCGAACAAGTTTTTATTACCTATATTTACTAATAGTTAACTACATAATATATTACCTGGCTGTGGGTGACATAATAGTTACATTTCACTACTAACTGAACCTCTATCCCCCACATCTGTCATGGAAATTGATGTAATTTAAATTTACTATTCCATAAAAAACATATAAAAAAGAAATTATTGTATTTATATATGTATAAATTATCAATAAAATAGATTAAAGCAAAAATAAAACAACATTAAAAGTAACAACCGCATCTGGTATAAATGTTATGATAGTTATTCAATACATAATACAATTTTATAATGATAATGACTATTAGTAGTAGTAGTAGTCAGAGAAGCAGATAAAGAGCTCAATATACATATCTAGAACCTTCATCTTATTCTAGACTCTTGAATAAACTTTAGGGGTACACAGTTAACTCACATGTTGGTGTTGGTGAAGAAGCGACCATCATATGACGTCACGGCCATTAGTGGAGTCATTAGTGATGTAATGGACGCTAGATGAAACCATTGAGAATTTATTTGTTATGCAGTACAAGCAATAGACAGTCAAGAGATACGACTGTCGGTGTTAAACTATCATATGGTACCTGGGGGAGACCAGGAAGTGGCGTTACTGGTAAGGTTTTGAATACATTGACTGTATTGGTAGCTGTGAACAAACCCCAATGAAATTAAGTATATAATAGCTTCCGAGGACTATGTTTAGTGAATTTGAATTAATTGTAACATTTTTTGTGTATATCTGTACAGTTGAACCAGTTTAAACTTGTAAAATAAGTGAATAAAGTACTGTACTACAGTATCTGGTGATCACAAGGTAAGGACAAATTTTCGGGACGAGTTTTTCTGTAATAATTAATAATATCTTCACAAATGCCTGACTATAGTAGTGTTAGGCTAGGGGGTGATAGTGATAATTTACACCCTCACTTGTACACACAATGGGGTTTGCCTCTGTATACATGGCTGGGGACCTACAGTACAGTAATGGGGAAATATTCTAGTGTGTTTTGGTGTTTTTTTTAAATTATTTCTGACATCTGTTTCTTGCGGAAGTGCACTGTACCTAATCTAACCTAACCCATAAAACCTAACCTAACCCTTAAAACCTAACCTAACCCAAAAAACCTAACCTAACCCAAAAAACCTAACCTAACCCAAAAAACCTAACCTAACCCTAAAAAAAAAGACCATGACTGATAAAGAAAATAGGGAATTGAGATACCTGATATGACTTGGTGTTGTAAATGTATGATAATTATGTTAAGTTATTGATAGTTCTTGTGTAGGTTTAGGGTTATAGATGTAACAGTAGGAGATAAAGTTACTGTAATGTTTTTATAAGGTGCGGGGTATAAGTAAGGCAGCCGTATGCTATATGTGTATTGGTATGACAGCCTAATGCACATGAGTGGTGGTCAGGCTATATGATAATAGTTACTAAGATGGCCTTATTTTTGACTAACCTAACCTAACCTATCCCAACCTACTCTACCCTATAACCTAACCTAACCTAACCTACCCTACCCTACCCTATAACATAACCTAACCTAACCTATCCCAACCTACCCTACCCTATAACATAACCTAACCTAACCTATCCCAAGCTACCCTACCCTATAACATAACCTAACCTATCCCAACCTACCCTACCCTATAACATAACCTAACCTAACCTAAGCTACCCTACCCTGTAACCTAACTTAACCTACCCCTACCCTATAACCTAACTTAATATAACCTTTCCTAACTTAACCTAACCTACCCTATAACCTAATCTAATGTACCCTACCCTACCCTATTTTATTAATCTTAAGAATACCGTCAGTAAATAACACTGCAGGTATAATGCTGTACCTGAGGTAATCTTTAATGTATATAACTTTAAAGGAACTTATACCTAACCTAACCTTCGTCTAATTATTAAAAAAAAACAAAAAAAAAGACATACAGAATCAGACAACGGACAAGAAAACTGCTGGGCAAAAATGTTTGATACAGTACTAGTGGAGGAGACGGCTAACACCAGAAAGTTTTTTCTTTTATTTTATTATACCGTATTATATTTTCGCCCCCCAGGCCTTGATGTGGGTCATTAAATATGACCCGTGCCCGGGTGGGCTAATGCCCTTAAAAAAAAAAAATTAATAAAACGATTTAACAACTTTTTCCCTGTATTATATTTTTTCTTTATCTAGGATCATAAATCACCTGTAGTGGGCAGGGCATAAAAGAAGGAAGAAATTATGGGGTAAAACACGGTGAAAAACTGATCATATGACTGTAGTAAACTGTCTTTAAGTGTTTTGTAGGCAAAGAAATAAATTATTTACCATAAATAATCATTCGATATTTTTTCCGTGACGTTGCGTGTTACCATCTTGTCATAAACTATAAATTTGTGTTTTTGGTCTTTGTAAACATTAGAATAATGATGGAGGCTTCCATCTGGGGTTTTATTACCATAAATATTGGTTTGATTGTCTCTTATTTTCAATGTTATAGGTTTCACTTACGTAACTAGTTTTCATGAGCATAGGTTATGCACCCTCCCCATCCCCTTTTTTTCACTTAGCTCAATTGGTTCTTGAACCTATTCTATTTATAAAGGATGATATTCATATACTGTAGGTGGAATCAAATCTCATATTATGAGTTTGGATACATATTCAATTTCTTTTGAGTAGCATTGGATTCTAAATGAACTGTATCATCAGGTGTACTTACTGTTCTTCTCCGAGGGCCAAGGGAACAGACTGAGACAAGCTTGTATTTTAACTGTGTAGTGATGGCATCCTGTGCTGGTTGTTCTATGTCTTATCACAAGTTTATCTGTGCTTGTAGAGGTTGAAGACAGTCTCCAAGAGATCATCTTTCAACATTGACTAGTTGGCAGGACATGCAAGTGTTCAAAATGTGGCAGAGAACTGACAGTGAAGAAGAAATATGTGTTTCAATGCAACGACTGACTGTACTCTTTCACAAAAAAACACACTTAAAATTACACAATTGTACTTCTAGAAAGTTGCTTTCATTAGTATCAAATATCAAAGTAAGTTATTTCTGCTCAATATGCCAGAGGGACTGAGGGTCCTGGGGATAGGAAGTTAGGTAGGTTTGGTTGGTTAGGTCAGGTTCTGTTAGATTCTGTGCATTGTCGTATGATTTTTCTTACTTAATATCATCCAAACAACATCTAAGGAAAAAATTAACTAAATCAAAAGATTGCTTCTGGTGTTAGCTGTCTCTTCCACAATTACCAAATACTGTACAGTATACTAAACACAAAAATGATATCAGTAAAGTTTAGAATTAGTAGTTGATATTAGCTATATCATACACCGTTGCGGGGTAAACAGCTATGCAAGCTATTACATCAAATAGCTGTGGTACATGGCTGTACAGACACTCTGTTTAAGATTTATACTGTACCCTTCACTGTATTGTTCATTTCAACTATGAATGTAGTTTCCAAGTTGGTAAGGAAATGCATCAAGATAAATTTTCAAAATATATTTGGGGTAAAATTGGCAATTTATGAGCTGCAGTTTGTGTCGCTGTGCTGTATCTGTACATCACAGTTTGTGTGCATTACTACACCTAGCTACCACTACTTGACTGTTCTCTGCAGATGTGAGGAGGGAAAGGGTTTAGAATGGAGAAAGACGGCCTTGTCAGGGCACTGCTTACATCAGTGCCACACACATCAACATCCCTGACTAGTGCTTCAAATATCTCTCCTGGAAAGGTATGTTTGTCTCTTGTTGACCCCATCATTATCAAGTGTGCAGTAGATGTGCCATTACTCTCAATCACAGTTGTTTTATCCAAGAACACTTGTGCCTCAGACATCATTACTATTGACAGAGACGGTTAATAACATTATTTAGACATTGTCTTAACTTAAAATCTAATGCTTAAGTTGTATGGTCTTATATTTTGTAGAAAATACACTTTAAGGTACAGTATTACAGCTCTACTGTAGGTCATAAACATTTATTCTTAATATGTATATGTACTGCACAGCAACTTCTACAGTACAGGACAGTACAGGTAGGTTATGTGAAATTTTGATTATTACTGATATAAAAATTCTACTTTTGGTCCAATATGAATGTGATCACCACATAACTTACATTACACAGCATAATACAGTGATCGCCAGTGAGGGTAGTGTGAAGGGTAACATCCCATTTTGTCTACTTCCCATTGTATCTATTCTCAGTGTGTCTATTCTCGAAATGTAGCCATACTGTACTGTATTTGGTCTAAGTTGGGTTTGGTAAAGTAACTTTCAGATATCTTTAACTGATAGTACTGTAGACACTCTGGGAATGTGTGAAATTTTCAGAATAGACAGAAAAGGAGGAGACAAACTAGGAAGTTGGTAGACCAAATGGGCATAAACTGTGGTGTGGAAGCCATGGTGACAACAGTGAAGGTGTTCTGTACCACAATCTCCAAATTATTTCATATTTTAAATTACATGTGCATGTGTGTCATGTAAATAATATTGTTAATAGCAGTTTAAAGTAATCTCAAGGGCACACAGTGAGAATCAAGATATTTTTTCTTTTTTTACAGATCCATGCTGGATCTTCAGGTCTCAACTCCCTCTCCTTCCGTCGCCCATGTCCCTCTTCACGGCCTGGGTCCCCACGAGCCCTGGGAAGTGGCCCAGGATTTAACGAGAGCTCAATGGAGGTCAAAACAAGAATCCCGGGCGACCCGCATGCCAGGTTTGCCTCAGTGCTGAGGCTGGCTAGTGGGCAGGTGTGTCTTAGTATCATCTTATTACTGGGGTAACACTAACACATTTTCACCATGTGTACTGTTTGAGGTTCCTGGAAGATTTCTCTTCACTTTTAGTATCTAGAAGAAATACTTGTACATTATTCAGTATGAATGATGATTGGGAGTAAACCATTGCTTCAAACTCCTAGTTCCACAGGTGCTTAGAGACAGAGAGGTGTGAGATTCACTCCAAGATAGGTGCACTCTTGTCTCAAACCAACCATGTTTAGGACCCCATCTGTAATATAGGCAAGCTTTTGAGGAATAATTAAAGATCAGTGAACTCCCATATGTGTATTTTGTAATATGAAGGAACTGTATACTACTGTATACTGTACTTTCATATCATATTAATTAATGGTAAATATTTTTCTTACACTCATAAAATAACTAAAATAGTTAATTACATTATATCCACCAGGAGAGTGAACCAGATATAGTGATGCTGGACCACTCGTATGCTCGACCTTGGAATTGGCGGCCAGAAGCCTCGCATGCTCGGCCAAGGAAGATGTTGTTTATGGCCAAGAGTGCTCGTCAAAGTCGTAGCAGCGCCAAGTGTGTATATCATGTTCTGTCTTATCAGTGATATTTAGAATGTTTAACTAAAAATTACCAGAAAATCACCACATGCCTGACAAACACCTCACTGAAAGTTGAGATATAGAAGGTGAATTTATTGAAATTCTTTGTACAATTTTCTATGTTGCTGAGCACAAACTGTTACCAGTGGATGTGGTAGATCTCTTGCTCATAGAATAACCATCATGGCAACATTAGATTGGTCTCCTCACCACCTGTTTCAGTGTCATAGTTTGTTGTTACACCTTGTCAAGTCAGTATAGACAGCCTACACATGGTTTATTTCTCCTTATTTTGTGTGTAGCTATGTGTGCTGTGGTTCATCTTGCATTTTACCCAGTGCTTCAGCTCCTCCTGTTAAGAAAAGAAGAGTGAATAAGGCTTTAATTGACTCAGTGATAGTTCAGTGTCGTGTCTCTTGGTGTTACATCTTAATAACTACAGTGTGCTATATTTATGCATAACCAAGGGTACAGAACTTTCTCTTAGATCACATGTACAGTACTGTAGAGGTACTCATACTAGGTCCCTACAGTTTAGTGTTATTTTAATTCTCTTTATCTTTTGCACTTTGTCACAAACCATGTATGTTGCTTTGTTATTTTGATTTCTGAAAAATTAATGAAGCTTTTCTAAAATGTTGTTAACAGTTATGATGAGCTCATAGACGTTGATGGTGAACCTTCCCCTCTACCTCCCTTACCATATGACTTGAGTAAGGCCCAACAAGTGATGAGCGAGTGTGAACGCCACGTTGTTTTTGCCCGGTTGGACCAGATCAAGCCAGAACTACGCCAAGATAGGAAACAGACTCCAGAAGATGAAGATGAAGACTGGGGGGATAAAATAACTAGGTAGGTTTCATTTTATTTATTAATATTCATATGCAAATGATTAAAAAATTAATTACAAGAAATAGAAGTCAAATGACATGATGATGTTAATGTGCAATACTGTACATAGATCACCTATATGTCATCATACAGTTGCAGAAAGTTGTCAGCACACAATGATGAGATTCAACAGGTTTTAAAGTCCAATGAAGTATTAAAAAATGCTGTATACTATATGTATTTTCAGAATTGGTTGGACAGACCCACAGTCAGCCCTCTTCAACAAGGTGGTGCAGATCCTGGACTCTGACCGCCTGGGACGTCTTGCTCTAAAAGACTCCCACAATGAACCTGTCACCCGTAGAGCTCTCGTTGGTATGTTGTAGTGATCACTCCCACAAGTGTTGAGTTAGTTTATCACCAACTTTTTTACTGCATTTATTTTTCTCCTTGCCACATGTGACCTTAATAAATCATGCATTGTTACCCATAATAATATCTTCAGTCATAGACAAACTTTCACATAAGGCTACACTGTCATGCTCTCCTCAGTTTTCATCAGTTGAAGGGCTAATAAATGTGGTAAAAACTAATGATGATGATTTTGTGTTTTCATGGAAACATTTGTTTGGGTGTCTGTATTTTAAGATCACTGTTACTGTAAACTGAGAGTGTTAGGAGCACTTCTTGCTGCTAGAAGTGTAGGTTTTATTTGGAAGAATTAATAAAATGCAAAAGTATGTCTTATGAATCAGCTAAGTAAGCATTGTAATTAGCTTTGAAGTATTCAAACAATGTGGAGGAAGTTTTGATCTACTGAACTTTATCTGACTTGATAAGACATATGATTGAATGAGTGTAATGTAGGTATTATGATTCCTGGTGCTCCTTCATCATGTTTAGCTGCATGATGGATATACAGTATGTACTGTACTGGATATGTCATAAAAAATAACAGAAAGGATTAGGGAGGATGTTAGATAGTACAGTACTCTTGTGAACTTCCCTCCTGAGAAGCTTTGAACATAAAGGTGTCCAGCAGTATACTTCACCCATGTCACACACCATAAAGCTTGTTAGAATTACAAATATTATCTTGCCTACAGATAAAACTTCAGCCAAGTTTCGACAGGCTCTTGCACGGGTCAACTGGGACTCCAAGTTGACCCAGTGGCTTCACTCCATCCTCCTCCAGCACCTCAGTCTCTCGTACCTGGCTGCTTACCTGGACATTCTGCAGGTGTGTAGTTGTCAGGCATTACATTCTTGATAGTCTCATAGAACCAAAATGTGTCAATAGCCAAACAAAATTGTGCACTTTGTTTCATATCTTTTAACTGATTCTCTTGCAGACATTAAAATCCAAGATCCCGACACTAATAGACAAGATGGTGTCGCTGAGCAGTACTCACCGAGGTGCGAGTGTCGAGGCCCTCAATCTGTTGTTGAAGCGGCCTTGGGACCCTGCAGTGCCTTCCTTAAATCACCACAAGCCGGTGAATATTACAGAATTATTATGAGGGAGCGAACTGTAACAGAATGTGACAGTACAAATGTTTATATTTGTGATGACAGATAGTTTAACATTGAGTAGGAATATTAAACTGTGTCTTGTACCCCCAAAACTTACTCAGAATGATCATGTCCCAACATATTTGTAATAGGAATATTATGGACATGGGAGCTGTTTACCCCACCACTTTTACTTCTTAAAGGTCATCTTTCTGTGGTGTAACTAATAACTTATCTAACTGATGTTTTAGGCAGGTATGTCAATTGACTTTTATGTATCTTTTTATTTATTTTTTACAAAATTCAGTTATTGACCCTAACCTAACCTTCATCTATCCAGTTGAAGTAACTATTGAACTACCACAGCTACTCATTGTATCTTATCCTACTCTGACATTAACTTTGAATTACTTATCAACTTATACCTTGTGTTAAATTTTTAATGGTGCCTAACAAATCTTTTTCTTACCCATTTGTTACCTTACAGCGGAAACTGGATGGTTCTGTAATCATCGTACAGGTGCCCAGTGGTCCACCTTCCAGCATCCCCCAGGCTCCCCGCAGAATACGCTTCTTCAATGCTCAGCTGCAGCACATGGCAAAGACAGTACCTGTTATGATTACCCCTGGTATGTCATGCTGGTGAACAGTGTATATTTGTAATGGCAGGAGGAATGTCTTCAGCCTAAGTAGAAATGTGTGTGTGTCCCTTGGTATTAAGAAAGAAATAATAAGATCGGGCATAGATTAAGCAAGTGGTGTGTGATGGTAAGCTGTTGTGACAATGTTCAGTGTATAAAAACATGCTGTGAGGCAACTTTCCATTGAAGAAATAATTCCAATGTCAACTGAAATGCCACTTACATATTTGACATCACTGTTTCTAGATAAGCAGGTGGTTGTTTTTGTTGTGATTGTATCAGATAATGTGTGGTGCTCAGTTGTCATATTTTACCAAGTCCTCACCTTCACCTTAGTCATTCTTAATGACTATTCTCTTTGAACAAGACGATATATGAATGTCCCTGTAGCTATTGTATTTTGTAACTATCAGTGGTGCCTTCATTTTGACTGAATTTGGGTAGACCAACATTGTAGAAAAACCATCAGTGCTGTAGTTGATTAATATGTAAAATTATGATGAGAACTTGTATTTAAATTTTCTTACAGAGAACAATGAAGCAAGCTTGGTGCTAGAGCAGATCCTGAGTGAGGTGCGAGCTCGTGTGGTGGAGTGCAAGAGTCAATACCCCAGCAGTCCTGTGGTGCTCCTTGGATGGGGGATAGGTGCTGTTATTGCCTGCCATGTAAGAAATGCATATCTTCCTATCTCTTTCATCTGTGTCTCATTATGTATTTATCAAATTATCATTTGCCTTGGGGATATTAATTGTCTTGTGTGTTATATCTTATATTTAATTTGCTAAGTTAATGCTGGCCATTTATTGCATACTGTACCTCTTTACCTTGACTTGTGTGTCGAGTGTTTCAATTGTCATCTCTGGAGAAAGCAAGGTACTGTATCATCTAACTGTGCTCATTGTAGAGTCCAGTGGATATATACTGTACAGAGATTTGCAGTTTTCCTGAACTTGATTTGAGTTAACTATTCAAATAAGCATTAAATTGGTTAACTTTGAATGCAATTATGCCCCTTGGACAAATTAGCTGTTCAGTGGTGCATCCATATCAACATTTAAATTTATATACAGTATTAGGTTTATGTACACTAAGGAGGACAAGAGGAGTATCATTATATGAGACTGATACTGATTAATTAGCTACAGACAGTCATTAATAATTCTGTAATAAGAAATACCCAGAGATGAGCTCTAATGATGTAAAGTGATGTTTTGGGTAATATGACTGAGTAAGAATGATTTACAGTAATTTTGAAGTTATGTGAAAAGTTATTGCCACAATCTCATTTTCAATCTGTTTCTTCTGAGCACTTTACTTGGTTTATATGCATGAATGGCAGCTGAGTTTTGTTGTGAGCAAGAACATATATGAGAGTCGTACACAACACTACAGTTTAGGTATGTCATAGAACGGAGTTAATCTGTGTGATCCTTCTTTTCTTACTCTTCATTGCATTCAATTTGGTACAAGTCTCATTCAACTGAAAATAAATTTTCCTTATTAAATTACTACCTTATATGATATGTCACAGCCAAATGTGAGATTTCCAGATCAAGTGTTAACTGTTGAATCTTTCTCTTAATACACAGGTGTCTATGTTGGAGACAGTGACAGCCAATATTTGTCTGGGGTTCCCTATGACAGGTGCCTCAGGCAAACGTGGGGAGGCTGATGATCCTCTTCTTGATTGTCGAACTCCAACTCTTTTCATCATCGGCGAAAAGGCTGCAAATGTCAGGTGAGAGCATGACAGGATCACATTTATGTATGTACTGTATTCTTTATTCTAAGATACAAAACATCTGAGCACAGGTTCTGTATAAAGCCTGGTGATTTATTTGCCTCTAGTCATTTAAAAAACATAAACTCTTAATCAGTATAGGATCTAATGATGATCAAAGACAAATTATGAGCAACATTATGAAACAATATACAGTGCTGTGTTTTGTCTGCTGTGTCCTGTTGTTACTGGCTTGTACAGTACAGTAAATCTTCCATACCCATGAGGGTTACATTCCTTGAGGGTGTTGTGGATCATGAGTGTGAAAATAAAAGTAAGACCCTTCTTACCACATTATTATGGTAAGGAATTTTAGATTCTTGACCTTGTGTATAATAAATTGAAGTGAGTAAACTTCCTAACCTATAGCATCTTTACATTCATATCCAGAAAAGATATACTGTACAACTCCAATTGTTCAGTTAAATTATGTATCTCTATCTTTCTTATCTAAGGTGTACTAGTGTAAGTAGGCAGCCTAACTTGAAGGTTGGTTAATCTTCTGTTATGTTACCCTAGATCTTCACACACACACACACTTAAGATAATTTATACATCCTATCATTACTTGGGCAATACACATTAATCACACACTCTTCTTTACTCGCTATATGTTTCCTACACACCATCTTGTGTTAAATTAAACAATAATTATCTTCCACACCCCAAGATCACTACACCTCACATTTTTTAATACAGGTGTATTCGTGTACACTGGTGACCCACTTCTGAATTATTCACTGTGGAGCTCAGTAGAATATTGTAATGCTCACCACATTTTCTTTCAGACAGATTGAGGTTTAGAGACCACAGTTGTAGGGGACTGTTAGGTACTCAGTGATTTACTCTGGCTCACATACTCTCTCACTCACACAATTTCCCAACAGTGTGGATGATGTTGAGGACCTGCGTGTGCGCCTCCGTGCCGAGACTGGCCTGGTGGTTGTTGGGGGGGCTGATTCTCATCTTCGTTTGTCTTGTCAGAAACGCCATCTGGAGGGTGTTACACAGTCTATGGTTGATAGATGTATAGTGGTAAGTATACTTGTGTGTCTGTCTGTCATCTTTAATCCCAGAATTAGATTACCAACTTGTTAAAGAATCATTATAGTATGTCTTTGTTCTATATGGGGGAATTTTTTATTTATTTATTTTTATTTTTTTTAAATTGTGTACAGTAATTCCATAATTTTACTGAACACATAAGGTAGAAAATTATAAGAATTATTTCTCAAAAAGTATGAAAACTACAGTAGTTTACAACAATTAATCAACATTATAGGATACCGATATCGTTCATCTTACCAGCAATGAAACTGTGCACCTCCATATTTGATAGACCTTGATATTTTTTGTTTGGATGGTTTTATTCTTTATTTTTACAGTCAGTTTAGCTTAAAAAAGTATCTTAGGACAGCCTTCATTTACCCATTAAGAATTCTAACAGTTCCAAAGGGGCTGAGAGCTATGTCTCGGCCCCTTCCTTCCCCACATCCTCCACAACTGTTCATGTCCGTAATTTGTGTACCTGTATAGTTTGACCTGCCATCTCTTTATCTATTTCTCTTAAATATATCTGTGTCTCTAACAACTTATTTTGTTCTCAAATGACTGGAGCTGAAAAGTTGTAATGACTGTTACTACTGTGAGTAAATATAACTTTACAACATAGTGTATTTTGTACTGATGATGTTGATAGTGAATGTTTACTATCCTGAAGCCAGTTGTTAGAATGGTAAAGGGAAGGCTGCAAGGCATTACTACTGATGTTCCTGGTGTGTTTATGACTGGACACGGGTGACAACTATGAAAATAGCTCGTGAGAAGGAGACAGATGGGGCTCAAATATACTGTGTATGTATTTCTTTCCTTCTCTCTTTTAAAGGATGAAATTGGAGACTTCTTATGTCACCTGCTGAATGAAAACAATGGAGGCTCCATGAATTCATCATATTCTACCTGCCCCTCTCAGACCCAACATGTTTCATCTTCAGGTGTTTACCCCCACACCTCCTTTACATCCTCCTTCACCAACCCATTGCCTCCAAAGACTCAACGCAAGGAAGGCACGAGGAAAAGGAAGATTTCAACTGGATGTTCCCTGGATGGCTCTGCTCCCCCATCACCTGCAAAAATCTCACGACCAAGTATGAGAATTTTTTTGTACCAGTACTTATTGGGCTTGTATATGAGGCGACAAGGTGCCAGGTACCAAAAATCACATTCGAGAAAAACGCTCGTAAAGTTTGGAATAATTCAAAAGGACGTAACTTTTGAACCAATGAAGATATTGAGTTCATTTAATTGGCAGTGTGTAGAGCTCTTAAAGCTGGTTTGGCAGATACTGTACTAAAGTCATATTAATTGAAAAGATAAAAATTGCTTTGTTTTAGATGGGTAGTGTTTGTAGTCTCATTAATATACATTGTTGAGGAACGTGACACGCCACGTGCCACCAGCCCTCACTCCCACCCTCCTTGCCGTCCCACCTCTCTGTTCAGTTTATTTTTCTCTCGGTGGCCCTCCCTCCCTCCCTTCTGCCAGTTGTAAACTAAAAAAAGGTTCGAGTGTTATTACATAGCATTCCTATGACATTTTTATAGAAACATGGACTCCCATTAGCTAAGAAGCCAGAAAATAAATGAGTCGCTGTGAGAGAGAGAGAGAGAGAGGCTACGATTGGGGCCACGGATGCTTGTCCCCTTCTCCCATTCAGTCCTCAAGGTGCAGATCACACGCTGTAGAGACGCTATTACCTACCTTCACTAATATGGCTCTCAGCCTTACAAATATTGTGCTACCAGGACAGTTTGTGTTTCTGCAGATAGAGGAAAGGTTCGGGAGTACAGATAATACTACTGTATAACTCAATTTTGGGAGGGGTGGCATTTGGTACCTTGTCGCACTTGGCGCCTCATATATTAGCTTATACCAACTTTAAGACATGTATTCACATTTGCACTTACACAGACATTAGTGGGTATAAACAATGCCATGTGCTCACACGCATAATAATTTTAAACACTTGTAACCGGATACCTAATTTTAAAGATAGGAAAGTGAAGTCAGAGACTGCAGTGTTGTTCACACTGTCTCCTTGCATACTGAAAGGCTTAGTATAAAGTGTGCTGTGTCCACACTTACTGTTGGGCAATTATGCCTATGGGACCCACTCCTTATTCTTATCATACCAAGGAGTGTGGCAGCCGAGTGAATGCAGTGCTCACTTCATATTGTAATAGTCATTGATTCCCTCCCTGGGCACCCCCAGTTCACTCTGTTGTGAATGAGTACCTGCCTAACTTAACAGTTGTGGAAGTGGATTGTGGTTAAGTTCAGTACCAGCCACTCTTCCTCCTTGTGTACTGGAAAAACACTTTGTCCAATGTGTACTGTATCTGCACTGCTCCACTTGGGCTTTTAGGCATATGGAACCCACTGCCACTGTTACATTTTCATGGAGGGAGATGGCTTAATTTTTGGGCAGGGTTTTCGAAAATTCTATTTCTTTATTTCATTTTGAGCATTTCATCAACGGATTGGTGAATGCATTCAGTACATACTCACATTTGCATTAAGCTGACTTTTTTTGATACTCATGATTGTTATTCATATTGTTGCCAGGTACTCCAATCAGCATGGGTGGAAATAATGTCAAAATACCCGTGGGAGTGTCGGCTCTTTCCTCACCAAGCCTTAACTATAGTGGCGGGGATTCAGCCCTGACCACACCCAATTCATCTTATCCACCAAGTGCTAATTCCACTCCACTGAGTGACACCACACTGTCTAACTCCAGTACACCCCGGTCAACAGGAGGTAATTTATTATTTGACTTTCATCAAATTTTCTTCAGATTTAACAGAAGGATATAGTTGTATGAATCACAATATCTGTCTAGCTGTCTGTCTATCTCACCTGAACATATAGTATACATAAAAGATCATACTTTATACTTGGCAAGAGGAATATTATAGACTTGGGATCATCATTATGTGTTGTGTTGCCTTCCTCTTCTGGATCAACTCCTCTTCCCTCTTGATACTTGGATATTCGTTTTAGCTTGTACTTTAGTCTTCTTTCGGTTCATTTTAAACACACTGTTTCAGTGCTGTTTGTAGTGTAAATCCTTCACTACTTAATGGTACGGCAATGTTACTTACAACTGGGCCAAACAAAGGCCGAGATTTACTGAAAAACATTATCATACATTTAATATTTTTGTCAATAATTGATATAGTAGTAATATGATGCATTAGTTAAGATGTAGTTGAAGGTAGGAGGAAACATGAGATCTGTATATTAGCTGAGAGAAATAACTATCATTAAGGTTATTGAATCTACCAGAGATATGTTACATGCCTCAGTAGAGAAAACAGAGATAGATGTGAAGAAGATGAAGAAGTGTGTGGGAATGATTAAAGCTGCAACAGGGTAAAGGACGAGTTGATGTGGTGGTGAGAAGCAGATGGTATAGAGATGCTGTGTGTTGAGTGTTTGTTTTGAATACAGTTTTTATGTCCTTTCCAACAGGCACTCCTCAAGTTTCCCCGAGCACTTCTCTCAAGCGTAAGTACACACGAAAAACAGAGTCTCGCCGCTACCCAAAGATGAGGAGCCTCGCTACAGACCTTTCGTCTGGCCTTTCAGCTTTTTCGACAACCTTGACCTCGCCCCTCGTGTCGACTGTGAGCTCTAGAGATACCCTCGTTGGTGGTAATGCAGAGGAATCATTAACTAGTCAGCCCAGGGTAAGTCACAGATCCTAGCCATTTTTTTGTAATGGTTTTATTGAGTTTTGGTTTTGTTTTGGTGATGACGAGGCTACAACATTTATTAGCATGTATTGAACCACGGCCCACAGTTAGTTTAAATTCAAGTGATTAGAATTTTTTTTATGCATTTGTTCAGTGGTCAGTTGTTGCTCTCACCTATAGCTAGTTACCAGAACTGGTTTGGAATTTATCAATTTTTGTCACAAGGACTTTAATAATTTATTGTTGGTGTGGGTACAAAGTGAAGCATCACTATGTGTGTACTGTTGTAGCCTTGGTCAGGTTATGTGAGCCCTCCTGCAGGAGATTTACCCAGTTTTTGTTGTAGCAATTGTTAAGATATGTATCCCCCAACACAGGAGTCTCACCTAGGCTGGCAGCACTGAGGGGTGTTTAGTTCAGCCATAGGATGATGATAATGCTTGCTTTATAATTATGTGTGTGCAGGTGTTCTGTACAAACCACTCCCTCTGCTGCAGCTAAAGTGAGTTTCTTGGTTGTATGTAATTCACTGCCTTCCAACACTGCTTAAGCTTAATAATATATATAAATTTAGTGATTAATTTTTCTTTAGCAAGTTTTTCTAGTTTTTTTAAGCTATGAGAGTAGACTTACTGTGAATATGCCATACAATATTAGAATACCTTTATATGTTTTGAATTATTTGCCTAGTTGTGCATCTCTCAACCCACTTTGGCCACTTTTGCACATGTAAACTGTTGTTTCAAGTCTTATTGAGGAACTCTTGTATTTTACATGGGTTGTCTGTTTTGTGGTGCATGTAAGAAAATTGGTTGCTTTTGTTGTTTCTTCTAATCATTAATTGCTGATTGTTATATACAAATATTGAAAGATAAACCTGTAGTTACACTTAGGATGTACAGTATATTAAGTAGGTGGGTGGGAGGGCAGGACTGTAGGTGAGAGAGAGGGTGGGTGGGAGGAAGGGTGGGTGATGTAATGAGTATGTGTTTAATATTTTAATTTATTTTTATCGCTGTGTTCGTAAAAATAAATGAAAATTATTGTCTCGCGTGAACCACAACAGTCATAACCGGTTAACGACTGAGAGATGATCGGACAGTCACGAAGCAGCTTAAGATGCATACAGTACAATTCAAGTTCCCTCAGTATACGAAATAGCATCACCTGCCCTGAGTGTATGTTATGCTATCATCACAACCGGGTACATGTAGTAATGCCACCAGCTGAATACTGTATTGAATTTGAATTGAAACAGTTTATTTAGCCAGAAAAACACAGATACAGAGCGGATAATAATAACAATATTAACATGGCTGAGTCAGTTGAGAACCTGAGCTTTACTGTAGGCACCTGATACTGTATATACTGTACTATACATTTATCTCAAGGAAGTATTATGCAACATTAGCATCATCTGGAATAGTACAATAGCATGGTGGTAATAAGAACATCTCAGAATGTTACCACTGTTATCACTTCAATATTTATTTATTTTATTTATTTATTATTTTTATTTCATTTTATTTTGTATTTATATTATAAGCATATACAGTATTACCCCGCCTAACGCGGTTTCACTTAACGCGTTTTATCATATACGCGGTGCCTCGCCAGAGCTGAACTTTCACTTAACGCGGAATTTTTCATCATATACGCGGGAAGCGGCGCGGGCACGATGCGCACAAGGTCGCCCAGTCATCAAAACATTACCGAGTTCTTCACCCGCCACCCACCACAGCCGGCCCAAGTCAGTGATAGTGATAATTATAGTGAGGATATGGACTTATATGGCCTTTGAGGGGTTTGACAAAGAGGCCCTGCAAGCCTCTGTGGTGGATAGTGATACAATTGATACAAGTGATACAGGTGAGGGCCAATAATCTGCCCTCTGCCTCGGAACCAACCCCCCATCCCCGTGTGCCCAGCCATCTTTTCTACTAATGCAAGTGTTAAAAAACCTAATATTATTGATATTTCTCTTAATTATTAATTGTGTGTGCATACCATCATAAAGTTAAGATAAAATTTTTACTACAACATAGTTGTGTGTCGTCAAAAAGTGGAGTTTGGGGGTCGGGCCAGTCTCTATTGGAATTAATCCCATATGTTCTGTTGTTCACTTAACGCGGTTTTCACTTAACGCGGTACCCTGTGGGTTCAATTGACCGCGTTAAGCGGGGTACTACTGTACATAAGTTACAGTGGAATTGAAAAACATAAATATAATAGGGAAGCAGTACAACATGGGCTGTACAGTATTAAGGTGGAACAAGAGAACAGAGCTGTCAAGATTATGCTTTTTTGGCAAATACATTTATTGCAATGGTAATTTCATATCTAATTACATGATAATTTCCAATAAAATGGTTTTGATGGTACAATAAAAGCAGGTACTGTAAATATAGTAGGTATTACAAGAAATATTAATACTTAGACAATAGATATTTTTTAAGAGATGATTTAAAGGAAGGGAGCGTAGTCTTTGCTGGGATGGGTGGGTGTAAGTTGTTCCACACCTTCACACCACGATATTTTATGGAGGTCTGCGACTGAGAGGAGCGCATAGGGGGTGGTCTTAGTAGCTCTGGGTGCCTTAAGTTGTATCTCTGATTATTCCGGAACTGAAAATAATTATTGTCAAGCAAGTGATTGATAGATTTGTTAACAAAGAGGGCACAGCAGTAGGTGTTAATGTCTTCTAATTTTAAAATTTTCGATTTAGCAAATTTTTCGTTTGTGTGATCTGTTTTTTTCAAGTAGGTAATTGTCCGTACAACTCTCTTTTGTGCAGTAATCAGGGATTGTGTTTTTGAAGAGCCAGAGGCCCCCCATAGTGTGTGACAGTGAATCAGGTGTTGGTAAATAAGATCATGATAGATTTCTTCCATTGCTGTGAGAGTGAGTGACTGTCGAGTGTGATACATGATACCGCACTGTTTATTGACTTTACTGTGAATGACTTGTATGTGTTTTTTCCAGTTAAGATTCTCATCAACAATAACTCCGAGGAATTTAGTATTTTGTTCGTGTTTGAGCACTTTATTACCAAGGTACAGGGGGTCCAAGTCTGGGTGTAAGTTTTTCCTTCTGTGAAAGATCATGTAGTGGGGTTTCTCAAGGTTTAAGGTCAATTTATTGCATATTACCCAGGTCCTGACTTTAGTCAATTCAGTGTTCATAGTTCTCATCAAGGAATAGAGGTCTGAGTTGCTGGTATAGAGATTACTATTGTCTGCAAATAAGTTGTATTTTATGAGTGTGCTGGCGTGGACTATGTCGTTTATGTACAACAAAAACAGTACTGGACCGAGAATGGAACCTTGGGGGACGCCATACAAGATTGGCGAGGAGTCAGATTGGTGATTATTATAGCAGACATACTGAATCCTGTTGGACAGATATGAGGTAAACCAATTGTGGGACAGGCCCATAATGCCGTAATATTCAAGCTTTTTAAAGGAGGATGGTTTGGTCGACAGTATCGAAGGCTTTAGAGAGGTCCAAGAATATACTGACTGTGAACTGGCTGTCATCAAAGGAATTTAAGCTGTCATTCGTAAAGGATAACAGAGCACTCTCAGTCGATCTTCTAGCTCTAAATCCAAACTGGGAGTCTGTAAAGATGTTATTGGCATTGCAGAAGGAATTTAGTCTACTACATGCTAGCTTCTCCAGTATCTTACTCAAGGCTGGGAGGACTGATATGGGGTGGTAAGTCTTGAAGAGACCTGTACATGAATAATTGCCACCATCTCTTGAGTACATATACTAATGCCACCAGTTCATGTACAGTATAAATACCACCAGTTCTGAGTACACTTAATAATGCCACAAGCTGTGAGTACATGTATAAATGCCACTATCTCTGAATACATGCATAAGCATCACTAGCCCACCTTATTCATAACCAAAATATATACAAGAAAACATAGTCCTTGTGCCAGGCAAAAATTGGCATCTACCACTCCATTCTGGGACTAAAACATTATATAATACATTACAGTACAACTAAAACATTGAAATTCGATAATGAAGTGTTTAGTGCAGGTATAGTACTGTATTTTACACATGTCTAGAGTGTTTGAGATTTGAACTTATGCTCTTTTTGTGGTACAAGTCTTCAGCATCACAGGAAATCCTGCCAAATATGAAACCAGTTGATGACTTTCCAGAATAAGGCTTTTTTTTTCAAACTCGCTGGTTTTATGAGGCTCCCAGGTAACTGATTTCTGGATTTCCAAGGATATTGTGTAATTGAAAGGAGATGACTGCTATCCAGCACACCACTCACAGATAGGCTGTGGTCAGGTCATCTCTCTGACCCAGTAATGATGTGTGGGGTCACCAGGGACATGATAACGTGACCTGACCGCATCTTACCACTTAGCTACTCAACACACAGACATTACACACCACCAGGTCACCTCAGTGGGGTTGTAACATTATTCCAGGGTCTCTGCGAGTAAGTTTGTATGTGTATGGGTTCATGTGATTGTGTGTGTAGCGGTGCTGGATATAACAGAGTGAATGTTTGCTTGTTTAAGAGTATGTTTTCATGATAACATTGTGCAAATGAGTGTGTCCGTGCTTGTATGGTTCCACTATATATGTGGTCTCTAAAATATATTTTTATTCTGTTGTGTACATGATTTAATGTAGATTAAGATGTAACTGTGTAGCTCTCCATGTATAAATATATATTTATCTCTTAGAGTGTGTCATCACCACCACCACCACCCTTTTAAAGCCATTTTCCACACATGCATTGGTTAACCTTGATTACCTGATGACAGATTTGAACCAAGTTCACGACTACTGTATTTAGGTTCCCTTCCTATTACCAACCCACTTTTACAGAGCGGGAATTGGACACTATATGTAGGACTTACGTATACTGTACCCTCATTGCTAGCAGTTGTGAATAGGAGTAAAGAATAATATGACTGTGCAAATTTGTCTATGTATTAGTGTGTGTGACTACAGTACAGTACAGTAGACTGTATGTGTATATGTGTAGTACATAGGAGGAATGCTTGTGTGTACTGTACTGTATATAGGAGTGTAACTTTTATAGTGTATGTGCCTGTGCCTTGTGTGTCTATACATTAGTGTATATTTTTATGTTGTAATATAAATAATCATTTGTAAATTATTAATGGGGGATACTACTTGCCAAACAATCAATCACAACACCAGATACACAACACAACACCTCAGCAAAATATTTCATCTTGTGCTTAGCTGTCTTGGCAGCAATTGGCATCTTTAGATATTTCATATACTTTGTATTGCTATAATGGTCCTGTTTTTTTTGTTTTGTTTTTTTTAATATTTCATTACTTCTCGAGTGAATTTGACTATTTGTACCGATAATTAAAAAAGTGTCTGCTTTGGTGTTCAAATGTGATGCAAGGGGGCACCTAGTGGTTTACCTCATATTAAGCATTCTACATTTAACAATTGTTAATGATGGGTTCTATTGTAAAAACACTAAGCCATTTGAGAGATCTGGAGCATGGAAAACAAAATGTTATGGCATTGTGGTATATCTTGGTGGACATGGTGTGATGATTGGGTCAAGTGGAGATGGAAAATTGGAAAAGAAGTTAATTGATTTATATGGTTAGAAAAAAGTGGTTGAATGGAATCAGAAGAAATTGACAAGAATCTGAAAACGTTAGCTCTTGGTTTCACAGATGAGGTTTACACACTCTTGCTGTACAACGTGTGGAAGTGTAAAAATTTCATCTGAAAGCAGTAAAACCTTTTTGTTGAATAAGGTAGAGAGAGGAGAGAAAACTATTCAGTGACATCCAAAGGTACCCCAGTCAGCCACATTACTCACGCTTTACTTTTACTTTATCTAGCTGGTCAAGCTCTGTTATGCACTGTTAGTAAGTACTGTACCCTAGAATGTACCTGAACATGCACTAGCATTGGTCAATTCTTATATTAAATGAACTAGCACTTGGTGACATCACAGACTAGTCCAAGAGTTTACAGCTATTCCTGCAAAATAGTCAGCTGATAATTTTCTGTACTTGTGGCTTTTTTAACTTGAAACTGTGATCGCCAGTGGGGTGGGCTTGGCTTATGCTAGCCCCTGTTATGAACACTTGACTGAGTAATGTTCTTGAAGGGGCTTATTAGCTTCTAATACATGACCCTTTGTCCATTTGTAGTATAAGCTAGGCAGTTGAAGGGGTTCTTATTTTTCTTGCTTTATGAGGTAATTTGGTTGCCCTCTTTTGGATGTTCTCAATTAACTGGCAGTCCATAACATATCTCAAGGACCAGACAGAATGGCAGTGGGAGGAGCGCCTCACCTTTGAAGAGCATGGCACAAGGATTTTAATATGCTTTGAACTTTCTGGGTGGTTTTTGTCTTTCTTCTGAGTACGTGTGGAGCTTAGATTAATTTTAAGATTAATCATGATGAAGTGCAGTTGTTCACCATCTCCTCCAGAATATATATGCTGCATATTTTATGCTTTTGCCAGAAGTTTTCATTATTCTGTAAGCAATGCCTTGCCTCAAAGTACTATCTCTTGATAAAGCATCATCAGCTGGACCATAAGGTTGGGTTATATCTTGTGAGTTTCACTTGCTGATATTATAAGCATAGCATCTTGACTGTACAAAATGCATGCTACCTGTTGTTGTTATGTATGATGGTAGGTCAAGAATATATGTTGTGGACAGATGGTGATTATAACATGAATAAAGTGACCATATGTCTTGGAGCTAAAAGCGGGATATACCAAAGCCATGAAAGAAAAACACTACAACCCATACACCAATACCGATTACAGTTATACTTGAACCAAAACCAAAACAATTGTACATAACAATGGTAGTTGCCTACTTACCTTCTAATGCTCATACTTTTCACTGGATAAGATTTGTTTTAAGATCCCTGGAGTTGATCATAGCATATTGTGGAATTCCAGACAGGTTTGGTTCAAGTTAACTTTCATGACTAGTAAGGCTTTGAGGGTTGGGTCTTTTAGTTGTGATTTTTCGAATGTCCACAGTTTGTTCATTTGAGAGAAAATACATTCAGTGGATGAATTTGTTCCAGGAAGACACAGAATAAACAACCAATTTTAACATGTTCTGGTGGGTAATATCTCTGTCCTGAAAGTGAGTGAACATTTCTACCCAGCGCTGGTCTGTAGGTAACTTAGCTGCATTCCACTCTGACACATTTTCCTCAGAAATATGACTTGTAACAGCAAAACTCGTCAAATAACTCAGCATCAAAATCATAGAATTTTTTTCTGCAGCAAAATCCATTGTTTTCTCAACGTCTTGCCATTTTGGTATTTGCTTGAATGAAGCCCACTGCATATGTGCAAAGTCCTGCAAGTGACCTGACCACTGGCCTAAATACTGAACACGTGTGTCATAAAAATCTGTAACCGTTTTCTTCAATGCAGATGAGTCAGTTAATCCATCTTCTTCAAGTTTGTTTGCTAGACAATTCAGCTTATCAGGGAAGTGTGGAAGGGCAGTGATAAAATGTTGAGGGGATCATACATATGATCATGTACAGTAGGTACAGTACAAATCTTCACTGGTACAGTATAGAGGTGTAGTGAACAGGAGGTTTGAGTTCAGTATCAGTTTGATGGCTGTGGACAACTCTTCACTAGATAGGGTGAGGACGTGGTTGGTGTATCACTTGCATGGCCATGTGTTATTGAAGGTTCACTGTACAGTAAACCAGACATGACACCGTCTACAGCGGACCTTGGCTTTAACGGACACTCTGACCCGTTCATATATTAAGGACTCGGGTCCATTATGGTACAAATTTACGGACTTGGGGTCCATTTATATACTGTAGAAATGATCATAAATAATTAAAGTAATATCCCGTTTTACACTATCCTGCATAACACTGCTTCATTATAGAGCTCTTTGGTCCTCTCCTGAGGTTGTCTTTTACTAGAAAAAAAAATGAAAATTCATAATACACGGCAGAAGTTACAAGACACAACACTCATGGCTCGTCGACAAGTCATGCTTTTTTGCGGTGTCTCTGTCGATGAGAGCAACATACCCATGTACGCTCACAGCCAATCAGTAATCTCCTGCTTGTGTAAAAAAAATTCCCGATAGCATTCAACTTGCTTGACACAGCCACTCTTTATATGACTAATTTCCACATATTATAGTGAATGTTTGTGACCCAAGTTATTTTTTTACTGGAAAAAATGGTGAAATTCATAATACAAGTCAGCTGTTCACTTGCACCTGGCAATGCAGTGGTCATTATTACGCATCACCCCCCACCAACCAGTACTGTACGAGTACGTGTTATTAACGTGTAGAGCAACTTTGTTTATTCTGCTGGCTTACAGGCCACCACTCCATCGTCCCAGTTTGAATGCTTTCTTTTCCTGTAAACACCAGTTGATGGTTAATGTTAGTGGTGATGGTGAGTGTTGGTAGTGGTGATGGTGAGTGTTGGTAGTGGTGTTGGTGGTGATAATGAGTGTTGGTGGTGATAATGAGTGATGGTGGTGATAATGAGTGATGGTGAGTATTGGTAGTGAAAAGTGTACACAGTGTAAATACAGTACAGTACGGTAATCAATAACTGTATCTTTAAGTGTACAAGTAGTAAATGTTAAATACAATACATAAAGTACAGTGTAGTACAGTACCTATGCCTGTACTGTTCCCACCTTGTGATCACCTCTTCACCAGCTGTGTAAGAGAAGAACTGGATTACTGTGCAACATTTGTAACTCCACATTGTCACTTTGGACTAAGTTGGTCCAGTATATAACGGACCAAGTCCGTTATTATTCCGGTTCCGGATATAACAGACTTTCATCTTTAACTGACAGCCCTTCCCCCCAATTAGTCTGTTGTATCAGGGGTTTACTGCACAGTACAAATGTTCACTAGGGTAGTGGAGTGATGTAGTAGATAGCTGCTTGGCATATCAGGTGGTTGGCTGTGTTATAGTACAGCTCATTATTAGGGCAGTGAACACGTGATTAATACTAGTACAAGCTGGTTGTAGATGGTCAAGGAACACATAGTTCTGGAGAGGCACTGATTATAGGGTGTAGCTGCACCAACGGAGGGAGGTCAGTAGGTGTAAACAAATTTGTGAAACAATGTGCACATTGCACTGGAGTGGTTGAGGGTGCACAACTTGCCTGCAATGCTTTTCTTGTTAGCATCCTTTTCTTTCTGCATGCTTTTTCTCTTCCTCACGCCAGCAGGCAACAGTAGGGGGCACCACACAGGACCTGCTGTCCCCCTTCTCCCCTGTACCGTGCTCCATCCCGTCACCTGTGCCATCGTCTGTGGCCACTATCCCACTTGGGTCTTTGGCTCCACTCTCACGTCAGAAGTATCAAAGGATCCTGCATCTGTCAGCATTGCGGCGGGACTCCCCGTCGACCCCGCCCTCCGACAGCTTCCACTTGACAACTCCCACTGCATCAAAGGACACCTCACACACCAAATCCACCCTCCACACAACTTCTGCAAGTTTTGCCGGTCTCCTCCGAGAGACAACTCCACCGTCGTCCTCCGCTTCTTCTGGTGGTGGGTTGATCGATCAGTTTAAGGTGCCATATCCTAGGCGAGCGCCAAGGACACGGCGTAGAAAACCCAAGTTGAATATGTACCCAAAAAAAAAAAACCAATTTAATCATATGTACAGAACTACAAAGACTGAATCAGCATCTCATCATTGTGTAGGATCAGCCAAAGTCGGTAGCATTTCATCATTTGATTCAACTAATGTGAACAACACAAACAGTGTGCCTGCGACCCTTGAACCAATTGAGATAGGTGTAGTTACAAATGATTTGAATGATAAGTGTGATAGGTACAACAAGACAAATTCAGGCTATAGTTGTCATTTGGAAAGTATTGATGAGGAGGGTAACACTCTGAATAAAGATTCTGCAGAGTCTCATGTAGAATATAAACAGGATCAGTTTATTGTACACGACCAAGAAACCGGTAGGTCTTATTGCCAGCTTGGGGCATCTCCTTGGGTCGGAAATGAATATAAGCAGTATGTAAATGATGCGTGTTTAATGGGTACCGAGAGAGATAGTGGAAGGATTAATGAGTGTGTAACAGTGTCTCAAATGGAACCTCCTTATAGTCATTATTTAGGTGGTTGGACCTCAAGCCAGAGGCCATCTAGCACAACACCTGTAATGGGTAATGAATGTGTCAAGCAGCTCAAGTCCAGTGTGACTGTTGATGATATGTGGAATGTGTGTCCCCAGTATAATAATGAAGGGTTTAGGGTTGCATCAGGTTGTGATAGCATGTCTAATTATGTATTTTCCTACCCTTATCAATCAGAAGCCCAAACTTCCGACTCCATTGACATCACTACTCCCTCTCCTACCCTTGTGACAAGCTCCGACGGAAGTCCAATCCTGCGTCAGAGACTCAGTGTAAGTGAGGTGGCTGGTCCTTGTTTGGCTTGCATAATGGGAGATAATTTTTCATGCCAGGCGCATGCAAAGGGACTGCCAGAATGTGGGTCTAGTGATGGCATAAATAACCAGTTGATGACCCTTTCTGACGTGCAAGTAGATGCAAGTTGTAAAAGTTTCGACTTTACATTGATCTCTTCTAGTTTAATGTGTGGGGAGTCGGGTTATATGAACTGTGGTTGTGGAAATTTTACTTGCCTCTCCTGTTGGAGTCCTGGGAGTCTACACACTGACATCAGTGGTACTCAGGAGCCTGGTATGAGTGGGGAGTCAAATTTGGAGGTTTTCCCGGGATTGGAGGGTGACACAAGGGAAAACCTTGAGCGTTCGGGTGAGACTGTGTCCTTACATGGAATGACTGGGGTGACTGTCTCATCCTCTGCTTATATACTCAATAATCATACTCCTGTCTCTTCTGTCAATAATCAAGCTTCTCTCTCTTCTGTCAATAATCATACTTATCTCTATTCTGTCAATAATCATACTCAAGCTTCTCTCTCTTCTGTCAATAATCATACACAAGCTTCTCTCTCCTCTGTCAATAATCATACTCAAGCTTCTCTCTCTTCTGTCAATAATCATACTCAAGCTTCTCTCTCCTCTGTCAATAATCATACTCAAGCTTCTCTCTCTTCTGTCAATAATCATACTCAAGCTTCTCTCTCTTCTGTCAATAATCATACTCAAGCTTCTCTCTCCTCTGTCAATAATCATACTCAAGCTTCTCTCTCTTCTGTCAATAATCATACTCTAGCTCCTCCCTCTTCTGTCAATAATCATACTTTTGAGCCTTGCCATCTGTCATCATCTTTGTCTAATTACTCATTAGCTAACGACACAAGTGATATTTATAAGTCACTCAAGATGGTGACACTTGTGCCGGTGACAGGTGTTGACCCGAGTGTACCAAAGATCAAGCTCTCCAAGGCAGATTTCAAAAGCTCGTCGGGAAAGATTTGCTGCCTGACATGGTCCCCTAACCAGAATAAGATTGACACTTCATTGAAGCCACATCTGAGAGACCTGACACCTGATCCAGTAAACAAGGGTCTTTCTGTGTCATCAATGCAAGAAATGGGTGAAAAATCCTTGGCTGGAAAGGTACAGGATATTATTAAGGAAAAGGGACAGCTGGAAATTGTATCATTATCTGGAAAAGGCATCACTGTTCCAGGTTGTAAGGTATCAGGGACAGTTAAAGGTGATCATAATTTCAACAGTTCACAAGAGAATGTCAAAATACAAGTATCAAGTTGTTCTGGTAGTGAATCTTCCAACACCATGAATTTGAGCCAAGCGAACATCTTGCATTCACCCCGAAAAAAATGTTTGCCTTCAGATTCCTTCTCACATGTCAGCAATACTCTTCTAAATAAGTCCAAAGGGTGCCCTCCATCAGAGCAGGATTCATCCACTGGCATCCCTGTTATTGATCTCACAGACTCTGATGACCAAGAAGACAATGCACTTAAAAAGAACAATAGTACAAGAGGAGAGTGGATTAAGATATGTCGAAAGGTTAAAGATTCTCAAGATGATGCAAGAATTAGTAGCGGTCATCATTTTCCCACATGTAAAACAGCTGGGAAGGAATTGTACGAAAATCCTACATCTGGTGTTGTTATTGAGTTCCTCAGTCCACAGGCAAAAGTTGACAAAGAGAATGGCAGTAAAACTTGCAAGCAAGGTATTCAAAATACTATAGGTTTAAAGAGTGTGTTTGCTAACCCGCAGAACAGTAGTTGCCATAAAGCTAGAATCACCTCATCAGTAGGTCTTACCTTGGCTGAAGAACATAATGTAGAGGCTTTTAGTCAGTTATCTTCTGAACAAGTCTTACAGGTAACAAATATATCAAATAAAGCATTACCAAAGTGCCCAGAGTATGGCAAGAACACTGGAAGGGAAAAATATCTTTGTAAGAACAATGTGCCTGCCAGTGTTAAGGCCAAGACCCATAATTCTGTTACATTAGTACAAAAGGCCACTCAACCTCACATGGGAAGGCACTCATCTGAAGACAGTGAGTCTAATTTTAACAAGAAAAAATCCTTCCAGCTTGTCAAAAACCAAGCAAGTGAAAAACAAAAAATACATAATAAAGTGAAGCCTTTCAGGCACAGAAAAGTAAAAGGCAAGAATATGAACTTTCCAAGTGTTTCCAGAGCTAGCAATTTGATTAAAGTGACAACAACAAGTATTGTCAGAGATGGTAATCATTCAGGTATTGCCATTTCAGACTCAGTTGTACAACAAACCCTCTTGTTCAATGGCTCAAAAACTAGAAATTGTGAAAAGCGTCAGACCCGTGTGCTTGAAATTCCAGTGGCTGACAGTGAGCTCAAAAACCAAACTCACCCCCATAGAACACATTGTTCAACTGATTGTAAGATCATAAACATAGAGGAACCGCATTTAAGAAATATGTGTACAAAAACTACTCTCAAGTCTTGTCCCCAAAGTAAGCCAACAAAGCAGCAGATCATGATGGGGAACATCCATGTTAGAAGACCAGAGCCCCAGCATTTGGTTCAGGACCTTAATGGTGGCCAGTTGCAACGTGAACCCTCCTGGTCACATAAAAAACAGCAACAAGCTATTACAAAGCCACAAGAGATGACACTTGCTAAAATAAATCGCTTCCACAGGTCTTGCAAGTCAGGCTCTAACAGTCAGGTGATGGATAGTTACCTCGGTAGTCCACCTTCTTGGTAATAGGTGTCAAGTTTTCAAGAAATATTTGACTACCATATCTTATTCTGTTGTGAGCCATATATTTAAAAAAACAGACATGGTGAATTATTATAATCTACTATAAGGAAGACAGCATGAGGCATTACATATGGTAGAGTTTGTCAGGTGAATAGTACAGTAATACAATTTTAATTAACAGAAGTTTAATTTAGTTATTGTGGTGTGCAATAGTAGACGGCAGTAGAATATACAAAAAATATATATAATTTTTATTAGTTCTTACACACATGTATATACACAACTGATCTCATACTAATTTAATTGCCATAAGATGTATTTTTTTTTACTTTCTTTATAAAATACTTTGTTACATTTTTTATTTGTATTTTAAAAGTTGTCATTTGAGGCATGGCTTTCAGTAAGTGTTTGTCTTTTGTGATGTGTGTTGATTCTCTCTATAACACTTGGCTGTGCTTGCAAACTAATGAGATAGTTCTTCAGACCTAGATAAGGAAGTCATGTTAATGGCACCTTTTACCCATGTGGATGTGTGTTGTGATAAGCAGAGCTTGCAGTTATACTGTATTAATATTTTTTGGTGGGGGGAGTTAAATAATCTATAGTAAGAGATGAAAATCCACAACTCACACATTAACAATGAGGGAGTGTCTGTATATAAGGGACATAACCACACTACTCAGGTGTAAAGCCAGGAATGACAAGGCCCAAATGTCATAAGGGCATTTAGACGTTATCCACTGGCAGTTTGCTCCAAGGCCAAGGCTATAACTCAGTGCCATAATGTTACAACACATCGCTGTATAACACCCACTACTTTTTTCTGAAATACTACACTACTGTACTTCTAATTTTGTTCATATCTACAGTGTTTAGTTGTGTTCGTAATGATGCAACAAGTTATTTAGTTATACGTACTGTACTGTATAATAACTCGTGCTGCTGATAGCTTATGTTATTTGAAGTTATCTAAAACTGATGCTCATGTACTTTTGTGATACTCTGCTAGACGTTACAAGCAGTTTATATCTGGTCTTGAGTTAGACTGATACATGAATGAGAATAAAGTCCATTTATTTGTTAACTTTTTTGGGGGGTTGAACTGTCAGTGCTCAAAGTGACTCCTTGACTACTCACTCACATTGGGTAGATTTGATGTACCTGTTGAGGATGATACATACAAGTGTTTTTCATCCATTTGTTAAGATATGAGAGTCAGCTGTTGTGCCTCATGCCTATATATAGTATGAACCTTTACAGTAACACCAAACATGTGAAAATTATTGAGGGAATTTTTTTGTCATTCCTCTTGGTGATTAGAGGGAAACTGTGGAGAACCTGTATGTACTGTATAGCAAATAATACTTTTCACAAAGAGGAATACCCCGTAAAAAATTTGTCCAAGGTATTGTATCAGGAAGTGCGAGAAACACATGAACGTATTAACATCAAGTCGTCAGGATTGTTGTGCCTACACCACCACTTAAAATTTTCTTTACATTATTTAATGTGAATTTGTTATTTACTTTTCCCTGTGGGTTTAGCAGAGAAGATTATGTACGGGTATTGTGTGGCGTCTTTTTTTATTTTTATATTATCAGTATGTTTGTCTATTTTTGTTTTATGCTTATATAATAATTTACGGTAGTTGGTAATTTATATCCACATCTAGTTACTTTTTTTTTTTTAATGATTAAATCGTTCAACAAATGATCAATAAATGTGCCTCTGTGGAACCCCCTGGCAGAATCTACCTTGTTGTGGGGTCTGTGAGTGTGTCTTAGGCAGGGTCACTGTTATGTTGGATCGTTGTAAATTCTTGCATAAACAGTTACATATCCTGTCAGACCGGTTTATGAAACAAGCCCTAACCCTGGTCTGATTATTGCTTCAAAAGCCAGTGAGCCGACACTTTAATTATAAACTTGTAACCTGTTTCTGGTCTTCTATTAACATGTTTTATCTGTGGGAATTCTCAAACTTTACACACACACAAAATCATGAAAAGGCTAGTATGAGGCACTTAATGCCAGTTTTATGAAAAGGGTAAAATCACAAGCTTGTTTGGAATCTCAAGTCAGTTGCTGAATGACCCATAAACCATAAAACAAGGATTGAAATATGAAATCCTATTTTAGGGTTGAGGGGAATAGGTAAGTGACCTGGATTCCCTCTGTTTGCTATGGTGAAGTTCCTTATTAGCTGGCAAATGTGAGGAGTAAAGTTTGTGATTTAAGGTGTATGATTGAGGCTTTCAAGTAAAACAAGGCCAAGAGTCAGGCTTAAACTTGGTGTAGATGTTGGCTGGCTTGCTTTTAAAACAACAACCAAACAATGCTTGAATCTTGCAGCTGGGTGAGTTGCTGTCCATTTAATAATTTACACTGATCATACAGAACACAGGCCCTTCCTAAGAGTACAGATAGACTCCTGGCAATATTTGCTTTGCTAGAGGTGGTCTGGTGAGGTAACCTTGTGGCTTATTTGTCTCTTCACCTCAACCATAAACAAGAAATCCCAAATTTCAGATCATTCTGTTAGTGGTCTCAGACATAAACAGAAGTCATTAAGTATTGTTAGGAGTTGATAGTAAGAATTATAAACTTATTAGTTTGTGTCCTGGATGTACTGTATATTGGTTACCATATTATACCAAGAGCATCTATTTAATGTTCTCTTTGGGTGATCTAGACAACACACATGGTCCTTATTGCAATCCCATTCATTAATATTGTTTATGACACTAACAAATGGCACAGAAGCAAACCTTGGTCTCATCTATTGGGAATATATTTGTCATTGTCGGTGCAGTGTGGAGAACATTCCTTCAAACTTGACCCTGGGAAAATTTGTTATTTAGTTACTGCCACTGTTGATTTGAAATTGGTGTTTTTATTGTTTGTAGTAAAACAGAGCAGATTGTGTGTGTGTGTGTGTGGTCACACACGTATGTGTGACCACCCCTGCAGTAGAGTGGAAAAGAGGAATATATATATATATATATATATATATATATATATATATATATATATATATATATATATATATATATATATATATATATATATATATATATATATATATATATATATATATATATATATATAGTTCAGTTCTTAGTTGATAAATGTGTAAATATATTGTTTTTGTGGCATTACTTAGATGTACTGTTACTAACATTACAGTACTTGTCATGAGTGATAATTTTTTTGTTTCTTCAGTAAGCCATGTGTACTCATGTTTTTCATATACTGTATTGGTGCTAATACTGTAAATCTCTTAAGCTGTATATAACTTAACACAATGGTGGAACATGCCAGCATAGTGATTGTTGTTGGAGGAAATTGAGATAATTGACAGGAGACTTCACTTGACCAGACGACTTTGGGTACAGTATACATATCTAACTCCACTCCACACACGTGAGGAGAGTGATACAGTGATTACATCCATTTTTTAACATACAGTACTGTACTAATACATTCCCATAGGCTTCTGGTAGTTAATGGGAGAGGTCAGACAAACTACATGTGTCTTTACTCAACTACAGCGGTACAATATATACGAACAGTTAACTTCCGTAGCATAAGGTTACTGTACCAGAATCTCTCATTTTTGCTCAGTCTTTCTTTCTAGCTGCCTTATTTACTTCTGTCTTATTCTATTTTTTTTATTTTTTCACCACACTTACAACTCTCAAGCAAATGATTATTGTCATGCTAAACATTTCCTCTTAGATCCAAGGTCTGTGTTTCAAACCCTAACAGTACTGTTGGCTTATCTGCTCCCTAATCACTGCTCTGCTTTCTGTCTTCCCAATACAGTATCTGTACTATATATTAAATGTGTTCATCTTGCCATATTCTCGAGGAATCCTTTAGCTTAAGGCTCAATTATTCAATTCCCTGTTAACAAGAACTTTAGTATTCCAGACTTAGTAAAGATAATTATTGTTCATTCTTTAAGTGTTCACCTAAATTTGTGCAGACACTTTTCTCGCACTAACGGTGAAGGAGCAAATAAAATTTCCCTATTACTGATGAATGTTGCAACATGCATGATGAAGCTGGCATGATCCTTCTACTGTGCTTTGTTTTGAATGGATACTTCTATGTGTTTTCTTTCTTTCTTTCTGAATGCTTTGGGGTCTGGCATATTTTTTTTTATATTGTTTCAGTTGAGAAGTACCCGGTAATAAGATTTGTTGTATTTGTGAGTTTTTTTTTGCAATCACTGTAACTTAATTAAAACTATATATTCAGACTTGTAAATAAATATCATTTGCACTCAGTTTGTAATGGAGTTCCAGATTGCAATAAACATGTGCATGGCTTTGGCATGGGAATATGTTCAGGTATGGTAGTTTAAAAAGATAATATAATTAAAACTATGAAGTCTACTTATGAAGTAAATATTGATCGGGGTATTATGAGAGAAATAGAAACTACATGTGATATGTTTTCAGGTATAACAGTGGCTTAGATTTTGTATCCATATTAATGTATATTTATCATACAGATGACATCTCACACTGTTGTACAGATGCAGAATGTGTTCCTACGCCCCCTGTGGTAACCCGTGTCTCCAAACCTGTCCACCAATCACGTCCATCATTACACGACCATTACCCATTCATTCATAAATACTTGTGAAACTGTGATGTTACCGTTTGGAAACACGCGTTACCACAGGGGGCGTAGTAGCACATTTCCGCAACTGTACCTTTTCAGTTTTATAGCATTCACATTTAAGTAGGACACAGTGTGTTAGAAAGACAGTTCTTTTCTTCTCTTAAAAGAAGAATAACTGCCTCAGACGAAAATCACCTCTATTAGCTTTTGAGGAAGAACCCAAGAGAAAATATCTTATTGAAAGGGGAAAAAAAATTGATTCAGAGATTAATTATGTCAAAAGAAAAGTAAACTTTCCAAAGAATTGAGATTAAATAATGTAAAGACTGTTAATAATTGGGAACAACATAATTATTAATGTATTATTATGCTGGAAGCGTCACTGCCATATACCCCCCCCCCCCTTCAAATATGGTAAGTGTCATCAGAGACCACTTTTGTTACATTATGTTGTCACCATTGGTCCCCACTTATACTGATGAAAGAATTGTGATGATTTAACATAGATCCACTGATTTTCAATTTAGAATTTGCTAGTACATTAATCACCCTCCTGCTCTTTTTTCATAATTACAGGATATTTTTTAATATTAAATTAGTGGTTGTCTTTGAGTTCAAACTCTTGGGTAGTTTTATGAAACCTCTGCCTCAATTTCTATCATTAATCATCATATCAGAAGTGTGTATATTGTTGATTTACTCAGTCTCACCAAGATACTTCAGGTAATGTATGCAGTACATCCACCACCACTGTCAGCTGCAGACTCAACATTGCACTCTCATTCACCCTAGACTTATGGGTGGTTGATTTGGCTAACATGAAAGTAAGATTGTTGTCTTTTCCAAACAGGAAGCATTAATTTTATAGTTAAAATATTAAAACAGATGCTCAATTAATTTCCATAGCACAGACTTGGTAATAATCCAGTGTAAGTATACAGGAGCTGTCATTATATCACCTACAGGTTCCCCTGTCATTGACACTTCTGTTTTTCATAGGTTTCTGCCTTGAGCAGTGCTTGTCAGCAGGCACAGTGTGTACAGTTTTGAAAATGAATGAGTAAATATATATCATATCATCTTCAGGACAACTGCGGGGGAGGGGCTGGGGTCGGGGGCAGTAGAATTACGACTGGACTGCTGTTAGGTAACCTGTCTGGGAAGGTTTTGAAGGAAACTCCACCTATGTTCTCTCCAGCCACCATGTCGACAGGAGGAACCTTGGCGACTGTTGTCTCCACCAACCCCACGAACACTTCAGACCTACAGGCCAGGAAGGTAACTCTTGAGCTTCTTATTATACCATAGACATTGTGTGATCATGGCCACAATTATTTATTTGGTGTCCTACAGGTCCCATTATAAAATTTGATATTGTAGTAATAAAGATTCTTTAAGTCATGAAATAATTACAGTGGTCCCTCAATTAACGAAATTTCGGTTAACAAATTAGCTCCCACACTGATTTTCAGTTCCATTAACGAACAAAACTTCGATTAACGAAAGCCTTAGGAGAAACACGCTTTGCTGTGCGAATCAGCTGATCGGCTAGTCCGCCAATACAGTAATCCGTTCTATGTTTACATTCGTTTCCAGTGGAGTAAATATCAAGAAAGTTGTGTTCTTGAATATTTTTTCATTTTTTATATTAAAATTATTGGTCATTCTAAAATTTAGACATCCAAGCTCTGTCTACATAAAGCTTTTCAACTAATATTTTTGGCTCAATATATGTAACTCTTCATTTATTTTTACTCATTTACATGCACACACTGTCCGAAGGGCAAAGCTGTACTGTACATGTACTCAAAATGATTACTAAGGTTTTGTCTAGTGCAAACTATAGCATGTTTATATTCAATTTAATCACAATCTTATAAGAATTCAAGCAATGTAAATTATATTCTTCCCAGTCACTTCTGTGACATTTTATAAACAAAAAACACAAACTCAATCTAAAGGACATAAATAAACAAATAAATACTTCACTAGACCTTCAGCACCAACTGTCAAACATGTCACTGTCACCTACCCTTCCTCCCTCCCTCCCCCCTCCAGGGTTTGGTGGTTTTAGGCTTAAAGTTTTTATCTTATATACTATCACAGACTAAAGTTAGGAGAATATAATTTTCATTGCTGGAGTCCTTGTAAGACGGTGAATAATTTTAATATAAACGTCATATATTTTGCACGAGATAAAAATTTATCACCTGTATCACATTACAGTAGTGATTTAAGAGTCCTAGTGTATATGTATGTATTTATATAGTGATTTAAGGGCGATTCAGGGGATTTTTGGAGTGTTTCTGACTTTATGCGTTTTTTGGACTTACTTTGTATGTACTTTTTCCGTGAGTTGGAACCAATTACCCAATATCCCATTGAAATAATAGATTCAGTTAACGAAATTTTCGGTTAACAAACGACTCTGTGGAACCAATTGTGTTCGTTAATCGAGGGACCACTGTATTTTACTTTTTCTTGTGTAAAGATCAAACTCAAAGGCATGGTCCCTGGTCCTTAACCCAAACTCTCGACAGTCACTCTGTATTATCCACGCATTAAATACTTTCACGTTATGATAGCATAGCGTCATAATGTTCTCGCCATCGTAACTGTTATACCAAGCACCTGCCAATATCCAGCACTCATTTTCTGGTGTCAAATTTCTTTAGCACATATATTTTTACCTCTAGATTAATGGTACTTTCTTCAGTGCAGAGACAACAATATCCTTTGCACTTGTGTTTGGGGGGGAGGGGGGTTGCCAAGATTTAACAGGTGAAAACTACAATTACTGCTTACTCTCAATTTAACAGAATCCGATATAACAAACTCGATTTAGCAGAAGGAATTTTTTCCATTATATTTTTTGCTCTATTTAGTGAATTAGTTCGCTAATCGAGATTAATTCCGTTAATGCTTAATGCGCTGACACCTATGGAGAAGACACCTCAGACACATGATATGTACATAGAAACATTATTCATGGCTTACCTTAAACAGGGGGGGGGGGGGGGATGTTTCTTTAAAAAGTTTCTGTAATTTTAAAACTTTTTTTTCCAATTGTCAGTCGTATTCTTTTGACTTTCTCCCCCAGACCACTTCCTTTCTGAGAGACTTTCAGCATGATGTTTAACCACAGTAGTTAGTTGGCTGAGATGTAGACCGAGAGGTAGCAGTGAACAACACACACGGTGGCGGCAGAACACAGATTGAGCGGATGTAAACAAACCCAAGCGGCAGAATTTAACGGAATCATTCTTGAATTAGTGAACTAGTTCGCTAAATCAAATGAAAATAATGGAAAGTTCGATTTCACGGAAAGGGGTGACTCGAATTAGTTTGTTAAATTGAGATAATGCTGTATGGAGCAAAACACAACTGGGCCTTAACAAATGTGGTGATGAGAGGGTATGTGGTGTTGCTCAAAGAACTGTAGTTCATTTGTGTTGTTTTCTTTAAACTTTTTGTTTTTCTGATGATAAAATAACAGCTACAGAACATCATGTGTTGTGTCGACTACATTAGTGACACAATTGGTCATACAGTAATTCTAATTTACCTTATTTCAGCAAGGATACAGTCAGATCTGAACACCTAGTAAAGAAATCTTACTTCCCATACTAACCAGTTTCTTTAATGTTCAGTCATGTCTAATGAATAGTATCTCTGTAGATTGTGGGCAACACTATTGTTACACCCATGGGTTGGAACAAGAGAGGCCGACCCTCCACCAAATCCAGACCCTTGTTGCATACTCTGACAGCCACCAAATTGAGTGGGGTGGAAGCACAAGGTACAAGCTTGGGTACACCTGTGATAAACAAGGTCACCACCCCAGTCACCACTCCCATCTTGCTCTCCACCACTGATGTAGCTACAGAAACTCACATTGCTGCTGTTCGAGGTGAGTGGCTGGCCTTTCACTTATAATTTAGGGTCATTTGATCATGAAAACTCACACTATACTCAAGTATATATGGTAAGTGTAGATATTTTTGTGATATCTAAATGTTTTTACCATCAAGAATTACTTTAAACTCTATTAACAGTTAAACAAATTTTCTCAAGTAGGTGGTCAACTCAGCCCTCGAGGAGGCAACTCCGGGGTGAGGGTCTACTCTGGCAGTCCCAAAACATCGGCTGCCTCATTTCTTCTCACCAATGTGACTTCATCATCTGGTGTCCGCATGGCCAGCCCTTCCATGGTCATTACTAACACCATGGCCATGTCCACTGGTAATGGAACAGTTGTTTCAGACAGCTCCCCACTGTCTCTAGGTGTTGGGTCTGTGGTTGTGAGTGCTGGGGGTGGAAGTAGCATGGGAAGGGGTAGAGTGATTTTAACCTCCAGTCCTCGCTTGGTAAGGCCCATTGTGGCTCACGCCAATCGCACCATTGCCACCACTCGCACATTGAATACCACCCGTCCCACAGTGATGTTGGTCACCACACCTAGCCCTGTGTGTCTCACCTCTACAGTCACAACACACTCGGCATCTGCAGCACCCCCAACTTCTCCTGCCAATTCTACAACCCTCGTATCTTCCACAACCCGTACAACTCCAGCTACTTTTGTACATTCTACACTCCCATCTGCTTCAACCAGTGTACCTACAGGAGAATTAGCTTTGCTGGTTGCAGCTTCTGAGATGAGTGAGAGAGCAAGAAATACAGTATCACCAACAAACATGAATGGCTCCAATGCATGTCTGAGTTCGAATACATCCTCAACAGTTACGAGCACCTCGACAAGCCTTCCGTCAATAACGGCAGTAATCACCACTACAGAACATGAACATCCAACATCATCAAATAAACCCAATAAAACTTCAACCCAGGAGACTGAGATCACCCAGAGACTTGCTTCTCACTCTCCGGCCTTCACTGTTAATTCTACAAGTGCTGATGTTCTGCAGTTAATTTCCACAAGCACCACCTCAACCAGTACTGTAATGACCATTGCTACAACCGCAACAGACACCACCACTGGGGCTGCCACTATTACAACTTCGTGTACACCATTCACCGCAACATCTACCAGTTCACAGACTTCTCGTCACCAAGGCATCGTCACTAGAACCTTCACACTAACTGGAGGAACGGGCTTGCGAACCAGACGAAGTAGTGGACCTTTAATGGTGGAAATGGAGAGTAACCGTCGCAACAAGTCGACTACTACAGAAACTACTACTCGTGGATCTGCTGGGCGTAGGGGTCGTGGCAGAGGCCGTGGAAGAGGCAGATCAAGCTTATAGTGATATCTTGGATAGTGTGTGTGTGTGTGTGTGTGTGTGGATAGTGAATATTTTAAGTGTTAATCTTTTCCAGTGAGAAAATTTCTTCAGTTTAAAAGGATTCATCCATAAATAATTCTGGGAAGTACTGTACTGTACGTTCCTAGGAGTGTGGTCCTTCCAAAATGAGTTAATAGTATTGCTGTATGTCAAACCTTGTGATACTCTTAATGAATTTTGTTTTTGTAAGGACAAACTTTCCAACTGCAGTGAATTCTTTACATTAAATTTCAGACTACTGTAAATTTAAAACAAATCTCAAATGAATTATTTATAATAGTTTATATTCTGATATTGTGTGTGTGTGTGTGTGGATAGTTTTGTAAATGTAATTGAACTGAAACTCGTTAACACATGTAATCTGTCACTACATTAAATATTAATTAATCTCATTATATGTTGTCATCCATCCATTTACCAGTTCAGGGTAATCATAAATATAAGGAAATTAAATGTTAGTGATAAGTTTTCATACCATTTTATTTAATAATTTTATTTCCTTCACTTGAATGAATCCATATCAGTTGATGACACTACATACTCTTAAAAGTAACTAATAGTGATTGTACAAGAGTGGAGATAATACTGGTTAAATTTACTGGGGGCTTCCACTCCCTCCTTCCATCACAACCGCCTCTCTTGGTTTCATCTACTGTACGTTATACTACTCATAACAATGAATCCGTAAATTTTTTAAAGTATATGGCTTGAAATTATAATCTAATAACTTTGATAAGCAGTCCTTGAAAAAATTAATGATAACGTAACTTGAGAACCTTCAGTCGTCAGGTAAAGTACTGTCGGTACTACGTATCACTGTCGTCGTCATCACTATCCTCCTGCTCCAGCCACTCTATAAATCTTGTTATCTGTAATGACAATGAAGAAGCTTACTGGTTGTAACAAGTTCAATATAATATTATCCTAATTCATTACCATATAAATCTGAGAAAAGGTGAACTTGTTAATAGTCACCTTTCAGGACATATTTTGGTCTGCAGCTACAACCTTGATCTATGACACAGATACTTGAGTTTGGTGTTCTGTCTGAGGTGACCAAGGGGTTCGTCTTAGTTGTCTGAGGTGACCAAGAGGTTAGTCTTGGGTGTGTGTGAGGTGACCAAGAGGTTAGTCTTGGTTGTCTCAGGTGACCAAGAGGTTAGTCTTGGGTATGTGAGGTGACACAAGTCCTAAGTAACCATATTAAACACATCATCTACCATGTACACAGTGGGTCTACCAAAGAAAATTGCATGAAAGCAGAGTGTAACAACCTGACATCGTTTCAGAGCTGGTAGTCTGAATGTTGGTATTATTCAGGGTAAATTTGGTGCGGTTGTCGAGTCATTCATCATCATGGACATTTCCCCTGCTTGTATGGGTTAACGTTGATTACCTGATGGTATGGTGTACTATTTGCCATCAAGTAAATTTGAAGCACTTTCTGTAGCTGGATGCCAACCCACTTTTACAGTAAGAATTAGGCATTATACAGTATGTAGGACTTCCAAGTGCCCTCTTAGCAGGCAAGGCAGGGCCGCAACTCCCTGAAGTAATGAAAGATTACCCGCCATTTTGTGTTATTAGTAATATAATATAAACCGATTACAGTACTTAATTTATACTCACAGCTTGTTTAAGTGCAGGAAATGCAGAGGTTGAAGCACCTCCCCTCTTGAACCAGTGAACCACAACCTCATCATCCAGGATTTCATGAGTCTGGTTCAGTTCATAGAGGATCTTTTGGGCAACTGGTAAGTACTCGGCCGACTCAGAAAATAGTAACTGCAAACACAAATAATGTAGCCATTTAACACATCTCACATCAAATAAAAGATAATAGTTTTCATTGGCATACAAAATAAAATGTTTTATAACAAGTCTACATAACACATTACCATAATCAAAATAACCAAAGAGATGTAAAGGGGTCAGATATGCTGGATTAATTGTAGGTCCTCTCAGTGAAATGAACAAAAATTTAATCTCTCTGGGAGGGTGGCAATTCTGTTGATGTTGGGGAGTTTAAGTATGTTTATACTTCATATGGAGTCTGTGGGTGCAAATGTACTGTAATACATCCTGCATCCACTTCTCACCACATGAAAGTTTTGGTACCATTCACATGACAACATCCATCACCAGCAGCCAAGAGTAGTGGGTGTTACATTGGTGTTATTGTATTTGGGTAGATAAGTTGCAGCAACTAGACCAAATACAGACTTACAAATATCAAAATATTCCTGACAGTGATACTCACCTCTATAGCATTAAGAACTAACACCTGGTCTCTATCCTTGCGAATATAATTTCTAAGGACATCAGTGAAAGCAGTAATAGAGAGCTTGATGCCCCGCCATAAATTCTCTGAGCTGCCGTCTCCTGAGTTTTTATCTTCACCACCAACACGAATTATGCCCTGAAATTATAAAGTCATTATATTCTCTAGATTAATCTTTAGTTTTCAGTTAAATCTCCAGTATGTAAATTAATCAATTAAAATTATATATATATATATATATATATATATATATATATATATATATATATATATATATATATATATATATATATATATATATATATATATATATATATATATATATATATATATATATATACACACTGATAACCACATGTACAGTATAGACAGGGAGAATTACCATTTCATCTCTGTACAATATTTTCTTAGGCTTTGGGTGCCAAATTTCTTAAATGTATACAGCACAGTAAAACTTCACTAACTAAAAATATACAGGGGTATGTATGGGTATGTTGACATTAGTGAACAATTCACACTACACTACAGTATATGACTGGACCAGGCAGAGAGGTTGGTGAACTAAGCAAGAGGCTGGCAGTAATGGATAGGACAATGTTGTGAGGGATAATGGGAAGGGCAGGAAGCTGGCAATGAGGAGTGGTGGGCAGGGTCTTTGGCAGTACTTTCTAACCAAAAGGGGAATTCACACTCCCCAGCACCTCCCCTGGATCTGCCTATGCAATATAAACTCTACTTTAAAATTAAAGTCATTAAATATGGTCAAGCAAGCTAATAGCCTGCCTGCTCAAATAACAAGCCATACAAGCCTGGTCTCTAGTGGCTTGGAAGAAAACACATTCACTGGTTGGCTGCCCTAGGTACAGATTCTCAAAGGTTTGTGTGATCAATATTCTTCATACCTAAAGATATAAAAATGTTCCTAAATGTTACTCAAGATTATACTGACCATAAACAAGACACAACATAACTAATGGTACTCACCTGCGTCACAGTAGTTAGAACGTCTTCCATGCTCATGTTATAAGCGTGACGTGAGGCATTAATTTCTAAGACCACATTTTCTGCCGCTGACGACTCACGCAGAGCATTTGCCAGGCTTTCCATCATCTCACGTTTGAACTCTGAAACATGAATATATTTGTCAGTAGTTCCTACCAAACCTGCACCTTATATAAGTTTCTTTCCATCTTGGTTTCAGTATGCAAGCATCTCACACACCTTAAATTGAGTGTGATTGTTGACATGGACAGCTGTGTACTGTACTGTACCTGAATACTGGTGTGAGTAGGCTAGTACTCTCAATTTTATTAAGATTCGCTTCGTAAATCAATTTCACTGAAGCTATCATCAAAGTATGGTTCAAGGATGAAGAAATGAATGTGTGCCAAACCTTGGTAGACTTTGACAAAATGTATAATTACAGTACGATATTAGACAACAGTGGAGGCCACATAAAATACTTATTAACATAATCATCATCATTTTATGGTCTATTTTCATGCTATAAATGCTTTCATTAAAACCCGAGTTTTGTGTATGACATTTGTCTGATGAAATTAATTTGCACAGCACTGTAACTCCCTTAACTAACAGCACCTTGCATATACTGCACAAGTCACTCACCGTGCTCACGATGTTCATCTTCATCACTCATCGGTGCTGAGTCGGACATATCTTCTTCACTGTCTTCCTCCTCCTCTTCTAAATCTTCCACATAGTCACCATCTGATCCTTGCTCAGCCAGGTCTCCGACTTCTCGTACGACTTCAAAGGCATGTCCCTTGGTTCCACAAATCCTCAGATCAGGTTCTGGACAGATATGTGAAGTAATAAAATTCTAATTAGAAAAATTGCTATTACAGTACTGTACCACTAAGTAATAAAACAGCACTACATTCATGAGGAGGCATGATTTAAAATGTTATATGCCTTAAGATTTAAAGACATAAACTCATGTATAAACGAGGGTTACTGGACACATTTGTACAGGTTTTGGAAGTGTCAACCTGTTTTTTCTGAGCAGAGAAAAGATGCCTCGCCCCCTTCTCAAAAATTACAGCTGATTGGCAGTTTCAAACGTGTCCAATTTCGTCCTGAAGTAATGATGTATTTCTAAACGAGTTTATTCATAATCATTGGGATGACCGTTTCTGACGAGAAAGATATTTGGCTAAATTATATAAAGATACATACATTCATTATTTTAAATATAAGTAAGTAGGAAGTTTATCAGAAGTATTATACAGTACGTACATGAATTAACTGTTACACTCTGGTAGCAATTTCATGCTTTTGGAGGATGCATTTAATACATTACTTATTTTTACCCACAATAAGGCATACTAAGACATTACAGTATATATCAGTAATACTACATTATGGTATACAAAAACTAACATTTTAAAAGATTAAAATCACATTGAAATATTGAGGCGGGAAATGCGACTGTGAACAACGATTATGAAAAAACTCATTTAGAAACACAGTATAATCTGGGTTTACGTGGATATTTTAAACGAGGACGGCCATTTACGCGGCACCTGTCCAGAAGCGGTAATTATTATTTACGCGGTAAATGCCATCATGTACGCGGCGGGGCAATGTGCTGACGTCAGACTCGTGCCGATGATGTCGCGGACTGTGATTGGGCCATGTATCCTTACCACCCACACACCCCCTCCGCTGCTCACTGTGATGGTCTAGTTATCCTTGCCACTCCAGCCACCCACACTCTCCACCGCTATGTCAGTCTCACTGTCTCAGTGTATATTCACTCGTGCCCAGGAACCAGTGTTTTTTTTTTCCTTTCTACACAATGGCTTCTGAGAGGCTCAGTCTGTTGCTGTGGTATTGGAGAATGAAAGAGAGGCTACACAGGGTGTCAGAGCTGCAGGCTTCTCCAAGACCACCAACGACGACATCCTGGAGGTAATCAGGCAACCTGAGGTGACTGAGGACTAGATGTTGAATAACCATCTGTTGAAATGCCAGGAGCCCTATGTTCAACTGTATCACGACCACATCGATGCTAGCTGTCAACAAAACATCACTGAGTTCTTCAACCGCCAACCACCATAGCCAGCCCAGTGATAGTGAGGATGTGGACTTCGAGGGGTTTGACGATGAGGCCCTGCTAGCCTCTGTGGTGGATAGAGATACAGGTGAGGGCCAATAATCTGCCCTCTGCCTCGGAACCAACCCCCCCATCCCCGTGTGCCCAGCCATCTCTTCTACTAACGTAAGTGTTAAAAAACCTAATATTATTGATATTTGTCTTATTTATTAATAGTGTGTGCATACCATCATAAAATTAAGATATTATTTTTACTACAATGTACAGTATTGTGTTGGCGATAGCCAAAAAAAGGGTAGTCTGGCGGTCGGCCCAGTCTCTATTTCAATTAATCCCATAGGTTCTGTTATTTTATTTACACGTTTCGCTTTATACACGGACCTCCATGGGTTTAATTAACCGCGTAAAACCAGTCTATACTGTACAACATTACTTCAGGACGAAATCGGACAGGTTTGAAACGGTCAATGTATTTACTAAAGTTTATACTTATTGTATTTTACAGTACCACAACTTACTTTATACAGAGTGCAATTTACATTACTCAATTTTTTATCAAAAAGTACGCAACACATTACACAGAACCTGCAGGAAGAGAAGTCACATAAAGTGAGGTCTTTCTGAACCACTTAGTAGATGTGTACAGGGAAAAGATACAACAATTTTGCATAACATCATTTCTTTACATGCATGAAAAAATTGGTAAACACTGAAAAACTGGTGGATAAAAATTACAATCTCACCTTGACTAATAGTCTCCAGGTTAAACTCATCTTTGGGTGGTGTAGCGATAAAATAGGTTGCAGGTGGCACTGTGATGTTTGGACCAAGGATGACCCCAGCTCCTACCATGCATCCTGGAGACAGTTTCACATTCTCCTCCAAAGTTACATTGTTTCCAAGAAAACAATGTTTTAAAACACAGCCAGCCTGAAACAACATAAACTTTCATTGCAAAAATGGTAGATGATGTTTGCTTACAATAAAGAATGGAGGAAGACATTAAAAACATATACAGTAAATGAAATGGGAACTGGGCATTAGATGTAGGACTTCCAAGTACCATGAACATAAAAGCTGTCAGGATGTTAGATAATCTCACCAAACAAAAGGTGCATCTTCGTTCAAGTCAAAGGTTCCTTATTTCAAGTTCTATTAAGTCCATTCTTCTCTACTATTAGCTTACATCCTATAGATATAATTATTTTCAGTCCTTCAGAATAAAATGACCATGGACAGACATACAGTACTAACTGAGAAAATATGATAACGATTACTACTGTAAATGAATAGCCATACCTTAATGTGAACATTATTCATAATAAAAGCTGATTGTGCCTTAACATTGTCCTCAACGATGCAGTGATCACCCACTACCGACCATTGAAGCTGAGCTGTCATGCTGACTTCAGAACCGGCTCCCACCACCACATTGGTGCCACCGCATCCTCTGTACAGAATAACTATACTGTAGATAACATCATGGCAGTGATAACTCTCTCACCATAGTAATTATAAGTTAGCATGTACAATTATTGTATATGGCAAAGATTTAAATGCTGCCAAGGTATCTAACTTCAAAAATGTGGAGATAGGCAGTGGGTCAATTGTTTTGGGGTTGAGGATGATTCTACCTGTGTCCATTCAAGCTCTAATACAATCAAGGTATGAATGATATAATGTACATAGATAGTGATGCTAATAACACATTGCTTTGGTTAACTATGTCGATCTATCAAACCCCCAAAAGGCTCAGTACAGTGGTCCCTAGGTTAACGAGCACAATCCGTTCCAGCAGGTTGCTCGTTAACCGAAACCATTGTTTCAATGGGTTTTTGGGTAATTGGTTCCAGCTCACCGAAAATTACCTAAATTCAACAAAAAAGGTAGAAAAGTTCACTTACTTTTAGGTGTGTATGTAGAAGGCTCCTGGATGATGATGATGATGGGAATTAGAGTGGGGGTGGAGGAGAAGGGAGAAGAGAAGGCATTGGGGTGGAAGAGAAGTCACCCCATGGCGCCATTTCACCCCTAAAATTTTAGTTCTCTTGGTGTAATTCAAGATTATTTTCTTTAAATCAACACTGCACTGCATTATATATTGTCAATATGTAAAATAAATTTCAAAATGACCAATAATTTGCTTGGAAACAGAAAAAAGCGTTTAGTTTTAGAGTCTCAAGCAATATGTTACCTCCACTGAAAACAGAGAGAGACTAACGCTTGTTTGGTGTGTTAAAAGGCTGGATGGCACACCACAAACTAGTGACCTTACCTTCAATTATGTTCAATAATTGTTAAAATGACTAAAAAATTGAATATTCAACTTTTAAAATTATTGAATAGTATAAACTTCTTGATATTTACTAAAATAGTAAGGAATTTAAGCCCTAGAACCGATTAATGTATTGGCGGACTGATACTAAAGCTGGTTGCCCGGTCAGTGCAAGCGAAAACATGTTGAGGTCGGTTCGTAAGAACTTCGTTAACCGAATTTTTTTTCGTTAACCGAATTGAAGATCCTTATGGAAGGCAGTTCGTTAATCGAAATTACGTTAACCGAGATGTTCGTTAAACGAGGGGTCACTGTACTTGATACACTAACAAATATTTCTTTCCCTAAACTGTAACCACTCCATTAGGGTTTCTGAATGAAATACATTTGCACATCCATTAAAACTATTCTACATATGACTATTGTTCTAAATATAAAAAGAGAGATACATAATGGAAGAATAATGCAACTAAGAAATGTGTGGATACCAAATAACACAAATACTTGTAACAAAACTTGTATACAAGATGTGGTACTGACTTGTGAAACTTGGCAGAGGGTTCCCAGTAATTGTTGGTGAAGGTGTCATATGTGTAACGGATACGGTGGCTCGTTAAGCTCACCTCAGACACCATGGGGTAGGCCATACGACGGATGACTTCACCACTGAAAATGAGAATGCACTATTGTATTGTGCTGAACTGTACTGTACTTCATTTCTTATCTTAAAATAAAAGTACACCAGTTTCAGTAATTATTTGTTACAAACACCAGTACTGTAATTCTTTTACAGCATTTCATTGAAAAACAAAAAACTAAATGAGAAACAAATGTACTATACAGGACCAAAACTTATGTCAATAGATTTTTGTATGACATGTTTTATAAGTGATCAATATGTCCACTATGAGTTCAGGCTTTGGAACCTAAAAGCTTTAACATAAGAGGCTGGGAAGAATACAAAGGTCAGCCAAACTCAGGAGCCCTCGCCCTTACAAAAGCAGTCTGAGGAGGTAAGGTTACCAGCTGCCAGAACACACAGCACATATGGTATTCATTCATGACTAATCCTCACCAACCGGTTGGAAGATCTCCTTGGGTTAAAACCTATCTCAAATCTCCTTATTTTCCAGGACATAATTACTTTTGCCTTTTTTTTGTGCTGGGGTTTTTCTGCACTGGGATGCACTACTTTGCGAGTATAATTAAACTAAGAATGTCTTACCCTAGTTTTTAAAGCCTTTACATCAGCTAACAACCTAAATGCTGATAGTAAGAGAAGTTGCAGAAGATTGTCTCCTCTTAAGGGACACCCCCAGTCCAGTCTGTTTTATATGTATAAATAAGAGATATTAGAGAAAGGGCCCCCAGAGAATTACCAGCTATCACAACAATTATAGTCATATAACATTAAGGAGACATTACTCTATTAGGTAGTAGGCAGCTATCAAACAGGGAGGTACTACCGCCTGGGGAAGATGTTGGAAGCATAATGTGTTGTCTAATGGTAGACCCTGCTGCCACATGGCATCATGAAAATTGTGACCAAGTCCCAGGTTGCTAATCTGTCTTTCTGCCTCATTTACACACAATTGCAGGGTCTCAATTGTTTCTCTTACTTTGACAACACAACATACATATATTGTTTCTCACCATTATTTTTTTTATGGTCCTTTATTATCACTACAGTATTATATTATATCTTTATTTTATATTTTTTCTAATTGTTTATTAAATTTTATTATTATTATTATTTTGCTCCCAGGCCCTGATGTGGGTCATTGACCTGTGCCCTGGTGGGCTAATCCCGTAAAAAAAGGACTAGACTAAAAAGGTACCATCCTAGAAAGGGTACCCGAGTCAGTTACTAAGATGAGTCAACGAGCAAATGGAATATAGAAGGAGAAATTGTTAGTTCTGTCTTCCAATGGAAAGACTTGATCTTCTCATGAGTAACAGAGGCAAAGATTACTGACCTCACTTTTTCATACAGACGGAAGGATGAAGCCCTTGTGGCATATCCTGCGTCAAGGATCTCACAACGAATGGTGTATCCAAGGAGCTCTTCTTGTTCAATTACTCCTCGAATCAGATTATCCCGGTTTGCATAGTCAAAATTGTCTGAGAAGAGAGAGGGAACGGCCTCAGAGCACACAGCAATGTTGGGGTCATGCACCACAGGCATCACTTGTAGTTCATTGCTGTTTTGAAAGAGCTCCTGAAATAAAACATGGGACCATTAAAAACATTTCCAGATTAACTGCATAAACAAAAAATAATATAATGCATTCTTATCCCATCTGCTACTTTATGTATGTAAGACATCAAACATGTACACAGAACTATATAATATTGCATATAAAATGATATATCAGCACCCTGGTTTACAACTGCAACTGGTTAGTTGCTGAGCTATTCTGAAGTATCACCAAAACCTACAGTGGAAATGTTGAATTTAGTTAAGTTGTTGGAGGGACGCTTATGGCACAGCAGCTTGCCTGTAGTAGAATTAGTGATTAGTGTAGCTGTTGCTTCCTTATCTCCAATATACTCCTCTTCATTGTTCACATACACACTCGTCATGATGACACTCTTGTCAGCTGCCCGATATTCCCTGCAATGAAAATGTCAAGTTCAATTATGCAGATGAATAAGTTCCTTTTAAATCTAACTTTTAATTTAAATGAGCAACCAACAGAAGGTCAGTAAAATATGATCATGTTCCTACCGATAATGCATGGGAAGGCTGATGTAAGAACAAAATAACAAACATGATGTTCCCCAAGTGTTTACCATCTGTAAGGATGGCAACGAGGATATAACAACAGAACTCTTACTTATGTTTTGTCATGAGAGCCTTGAGGTCAAGTGTTGCCACCACATCTCCATGTACAAGGAAGAAGTCATCCTTCAGGAGAGATTTTGCATATAAATCCCTCATGGCATCGCCCATTGAATGACAGTCTTCAGAAGTCACAACGGATATTTTCAGTCCACAGTCCCCACGACGCATTGCAAATCCCCTGCCAAAATATAAGTACAGTACCGTAGTAAGTTACAATGTAAAATTCAGTATAAAGACAGTAAAGGAAATGTAATACAGTACAGTACATAGCATATTACTGTATCCAGAATCTTTCCATTAACCTTTTGCCATATCCAGATTTAGGCTTCAACCACAAAAACTAAAACACATAAAATGACTGACAAACAAACAGTTATCCTACACAAATAATACAAGTAAAAAGAGTTTATAATACTGTACACAACTTCAATGTTTATAATGCTTCATAACCTAAGTTTAGTTATTACCAGTACTGTACTGTGGTCTGTTTGGTCCAAGACACTTCTATTCAGTTGTTTACTTTTACGGCCAATTTGCCCTCACTCTCATTGGTTTTTGGTAATTCTTGACATAATTTCAAGTAAGTTATGGAATATTACAGAACATTAATAAACGTTCCTGTTGGCACTGACACACTCAAGGACCAAATAGATAAAACCCAGAATGACATTATTTCCTCTATAGAGAATTTTTCATGTTCCTTGCTTTAATTTTTCACCACAAATGCCAAAGACCTCTGGATTTATTCTTATTCTTTATGATGAAAGTTAACCAATAGAGGTTTTGAGACCTATCCACAAACATGAACCCAAATCAGAGAACTTTTTAAATATTCTAACACAACAATTTCCTCATCCTTAAAATATACTGTAGTCTGAACACTAGCCACGAATATCATCAATAATTAACACACTTGATAATAATGCAGAACTGTACCATAGATTTAAGCCATTACAGTCAAACCTCCATATAACGGACTTCACTCTCCATATAATACATTAAATGGGGGGTTTCACATCTAACAGACCCTCGATATAAGAGACTTTCATCTCTATATAGTTTGTTAGGTGAAGGTTTCCTCTCCATACTGTCCGTTAAATAGAGGTCTTACTGGATAGATATTTATAACAAAAAGTGGCCAGGCATATTTACAGAGTCCTTATGGCCTCTGGTATAGATAGGGCCATTCACTCTATCCCATCTAGCCATTGTACTGAGTGACTGAGCCCTACTCACCTACAGGTTGCCTGCTATAACGACGGGTGACGGGAAAAGAAGTTACATTAGCATTAAAAAGATAATAAGTGTACTTCTTCTTCCTTCTTCTTGGAAAGTGAAACTGCCATACTGACTAGAGAGTCACAGTATTAATATTTATCACCCCTTACACCTCAACACTTACCGGCAATGTTGACGAATCATGTCAGAATGGGGATGTGTGCGGCAATAGACAATGGCTTCATCCACACCGCTACGTTCCAGCCAGTCCAAGGTATAATCAAGCAGCGGTGTGTTAACGAGGGGAACAAGCACCTGTAATACACAATAAAGTGTAACCTCTCACGTATCCGTACCCCCGACTCTTTGAGCTAATGAGTGATTTTCAACATGGATGCAATGGACCATGGAAGCACGAACCCTAAATATCAGGTATGTACAACATTTACAATATGTATGGATGCAGGGGGTTAATATTTAGTAGTTGCCAGCACCTAACTCAAAACTGAGTCATTTATGGGGAGATAGAGAAGAAAATACAAATAATTTATTCTATAACATTTTCATTTGAAATTTATATTTTTTTAGTTATTTTAACTTTTATTTTATAATATTTGGCCAATCAGCGTGAGTGCCAATGTGACATAATATTCGTGCACTAATCAACACAAGTCTCCATTCCCAGGAAGTTGGAAGATGGCGTCTGTGTGAGGTGGATGTACATTGGCTGGCTGCCGCATTATTCAGCTCATTTTGGCCAATGAAGCAGCAGCCATTGACATTTTTAGGGCTGACGGTGTTCTTGTTTCATCTGTAAAATGTTCAAGATGTTATTCAGAGTGTGAGTACCGTGTAGATCACCCTGCATGGTACTGTGGCAAGAGATGGACACTTCCTCACTCTACCCTACTGTGTCTCTTACTTAAGGTAACCTTCTTACACACACTAGGGGTTAGGTTAGGTCTTTTTAGTTTTTGAGGTTTTTACGTTGTTTGGCCTTCCACCTTTTTTTCAATACCTCAACAACTGCTCATTTTCAATGGCAATGAAGGTCATAGTTGCATTTAACACAGTGATTTACACAATAAAAATATATTTTCAAAAGTCAATTAGGTGTTGGGAACTACTAAATATTTACCCCCAAGGGTCATAATATACACAAATTATCACACACCTAAAATACCAATGATCTGAACAAAGTAACTACCATTAACCTTCAGAGCTCTCGTTAAGCACACACTGAAAACTTACAGTACAAACTAAAATTCAAGATGGTTATAACTCAAGTGTATGGTGTTGAGACAGATGATGTATTAAACAGGTTTACCTAAACCATCATAAGTGTTAAGAGTTCATGAACTTCCTCAGTATATATGAAGATCCCTATTATTCTAGTTTTCTGGTTCGGTATTACGAGGGGAGAGCTTTATTTTTTTTAAATACATGAACAAAAATATGGATGTGAATTTTATAGAAATTTGAATAATAAATATAAAATGATATTTGAGATGGGTGGTGACCTTAGGTAGATCTTGGGTGATTGGCTGGTCATGTTCCTGATAGATATCGGTCAGCACAACGGCCTGAAGTGTCTTCTCCTCACGAAGCTCCGCCTGAGGTGCCATGCTAGGTGTTTACATCGAGTGGTCGCTTACACCCACGACACCTAGCTAATACCTCCACTAAGGGATACGGTACTAAAGTAATATTTTATGACTATCTCCTTTAATCTACTTTTACGATTTACCAATATGATAAATTATAGAAATTTTGACTATATTTATTTGTATCTGATTTATTATCCTATCTAATGCATTTTTATTTGCACTTCTTCACATGAGGCTATTATCTATCTAGTACAGCGGCCATCCGGTACCAAATACTATCTGTGCATTTTCCTGAACAATGACTTTTGAGATGTTTATTCACTTATTTTAAATGGCCTCTTCCCATATTTAGTATATACTGAATATCTGTAAACATTCTAGGCCTCTTGATAAGCGGGGTGTCTCAGAGCAAGCACCAGGGAAGCCCTCCTTTGTACATTCTCAAGCAATTGGCAGTCTTTGGCATATCTCTGAGACATAAAGAACTACAGGGAACATTACACTTTTAAAATTTCTTATGAAGTTCTGGAGGTAAGGATTATCCCTAAAATGTCAATGTTGTGAGGTATTGGACATAATGTCAAAAATTTTATTGAATTTTGCAATATCATGTCAATTACTGAGCATAATGTACGTTGGTTTAATATCACTGAAAATAATCAAGCTGGATGCACCCCGCCCAGTTATGTTGGCGAGCTCTTCCTGTTAAGATAAAAAAATCGTTTGTCTGGTATTAAAAGGATTACCTCGTGAGATAGAGGCAATTTGAGTGAAGTATCTGTTGAGCATTGATTCATCTACATAAATGTGAATATAGTTGTCACTGAAAGAAGGTCACTATAAGAACAGAGTTGGTGCCAGTATGGAACCTTTGGGAAAACCAGAACTGATGAAGTAATAATGAAAAGGACGTCTAATGTTACTCATACTTTAAAATTGGGTAAAAGAGAAGACATTTTAAGGACTAAGGAGGTAGAGGAAAGTCCGGGAAAAGGGAATATTACGGTGAAGAATCGATTCCAGAATTTTTCAAATGTTTTGGAAATGTTAAGAACTACTGTAGAGGATCCAGTCGCCATAAGTCATGTGATTGGTGGTTTAAATGTGTAGGAAATGACAGAATATCATCATTAGGACGTCAAATTGCCTTATTAATAATTTTCATGGTGTGTGAGACTATCGCTTATGATTCGAGTTTCCAATATTTTGAGTATTGTTTAATTCAGACAAAATGGACGAGTGTTAGAGACTTTCCTGGAGTAATGTGTGGTGGAGAGGGAGTGGTGGTGGAGAGGGAGCTGTGGTGGAGAGGGAGTTGTAGTGGAGAGGGAGGTATGGAGGAGAGGGAGCTGTGGTGGAGAGGGAGCTGTGGAGGAGAGGGAGCTGTGGGAGAGGGAGCAGGGGTTGAAAGCAAGGAGCCGTGGTGGAGAGGAGCTGTGGTGGGAGAGGAGCTGTGGCTGAGAGGGAGCTGTGGGTGAGGAGCGAAGAAAGGAGCTGTGGTTGAGAGGGAGCTGTGGTGGAGAGGGAGCTGTGGTTGAAAGGGAGCTGTGGTGAAGAGGAGCTGTGGTGAAGAGGGAGCTGTGGGTGGAGAGGGAGTCAAAGGAAAGGAGCTGTGGTGAAGAGGGAGCTGTGGTGAAGAGGGAGCTGTGGTGGAGAGGGAGCTGTGGGTGAGAGGAGTTGTGGTAGAGAGGGAGCTGTGGGTGAGAGAGGAGCTGGTGGTGGAGAGTGAAGCAGGAGAGGGAGCTGTGGTGGAAGAGGGGAGCTGTGGGGTGAAGAGGGAGCTGTGGTGAAGAGGGAGCTGTGGGTGGGAGAGGGAGCTGTGGTGGGAGAGGGAGCTGTGGTGGGAGAGGAGCTGTGGTGAGGAGGAAGCTGTGGTGGGAGAGGGAGCTGTAGGAGAGGGAGTTGTGGGAGGAGAGGAAGCTGTGGTGAGAGGAGTTGTGGTGGGAGAGGGAGCCGGTGGGAGAGGGAGGTGGGAGGAGGAGGGAGCTGTAGGAGAGGGAGCTGGCGGAGAGGAGCTCTGGTGGAGAGGGAGCTGTGGTGGGAGAGGAGTTGTGGAGAGGAGCTGTGGTGGAGAGGGAGCTGTGGTGAGGAGGAGCTTGCAGAGAGGAGTTGTGGTGGAGAATGACCTGTGGTGGAGAGGAGTTGTGGTAGAGAGGAGCTGTGGTGGAGAGGAGCCGTGGTGGAGAGGGGCCAGGTGAGGAGCTGTGGTGGAGAGGAGCTGTGGTGAAGAGGGAGCTGTGGCTGGGAGCTGTGGTGGAGAGAGAGTTGTGGTGGGAGAGAGGAGCTGGGGGTGGAGAGAGGAGCTGTGGTGGAGAGGAGCTGTGGTGTGAGGGGAGTTGTGGTGGAGAGGAGCTCTGATGGGAGAGGAGCTGTGGTGGAGAGAGGGAGTTGTGGGTGAGAGAGGGAGTTGTGGTGGAGAGAGGGAGCTGGGTGTGTGTGAGAGAAGGAGTTGGGGGTGGGAGAGAGGGAGCTGTGGTGGGAGAGGAGCTGTGGTGGAGAGGAAGTTGGGGGTGAGAGGGAGCTGTGGTGGAGAGGGAGGTTAGGGAGAGAGGAGCGTGTGAGAGAGGGAGTTGTGGTGGAGAGGGAAGTGTGGTGCAGAGGGAGGTGTGGTGGGAGAGGAGGTGTGCTGGGAGAGGAGATGTGTTGGAGAGGACATGGGTGGAGAGGGTGGTGTGGTGGAGAAGGAGGTGTGGTGGAGAGGGAAGTGTGGTGCAGAGGGAGGTGGGGTGAGAGGGGAGGTGGTTGGAGAGGGAGATGTGGTGGGAGAGGAGCTGTGGTGGGAGGAGGAGCTGTGGGTGGGAGACAGGCTGTGGTGAGAGGGAGGTTTGTTGGAAAAGCAAGTGGTGTGGAGAGGAGATGCGGGTGGAGGGAGCTGTGGTGGGAGAGAGGGAGTTGTGGTGAGGAGAGGAGTTGTGGTGGGAGAGAGGGAGTTGTGGTGGTGAGAGGAGTTGTGGAGAGATGGAGCTGTGGTGGAGAGGGAAGTGTGGTGCAGAGGGAGGTGTGGTGGGAGAGGAGTTGTGGTGAGAGGAGCTGTGGAGAGGAGCTGCTGGAGAAGGAGGTGTGGTGGAGAGGGAAGTGGTGCAGAGGAGGTGGTGGAGAGGGAGGTGTGTTGGAGAGGGAGAGTGGAGAGGGAGGTGTAAGGAGAGGGAGACAGGTGGAGAGGGAGGTGTCGTGGAGAGGGAGCTGTGGTGGGAGGGGAGGTGGTGGAGAGGAGCTGTGGTGGAGAGAGGAGGTGTGGTGAGAGGAGGTGTGATAAAAGTTGGGGGGAGGGGGGGTGTGAGAGGTGAGGAAAAAACAAAGGGTTGCGTTCATATTTCATTTTAATTACATGAATAAATATGTATTATTTTGTAGATCGTGTTATTCATTGAGCACACTGTATTCAAGATATTAACGGTATCTAGCACAGTAATAATATGAAAATAAAGGAACAATAATTTTGATGATGACTAATACAGCTTCGGTACTTGGAATAATCATGTCGTTGTATACGTAATTGGTACTTCACGGGTGGAGACTTACATATGGTATAAAGAGTTTAGAGCACGTTTAGTATAAAATAATGTTAGAGTGTATGAGTGAGTGGGAGAGAGTGGGAGTATGAGTGAGTATAGTAATACCCGCGCGTCATATTGAGTTGTAGTACCCCCCGTCCCCTCCCCCGCCCCCCACGCCTGCGCCCACTCACTCCTCCATTCACAACATTGGCGTTCCAACACTCCCCCACACCACCTCTGCAATTATTTTTATCCACCCGTTTGCATCAGACTATTTCCCTTACAATAAATTTATTTAGGTTGAACTATTTTTGGTGAATTTTTTTTGTCAATAGATAATATGCGTGGTGGGGGAGAGTGGTAGAGGTGGAGGGTGTTGGTGGCTGAAAATCACCGAGGGAACACACAGTGTTGAACGTTGGCGGGCATGGCGGAGGTGGTGGTCGGGGCCAGTGTGTCAACGGTCTCCAGGAATGTGTCTGTGAGGCCCAAGGATAAGCTACACGGCTCCCCGAGCACCGGCAGCGATGAGGGACACGATGTTGGCTTTGGCGATGATTTTGACCCCTTCCATGATGACCCCGACGAACCGGACGAAGTGGACAGCTCACTGTCCGCACCCCCCGAGGAGAGGTGAGCACCCCCCCCCAGGGGCTTGTTGTGGGATGTGTGTAGGTGCTTGTATGGGGGTAGGGTTGGTGCCAATACCCTGGAGGTCACCTTAACCTTATACATAAGGTAAACACCTCCCGGAGGTGTTGTGGGGCCGGGCCACAACCCTGGGACTCACCCCACCCTTCCCCACAAAGGAGGTAAACACCCCTGTAGTTGTTAAGGGAGGGGTGCGGGGTCTCAGGTCAGCACCCTGGGGTGTTGGCATCTTCCTGGATAACTGATAGTGCCCAGAGGTTCAGAAGAAGGGTGTTGCTTCATTTATGTATTTTTTTATGTAGTAAATGAGCTCTTAATATTTTTGCTACAATGGATAGATTAACAATGAAGACATGGAGGAAGACCAAGGGTAAAAACAAACATGAAAATTATATGTTAAAAGTTGACTGGAAGGTTGACTGTCTCATGTGATGGTGCCTGTAACACCACACCACCTTGACAGGTGATGACTCACACCTAACTAGTGATCCTGGGTTAGTCAGGTTGTTGGCTCACTACCACTGTGGACGCCCCCACCATAAGGAGGCAGGGGCTACTGAGGAACTGTGTTGACTGTATACTCCCTACAGAGGCCAAGGGACACTTGGGTGCCTGTGTGGACACCACCAGTTATTGTGTCTGGTGGTGTGGGGTGAGGAGGGTGTGAGTCAACAACAAAACATAATCAGTACAAGTCCTGCAGATACAGCCAGTACACCATGGAATGAACTAAGGCCCTTAAATAGTCCCATAATACTGAAGCTGGTATCACTGAATCTTGTCCATTATGGGAACACCGATGGAATTTTTTATTTTTGCAAGGGGACCGATTATTAACTATTGATTAATTAATAAAGGAAATGAGAGACACAGTGCTAAACACATTTATCGCTGCTTACCACTCCAGGAACCATTCTGTGACATAACCTGTACTGTATAGTCCAACACTTGCTCACAATAATCTCCACCTTTCTTACTTTCTCGTTTCAAGTATTAACTAGAGGAGTAACCCCTATTTTTGGCTGCCCTCCTCCCAGTAGTGCCATACTGTACATATTGGAATAAATGTTACTTGTATGGAATGATAGAATGTGTCTGTTCAATCCTTCTTACCACATTGATCATCACTCACTATAACACATTCCTCACCCCCACCACACATTCCTCACCCCCACCACACATTCCTCACCCCCACCACACATTCCTCACCCCCACCACACATTCCTCACCCCCACCACACACATTCCTCACCCCACCACATTCCCACCCCCACCACACACACATTCCTCACCCCACCACACCACCACATTCCTCACCCCACCACACACTCACCCCACCACATTCCTCACTCCCACCACACATTCCTCACTCCCACCACACATTCCTCACTCCCACCACACATTCCTCACCCCCACCACACATTCCTCAACCCCACCACACATTCCTCAACCCCACCACACATTCCTCAACCCCACCACACATTCCTCAACCCCACCACACATTCCTCACCCCCTTCTAATTTAGAAAGTGTAATTCGTAAATACTGAGTTTTATTACTATTGAATTTAATCAAGTTTCTACCTCCCCATTCGGAGATGCTGCACACATCCGCATTGATAGAAGTAATATCAGCTCTAGAAACAGATCTAGTTTGGGAGTTAGGAGGAAGGGGAAAATGTGAAGAAGAGTGAAGAATAGAATCATCAGCATAAGAATGGATAGAATTAGTTGTAGTGTGAAGTAAATCATTGATAAAAAGAAGGAAGAGAGTAGGTGAAAGAACAGAACCCTGTGGGACACCACTACTGGTAGAGAAAGAGCGAGAAATCGATCCCTCGACAACAACTGCCATGGATCGGTTCTCAAGGAAGCTGGAGATTAGAAAACAAAGTGGGGGAGAGAAACAAAAAGAGGGAAGTTTAGAAAGCAAAGACTTGTGCTATACCCTGTCAAATGCTTTGGAGATGTCGATGGCCACGATAAAAGTTTCCCCATAATCCCTAAGAGAGGATGACCAAAGATGGGTGCAGTAGAAGAGCAGATCACCAGTAGATCTCGCCTGGCGAAAGCCATACTGGTGATCCGACAAAAGAGAATGGCGTTCAAGGTGACGGAGAAAATGGGAGTTCAAGATAGTTTAAAAAAATCTTAGAGAGGGATGAAGTTAGGGCAATGGGGCGATAGTTAGAGGGATTAGAATGGTCACCCTTCTTCGGGATGGGCAGAGCCAAGGCATGCTTCCAAGAAGAAGGAAAAATTTGGGTTTTGAGGCAAAGGCGAAAGAGGCAAGCAAGCACAGGGGTCAGAATTTCACCACTCCCTCAGAACACAAGGGGCTATTCCGTGCGGTCCATGTGCCTTACTCACATCCAACTTGGATAATAAACTGGCAACCCTGTTAGTGGAGATTATAGGAGGAGCAGGAGGGGTAGAGTAGGAATCATCTACGGTGGAATTAGAGAAGAATAAGGTGCCAAAGAGATTGGCTTTGTCAGGGGGAGAGTTGGCTATAGAGTTATCAGGTTGGAAGAGAGGAGGAAAAGAAGAAGTGCAGAAGTTATTAAAGATGTTTATAGCTAAGGACCAGAAGGATTTACTAGAAGAATTAGTCAGGACAGCGGTCTTTCTTTTAATAAAATTCCGCTTGGCCCTACGAAGAATAGCCTTACAACGATTCCTAGAAGTAATGAAAGAGGTGTGGGTAATAGGAGAAGGAGATAGTTTCATAGCTCGATATGCCCTATCTCTCACCCTGCAAGCAAGAGAGCAGGAGCAATCAAACCATGATTGTAATGTGAAAGTTTTGGTAGAAGATGGGATAAATGCACTCATACAGTGATCCCTCGGTTAATGAGCGCCTCGGTTAACGAGATTTCGGTTAACAATTTACCTTCCATAAGATTCTTAACTTCGGTTAACGAGCAATCCCTCGATTAACGAGTTTTTTACGAGCCGACTTCAACATGTTTTCGCTTGCATTTGGTGGTCCACCAGCTGTAGTATTAGTCTGCCAATACAGTAATCGGTTTTAGGGCTTAAATTCCTTACTATTTTAGTAAATATCAAGAAGTTTATACTATTCAATAATTTTAAAAGTTTAATATTAACTTTTTTAGTAATTTTAACAATTATTGAACATAATTGAAGGTAAAGAAACTAGTTTCTGGCGTGCCATCCAGCCTGTTAACACACCAGACAGGCGTTAGTCTCTCTCTGTTTTCAGTGGAGGTAACATCTTGCTTGAAACTCTCTTCAACTAAACGCTTTTTTTCTGAATAGTGTGAGGGGTTAGAGGTAAAACAAAGATCAAGAATGTTAGTAAGTTGATCGTATCGATCAGGAACGCGTGTAGGGTGTTTGATTATTTGCTCCAGATCATTAAGTAAGGAAAAAGAGTGCCTCAGCTCCACCTGGGTCATCCCTTGCAGAGCGAAGCCACTCTCTGTGATGTACATTGAAATCCCCTAGGTAGAGGATCTCGGTGTTGGGGTGTGTGGATAGCAATGACTCATGGCAAGAAGTGAGATAGTTAAAGAGTTCGAAATAGTTGGTAGAGTTGGGAGAACAGTATAGGAGATATTTTGAGCCAGATGACATGATAAAGGAAAGATTCAAGATCCGTGAGTCGAGCTATAGGTGTACGTGTGTTGCATTAGGCTCATACACCTCCCTTAGAACGGTAAGAGGTATAAAGGTTGTAGTTGGAGATTTGAAAAGGTTTGGGTGAAGCTGCTTTGGTCAGTTGAAGTTCGGAAAGTAGTAAGAGGTCGGGGGAAGAGGTTAATAGATGGTGCTCCACAGAAGGAAAATTGGATCTCAGGCCGCGAATGTTGTAAAAATGAAGTGTGAAAAAAGCCGATTCTCCAGCAACCGCGTTGGCGACAGTTGAGGCCCCAGTAACTTGATTATGATCAGGTCGGCCCTGGGGTCCACAACCTTCCCGACCAGTGGGACCCATCCGAGAAGGCCCCGCTTCAATATTAATATCAACTGACATACGAGAATAAAATAAATGAATAAAACATATCAAGAGTGAGTATGGTTATATTTGTTGTGTTGTCAATAGTAAGAGAGACATTTGAGACTCTGCAATTGTGTAAACGAGGCAGAAAGTTAGATCAGCAACCTGGGACTTGGTCACAATTTTCACGATGCCAAAATGGCAGCAGGGTCTACCATTAGACAACACATTATGCTTCCAATATCTTCCTAGGTGGTAGTATCTCCCTGTTTGATGACTGCCTACTACCTAGGATCACACAACTCCCCGGTGCGCCTCTGTTAGAAGTAAGAAGGTAGTGGAAGGGTCCTTACCTCGACTGTGGGAAAACCAGCCAAAACGCGTGAACATCACTATGTCCAGTCGTATTCCCAACCTGCACCAGTAACCATAATAAAGCTTTATGAACCAACAGTATTATAAATTGATCATCCAATATAAGAATACAGAGTGATAAAGTAATACATAGAACAAGTCCTAAGACATATACAGAACAAGTTATGAAACGTTACATAGGAAACAGTACAATAATACCTACAATAATACATAGAAAACATAGAGAACAAGTAATGAAACTTATGCTACAATAATACATAGAACATATGAAGCTTACCCTACTGTAGTACATAATATATTAAATAATAACGCAAGATATGGCCCCTGTATTGTGAACATGAAACATTAATGGTACATTGACTTTGTTCTAAACCTGCATTACCAAATAAGGAGGAATCCAAACTCGTGCTGTACCATCAGTTAAAAAAAGAAGAACACTACGTAGTTGATATATGTGTAACTAATGTTATTTTAATGGCAATATGTTTGTTTCTTCTTTTGACCCAACAGGAGAGTCTCCAGTAGCAATTTATTCTTTCTGGACAACATGTCTACAGTTATTTGTATTAAAAAAAATGTGTCCTGTAGGTTTGGAACCCAACCTCCAGTTATAATAGTGAAAAAAACATATAATAATGGTAGATTCTAAATTTTACTTGTTTGTTGGGTCATTTCCTTTGTGAACTTTGGTTAAAGAAAGACTCAGTCATCATCATTATGTGTTTTATGGTCATTTTTCACACTCAATTAGGTTAGCTACGAATACTTAATGGCAGCTGTCCTTGCTGCATGGTCTCTTACAGTCTTTCTTGTCAGTTACTTAATTTTCATATCATTTCTTACAACTTCTCCTCATGTCAGTCTTGGGATGTCCCAGGCTCTCCTCCCCTTAACATATTGGCTCATGCATCTCTTGACCCAGTAAGTCTCATTCATTCTCTCCATATGACAAACCATCTCGGCCTACCTTTACGCAAAAATTCGCCAGTACTTGTACAGTAATATCTCCGTTAGCCGGAATCCCTCAAACCCGGAACTCTCTGATAGCCGGAATTCCTGGAAAATTCCGGGGATGGCGGGATTTTTTTCCGGGTTTGAGAGATGAAAATCAGAATCATTTTCTGGAAATTCCAAGAAAGATATTCTGTTACCAGGAAAATTCCGGGGACGAGGGATATTTTTCCGGGTTCGAGAGATGATGTAATGGGCAATTTCTGGAACTTCTGAGAACATTTTTCCGGTAACCGGAAAATTACGGGGATGAGGGTTTTTTTCCCGGCTTTGAAAGAGTCGTCTCGTTTCCCGGAAATCTCTCATTTCTGGAAGTGGTCTGCACCAATTGTTCCGGCTAACGGAGATATCATTGTACTCCCAATACAGTACCAGGCTGCCCTCTTAAATGAATAAGTTAAGGTAAATTGCCAAAATATGTATTCACCTGAGTCCTGCCTCCCTTGGGATGGGTATCAAGTTCCATTCAACTACTACCCAAAAGAATATCACCCAGAAAAACCCTGATGTATTTTCTTCAGTTAGTCAAAACAGAATGTTGTTAAATTTCTTGAAAGAAATGATGATAGTTGTGTTGATTATGTCAGGTACAGTGGGGTATGCGATAACGAACGGATCCTACTACGAATATTCCTATAACGAACGGTTTTACCTATAAAATTGAGAATGCTATAATGAACGAAACTCCTACAACGAACATTACGTATTTATTTATTTTTATTTTTTTTTAACTAATTTATTGTTTTTTTATTACAAATATTAATGATATTCTTTATTTCAGGGGTTTAGATGCATATTTATGCACTTTTTTTACAATTTTTACAATTTTATATTATATTTTTCAGTGTTAAGTGGTTGTATTTGGGGGGCCTGGAACGGATTAATCCTACTACGAACGAATGCTATAACGAACAAGGTTCTTGAACCAATTAGATTCGTTATAGCATACCCCACTGTATTCAGGTGCTCCTCTACTTAAGAACGTTCAACTTACAAACTTTCAGATACAAACATCATCACTGAGGGGGGTTACCTGCCAGAACAGGTGTTTAATGTGGATGAGACTGGATTATTTTGAAGAAAATTCCAGATAGAACAAACAGTACCTAAGAGGAGAAGAGTGAGCCAGGTTTTAAGGCTGTGATAAAGGGTATAGCTGTACTAAATATCCATAATCTTTTCAGTTTTTACAATGTTTGGTATCTACAAGAGTGAAGTTGGACTTACAAACAAGCCTCAAAAACGTAAGTCGTTTGGAAGTAGAGGAGCACCTGTATGTGGCTACTGTATAGGTTAAGAAGGTATGTAGTTAGGGCTTTAATAAGACACCATGAAAGTATTTTGTGTATAATAGATAATTCTCTTTATGTTCTAGTTGGTACCATGGACGTCTGGACAGGGCCCAGAGCGAGGAACGACTCCGTCTGTTCGGGAAGCTTGGGAGCTACCTGGTGCGGGAGTCCGACCGCCGCCCGGGGTCCTATGTCCTGTCCTATCTGGGTCGCTCAGGAGTCTCCCACTTCAAGTAAGATAATTTGCTGGATATGGTGCTTTTCTTAGAGTACACTGAGTGACTGATAGACTAACAGGCTTTTAGAACTTGCAGTCACAGAGAAACTCGATGCAAGATGCATGAACAACACTAATGTTGCCGTAGAATTCAAACCCATGTCATTTGGATGGCAATTGAGGGTGAAACCAGGTGAATCATTAATGTCCAAAGTCATATGAACTTTATTTACGACTGCTGAAGCAGGGAGTGAGGGCTTTACCAAATATCCTGCCATTACTTGAGAAACCTTAGCAGGTTTCAGTAAAGACGTTTACAAAAGGAACTCGGTGAAATAAATACTCAGAAGACCCATAATTTAATGTAATAAATGACTTCTAATAACATATGCTTGTAGAATTTTTATATTATTGGTAAACTGGGTACAGTATTGCTATTCTTTGTGATCTCATGAGCTACTGTAGTTGATATGCCAGCTGCTAACTGTGTCTGACTTGCTGAATACACGTCAGACAATATATTTGATTTTATGAATGGACTTATGACCATGACTTATTGTTTGACAGGTTACAGTTTACTTTCATTTCCCTTTTAGTCAATTTTTTTTATTATAATGTCCACACTGTATCAATTTTCAATTTTGTTTTAATAACATAGTTGTCAGAAGATAACATTCTCCTCAGCACCATATCTTACATTGTACAGTTATTCCCTTGTTTATTATGGGCACATGTAAAAGGTAATAAGTGCTCATCTTGCTTCTAATCTTAGACTGCATTAAGGTCTTTTTGTGAAGTTACATGTATTTTAAGAGGGTGTCCTATGGTATAGTTTGCTTGTTATCAGTTTAGTATTTCATTGATTTTCTTCTCACAGTGGGATTTTTACTTGTGGGTCTCAGTATCAGCGCACACACCAATACTCAACCTTTTTGTAGTGATGTACTTTACCCATTCCTCACCTACACTTCATTACACTGTAATTATAGTGTTGTATGTTAATATTGTATATAAAATTGTTTCATCAGGATCACTGCGGTGTGTGGAGACTTCTACATTGGGGGTCGGCAGTTTAATGCCCTGAGCGACCTGGTTGGCTACTACACGAGCATGTCAGATTTGCTCAAGCGTGAGCGCCTGGTTCACCCTGTACCGCCCCCGGAACCTGTCAACGATCTTCGGAAAGTTGTGGCCATTCTTCCCTACACAAAGATGGCTGATACAGATGAACTATCGTTAGTACTATCTCATTACACTGTATTGCTATCCTTTACACCTGTTTTTGCTATATGGCTAAGTGACTCATTTTCAGCACCTTAAAATTATTAGTCTGTACTGGTACAATATTTCTGTTGTGTTAGGCAAAAAGGTCAGCTTATTCTGGGGTCTAACATGACAAACATTAACACTTCTTGCCAGTCCAGCCAGACTGTTGGTTCACATTCATACCTTGTAGGATAAGGGAGTTAATTGTGTTAAGAACTGACTACAGTATAGATAAAATGAAAATTTATCGTATCTTGTGAACAAGTCTGTTGGTTTACTTCAATTTAATTACATGAGTTGACGTACAGTATAATACCTGATTAATGATGGTGGCAATAAATGCACCAAAACACAGACAAATTAGATAAGTACAGTACCTGATGGTGCCTCTGTGTGTGATCTCACATAATGTGACCTTGATTTCACATCCTGTACCTACAGAAAGAAATGCTGTATATAGGAACAATTTTGTTCTAGTAATGTGATTTTTACTTCACATAATATAGAAGTATGAACTGACTATTTTCTATTTTACTTGAGGGTTTTTAAACCTTACAGATCAGATAAATATTCTCAATTTCAGTCCATTCTTGTGTTAGTTTGTTCTTATACTGCAGTGTGACTTTGACTTCACGTGTAGCTGATGAAAACTTAAAAAAGTAAAGTAAGAATTCTGGTACAGGTATTTCAGAATTATCCCCAAATGGTCCTCTGCGATTCAGTAGATTTGTTTCAAGACTTCTGTGGCTTGTAATAAAAACTCTTCTTGCCATTCAAAAATGTTCCTCTTCATCTATTTATTCTTGGTATTTTACCACATTGTTTATCTGTGGAAGTAGATAAGTCTCTGTTGTAATATCTCGCTCCTCTATCTATGTTGTCAGGATTTAGTCGTACAGTATTTTTCTTTGGCTTGTTCTTGATATATTCTAGCTCATGTATCCTAAATATTTGTTTTAGGTTTCAGAAAGGGGACATCTTCTTTGTTCACAATGAGCTGAGTGATGGATGGTTATGGGTGACTGCACATCGTACTGGAGAACAAGGGACCATATTTTCAGACCTGGTGGAGACCTTGGATGATGATATTGACCCAAACATTGTCTTCTCATGGTTCCACCCGGATATTACCAAGAGTGATGCCATAGACCTTTTAATTAAAGGTAAGCTGTGAGCCCATCATAACTCACCATCTGTGGGAAGTGGTGAATAGTCAATGTCTTAAATCTTGGATAATATAAAGTGATAATGTTACAAACTTAATACTGTACAAGTGATATATGTAATAAGTAAACAAATTCTTTGTTGGCTCAACAGCTGGTCAAGGCAGCTTCCTGGTTCGTCCAAGTGACAACTCCCCAGGGGACTACACCCTTTTCTTTCTTACTAATAACATAATTCAGAGGTTCAGAATAGAGAAAAGAGGAGTCAAGTAAGTATATTGTTGAGTACACCAGTAACTGTGGTCTCTCATTGTTAACTCTTTAATGATAACATCCATAAGAATGAGGCTTATTATGTCCTATGTTTTATTCTTTATTTTTTCCTTTTCATCAAATTACAGTTGAATGTTTTGACAGTTGTTAGGCAAATACTGTGATCCAGTACTGTACACTCACTGTTTTTATGCCTCTATATTCAAAGGACTAATGTTAGGCACCACTGTGCATGTACTGTACTGTACTGTACTGTATATGCCACCAAAGTTTTTATTAGTTGGGTATAACAAAGAAGTATTTTGCGAATCACATTAAAATTGTATGGGCTTCTGTATTAGCTCCCTTGATAAGATTTTTTAAATGTTTTTTTGAAAGAACAACAAAGTGAAGGTATAATAATTCACAGATAGAAACATTGATTGATAGAATTAAAACAGTTGATCAAGTTGGCTGAAGTTGTTGTGGTTAACTTGGGTTCACTTTACAGGAGTTGATGAAATATGAAACTAGAGTAAATGATAATTATGATAATTCTTCTGGCATTTTTATATATATACCTTATAAGGATTATTTTTCTCATGTGTATGTCAGTTAAGTAAGATTACAAAATTTGAACAGACTTCATTCTGTTATTTATTTAAGAAGTATAAATGGTTTTAACGACAAAGAAAATACACGTGATGGATTTGTAGACATGTGTATGTCAGTTAAGTAAGATTACAAAATTAGAACAGACAGACTTCATTCTGTTATTTATTTAAGAGGTATAAATGGTTTTAATGACAAAGAAAATACACGTGATGGATTTGTAGACACTAATGTCGACTTACATTAATGATTACAAGCTTGAGATGTGAGTGGAGTACCCATAGTCACCTCCCATGGCAAATATAGTGGGTGGTATAAATAGGAGAACGGAATGTAACGGGCATGAATATGGAATGGAAGTGGAGGATATGTGGAATGGTGTACCGTATGAGGTCAGGTCTGCCAGAATGGTTTAGAGGGTACAACAAAGAAACTGAGAAAGTAAAAACACACAAACAAAATTAGTCTGATTTGTTATGAAAGAAAGAAGATATTAGTGAAAATAATTGAGGAGATTTTGATAAAGAACGAAGAATTCTCATGATGTATAATGTATACATAGAAATCAGTATAGAATACATGTTGAAGATGGATGTAATCATAATGTATAACAACACATTGGATGTTTTAGGTACCTGATGGGTGGGAGAACATTTTCCTGCCTAGATGCCGTCATCCACAGATACAAAACTGAACAGATTTTAGAGGGTCATACGTTAGGGAGCCCAGTGTGTAAGGTAAGAACCCTTGACAATATATTGTTTACCCTCCTCATCCCTTCTTCACACTCCCAAGTCTATAAGATTATTTCCCCCCCCCCCCAAGTCACTCAAAACTGAGGCAGTGTTCTCGTTCTTGCTATATTTTACTTCTGAAGTCTTTATTTTCAAATTTAGTCTCGGTATTTTTCAACAAAAACATACAAAATTAAACAGTTGGTAATTATTCTTATTCCCTTGGGGGCATCAGCTGTGATATAAGAAAAAATCCTTCCCCTATGATGTAGCTGATAGTGTTGTAAAACTCACTCTGGGTAAAAGGTGCTAAAGCAATAAGTAATCAAAGGGTCATAACCACTGCTGGTTCTTGTGTTAACTTGAGACGGGTTACAATCCAGACATGTAAATGGGGGAACATACGCTGGTGATAATCCCACTAGCTAGTCATTGCTGGTTCTAGAGTAGGATTTCAGGAACATTCCTTCCTTTATATAATTTCCCAAAAGAATGTGTAAATATGAAATTCCCTGAATTGGTTTTCCCAATGTTTACAGTAATGCTGTCCATCAAATTCAATAATTTTAAAATTTTCTTGTTTAAAATTGTCTTCAGAGCCTCTTGCTTAAATATCATTGAGATAATGATGCCCACATTAGACAAATAATAATCCTTACACCTCATAAGAGGAAGTGAGTGTAATATCACAGAGCACTAACATGACTCCTACATTTATCAAGAATATTTTCTCATCCAGATCATCCCTTTTCTCTTCACATTTTAATAATCTGTATCCAACATTACAGCAACTTAGCTCAGGAGAGCGGCTGGGTCTGCCTATCGTGCCAGTGAAGGAAGTTGAACAGCCTGAGAAGATTTATGCTACCCTTAATGAGATCAGAGAAAAACTGGGAGTCACTAAATTCAAAGGTAAATTCATTGTGTCTTACAAGGGTACCAGTCTGTTGCCTGTGATCTTAAGCAGCTATAGTTTGCTTATATCCATTGTGGAGGTGATGCACATTTAGATTGCTCTTTGGGCGGGGAGGGTGTGCTTGAGTGTCTTTATTATGATTATCTACTGAGTTAATATTTCAATGTACTATTATGGTTCTGGATGACACCATTCATACCTATTTGATATATTTTTTGTATTAACATTCATTTCTTGATATCTCAGCAACACCTAAGCTAGTCTACTTTATTACTGTAGGCTGATGTTGTTCATCTTGAATTTTAAATTAGAATGTAAATTTTATCACCAAAAAGTTAACATGTACAGATTACAGTGCAGAAAGTTGATGGAAGTTCAACTGTAGTGAATGCTCTGTATCTCACATTATGATACTCCGAGCTTATCTAGGCCATTTATACTGATGTAAGTTAGGGACGGGTTAACTTCTCAGCTGCTTGTTAGTGCTTGAAATATGTTTACATTTTTTAGTGAAGGGTTGCATGGAACTCTTGAGGTCAAACCTGTAAACTTGTCACTCAATAAGGTTTTGATTATTATGAAGGATATCAGGATCAGTTCCTTATATCTGGGAGAATTTAAGAACAGGTTTGTGAAGTACCAATATGAGAAGACTTTATTCATGAAACCAAAAATTAAGTCGCAAAATATTTTCAGGAATCCAGAAACAAGGATGGCTGTACAAGAAAAGCAAGAAAAATAAAAAATGGAAATGTTTGTATTTCGTCCTGACTGATATTTTGTATTACTATGACAACCCAAAGGTATGTTTAGTGAGATTTGTATAAATTGTTTTGTGTTTCAGGTTAACAAATTTAGGATATATTGTAAATCAGCGCATGGGGGTGGACTAAAGTAATTTTTAATTGTGTAATTCAGGTAACTTTACTGAACTATGTTAATATATTTGAAGCTGAACCTCCATTCCATGAGACACATTGGACTCAGTGCCATGGCAGGATCAGGAGCCAGTAATGTTTTGTGTCCACAGAGGTGGTCAAAGTTTTCTTTTAAATATCCTAGACTGGAATACCGGGTAGCCTTTCTTCTGTTAGACTGTCAACTTTTGTAACTGAAGCCGGTGATATAAAGGATGTTTTACCCAAGTCTATCTGTATCCAACCAGATGTATATATCGCTTCTGCCTTTAACCCCTTGTGTATGGGTACCCCTCTGAGCTGAATAGAATTGCTTGGCGTTAACTAAATAAAATATTAAAAATATTAAAGTGGCGCCCCTGTAGTGAAGGGTTAAAGGATTGTGAGTTCAGAAGAATGTCTTTCATATGTATTCCTAACATTATTTAATTCTTCACCTATGATTATTCATTTCTTCTTAAGTCATCTATTTGACAAAACATTCCTCACATGTATTACTGTTAGGTCTTCAAATCTTAGGAATTAGGACAGATGTATTTGAACATTTCAGGAAGTAGGTGAATTGAATGTCTTAATTTCAGGTTGTGTATTCTGTGATACAGTAGTTGGTTTTAATTGTTGTGATGTGTACATTTCAGCGTACGAAACCCAGAGGCCTCATTGACTTGAACTGTTCATACCTCTATCAAGTCCATGACAGTTTCTTTGAACGGCCAAATTGCTTCCAACTAGTGGAGAGGGAGCTGCCCTGCCTGGCCACAGTGACCTACCTATGCTCAGACTCTCAGGTGAGTTGGTGTTCCTATCCACTGAATTTCCCTTGTTTGTTCAACTGTGTAAATATGGCTTGAAACTGACTTGACTCTGAATGCATAACCTGACATTGGTCAAAGGATTTATACAGTATAGTATACAGTACATGTGAAGTCTAAGGATTCCAACTTGGGTATAAACCCTCTCATCATCAACATTTTAAAGCCTTTTCCACACTTTCATAGTTGTGGTTACATGATGGCAGCTCTATATGTTGCATATTGTATGTATATGTGTGAGGAAATATTACAATATATATACAGGGTGTCCCATAAGTTTCCATACAACGTATCACCAACGCCATTACAAGCATAACTCCAGCTGTGCTTGAACGTGTTCTTCAGCAGTGGAGGACACGCATTGAAGAGTGTTTTCAACAGAATGGTAGTCATGTAGAGCATATTATATAAATAAAAATGGATTTTCATATAAAATTTATTTTTCCTATGTATGGAAATGTATGGGACACCCTGTATATATATTTTTTAAGTATTTTTCTATAAACTATTGGTATTTCAGGAAATGACCAACGACTGGATGGCTGTGTTGCGACCGCTGTGTGTACCACAAATGGTTGGAGCACCCAAGCTGCAGACACTCAAATTCATGAAATCGCTTCATCTCACAATTATGCAGGCTACCAGATTACCCTCTAAGATAGTTCCCAGCCCATACTGCCTTGTCTCTCTTAACCAGGTAAATGTCAGACCAATCAGTCTTCTCTGTTTTTAATCTAGTGACAGGACATTGTCACTGGCTTCGCTTTTAAGTAGTATGGCAGTATTGTCTTGTATATTGAATTAATAGCATACATTATTTCTCTCTTCTAGCTAATTAGTTCATAAATGTTAACCAAAGTACTGTAACAAGGGAAAAATGGTATCCTTGAAAACTCTTGACTAAATGTGCAAAGGGAACCTGCTCAGAAATACTCTCATACACTCAAATTTATTGCTTTTAAATCCAATGTTGATTCCTTTGTTTGCACATTTACTCTGAACTTGTAATTCCTGTGTGGTTATTTTTTCACTTATTAATTTAAGATTTTTTTATTTATTTATTTATTTTTTAAAGTAGGTAATGTTTCTCTTTTTCTTCATTATGATAATTCTGCACTTCCATCACATGCTAACTAGTATGTTAAAGATGTAAAAGTCTTAACTAACCAACCAACCAACCAACCAACTAACTCATTGACTAATTAACTAACTAACAGTAGTTTTTTATGTATCAGGTAAAAGTTTGTCGAACCAGACCAAAACCGGGACCAGATCCAGTGTGGGACGAAGAGTTTATTTTGGACGACATTCCTCCTGACGTCATCATGTTTACAATTACTGTATATAACCACGGCAAGCGTAGCAAAGACTCTGAGGTGGGTGTCAGTTTGTTGTTAAGTCTCCACACCAATTTTTTTTTATTTACCGTATGATTCATAACATGTATGAATTTGTATTTATAACACGGATCAAGTACGGCAGAGCATTTAATTTGGCTAACTTTTTTTTAGTAATAGTAGTAGGAGGAGGAAGAGCGAGTGCAGTTATTTAGCTCATCTGCCATAAAGTGCACATACAGTCTCTTTCACAGAACAAACTTGTTAACCTGCTTATGTTATCTCAGTTTTCAGTCATGTCAGGTCTTTGTGTCAGGTTTTAGCATTTAGTTGTATAATATTTTACGTATATATGTGTGTCATTGATAGACTCGACCTATGATAATATGCATCTTACGGCCCCATTTACATAGTAGTTTGATGATGTGTGTGTGTGTTTGCAGGTTGCGGAGGTCATGGTGGAACTGAACACACTACAAAATGGTGAAGAAGTGGAGGAGTGGCATCCATTAACTGGCATCACTCCTGTAGGGGACTGGGGGGCTGTCAGACTTAGATACAGGTGAGGCTCTTCCATTTACAGTTCAAGTTTAACTTGAGTTTCTAATTGTATGCTGTTTCTTCATTTTTTCTTTTCTTCGTAAAAATTTATTTCTTCTAACATTTTTAACACCGACTTGGTTTTTTCTCTCATTTTGCAATTTTGAAGTATTACTCTGAGATAACCTCCAAATTTTTATGAACATGAAGATTTTATTATTGTTATGAATGTCTACAGCTTGGTTGATTTTATTCTGGATGTCTTTAGGGGCACAGATCATTAGTTTGTGCGTACTTACTTGTCTGCTTAATAGTCATCTAGTTTGTCATAATACGAGATATGAATATAAATTTTCTATAGTGCAGATGTGAAATTTTAAAACTATGCTTGTCTACAGGTACTTCCATGACCTGATAATGCCATGTGAAGAATACAACAGTTTGAAGGAACTGTTGCTGGACCCAAGCCTAGAAGCTGTGCAGGCCCTGGCTGATGTCTCACATAGGGACCGCAATCCTCTTGCTACCTCTCTACTTCGTATATTTAGGTAAAGTTTTGTGACTACCTTAAACCTTTTGTGGATGGAGATCGCAACATCCAGTTATTCCGTACAGTAACTGGTGTGGGATGTGTCCGAAGAGGGTTAGATATCTTCCTGTTAGTTAGTAATTGAGTGTTGACCCAAATTTTATAAACAAAATTTGTGTTTGGTGAAGATGTGATATTTTGTTTGTTCTAAATTTTCCATTCACTGTCATTTTTTCCTAACCCAACATGGCATAACAGGTGTGCCAGATCTCAGATGGAATTACAATATAGTGTACTGCAAAAAATAGCAAAGACAGTTCAGATAATACTTCCTCTCCTTAACACATGCTGAGTGATAAGTGAATCAGGACCTAAACATTGCCTGAACTCTTCACATATGAGTCAGTATGCTTGTTAGGGTGACCCATCAATGAGACCCTCAGCTCCATATATGATTCTTCACTAATGTGTGCAGTGGTTTACCTCTCCTCTAGCATTCTACACTGAAATATTCCTGCACTTCATTTGACGCAATTCACCTCTTATGCATTCCACCTCACCTTCTAACTTTCCACTTTCCTAACTTGTATGATCTCCACTTTTTATCACCACATGTACAGAACTCTTAACTGTCATTCATGCATCTTTCCACATGTGTTTCTCACATCTTCTCTCTATACTGTCAGTTCCCTAAACTTCAGCAATGTTACTTCAGTTTTTCACTTACACAACTCCATTACTTATTGATCTTTATTTTTAAAGCATCAAGTTTTTGTTGGCCTTTGAACCTGAAAGCTCAAGGCTATAATTTATAATACTGTAGCCGGGAAAGAGGAAGAAATTCAGCACTACAGTATGAATACATGAATCATGAGATACTTTTTCGTGGAATTACACATTGATGAAAGCTCGGAGAAGCTCGATATCTGACTTTTATGTTGACTATCAAAAACTTTAATAATTTAGTTTATCTTTGACATTATTTATGAAACTTGATAAGTCGGTGCTTCACTCTGACAACCACAGCGTCCCATCAGAACTACTGTATAGGTCAATTGACTCCTGATGTTTTTCCATCTAGCTATCTATGACTCCAAGTAATTTCTCAAAAGTACACGTGGAAGAAAATTTCTAGTGTTACACTATGTTGTGACTGGAATTCACCACTAATGATATCTCAAGATTTTTTTACCGTTTTTTTGGCTTCAAATATTATTAAATATAGAACCCAAATAACTGGATTTCTCTCATACATGTTCCTTTGTTTTGCATTCTGTCCTCTTCTAACCTTAAATTATTTTCTCCCCTTGCAAAGATTTTTCTTCTTGCTTCCCACTGTGTACTGACAATATTTTCTTCATCCACAACACCCTATGTTATGAACAACCTGTCTTCTGCATTTTATATACTTAATATTCTTCACAAATATCTCCAATGTTTGGTCACTCAGAATTGCTTCCTCGTTTCTGTAAAATATGAAGTTACCTCCTGTGTTATCTTTCATAAATCTTCATTTATTTCTCTCTTTCTCTCTCATATTCACCTCATATTTAACCTTTTTCCTCTGTCATTAACTCATAATACCTTGGAAGATTATGGTCTAAAATTTGTTTTGCATTTATTGAAGTGTGGAGTTGAATTTGTGACCATCTGGATTATAAAAAGTGTGCTTTACCCAGTCACCCCCTGTAACTCATTCCGGTGATGCACTGTGCTACAGGAATGAGTGTCGGGAGCATGACCTACTCCAGCGACTAACTGAGCACGAGATTGAGCGAGAGCATGAGACTAGTACTTTGTTCCGTGCTGCCTCCCTTACCACCACGCTGCTTGATCTGTACATGAAGTCTACCTGCACAGAGTTCCTCACTGAAGCCATATCTGATACCATCCACCGCATCCTTGAGTCCAAACAGTCATGTGAGGTAAGGCTATGTTGAGAGATATTATTGTCAGGTAAATAAGTGGCTGTGGCAGTGACTGATGCCAGACTGGTGGACATCCTGAGGTAACAAGTGAAGGCAGTGAGTTTTGTTTGAAAGAAAAAAGACAAAGTCAGCTGTGTTGATTTCATTTGAAGGTTTTCAGGATTTTGCTTTACTTATTTATTTTTTTGTTGCAGCTCAATCCAACAAAAATGGACAACCCAATGGATGCGTGTGCAAATGCAGAATTTCTCCTGAAAGTTCTTGATGACATCACACAAAGCATCTTTGCCTCAGCTGCTGCCTGCCCCATGTAAGTATTCACAGTAAGCTGCAGGTGGGTCTTGAGACTCCTCTTTGTGACACTAAAAGATCTCTACTTCTCTTTATGACAAAAGTTAACCACTGTCTTTGTCCTTATAGTGTTAACTCAGGCCACGGTCTTAGTCATATAACCATTACCATGGCATAAAGGTGTATTATACAGGTGTTGCACAGTTGTTTTTCTCATTGAGGTTATGTGACAAATATGTGTGTCATTATCTGAATGTAAGCACTATAAGTATAGTCTGTTTTACATAAATTTTAATTGGAATGATTTACTTACTAGTTTAAGGGATGAGGTTACCTGCTCAGGGTCTGGTATGTCTGCCCTCTTGTGTCTTTGTCTGCATGATGTTTATATGAGTCTTATAATGTCTAGTCACCTTTCTGAAAACTAGGTCACTACCCTGTGGGGTGCAATATGTTATTTTTCCAACACATAACATCTTAAATACCTTTCTAAGCTGGTGTACGTTCTCATAGGTGATTTACCACATTACCTGGATGCCATAAAACAAAAGATTGAATTATGTCATCCCTTTATATTGCTTAAGGATTCAGACATGTGACCTGGAATTCCTCCTTTAGTTGGTTTCCATATTAGAGGGATAATTTAATGATTGAGAGAAAGAGACCCAAGTGTATGAAGGTGTCTGAGGCAAGTGTGCCTTTCAGCTTGTTGGCTCTCAAAGCATCCACCAAGCTAGGGTTAGAACATGCTTCTTAACCCCGACGTAACTGGGTTGTTTGGCTGTTTATATGGCTTTTGTGTTGTTCGGATAGCATGATGTCCCTGTCTCAGGAACAACACAGATAGCCCCCTGAACAAGGCAGATTATGTCCTGTGATTTGTAGGTCACTTGTTTCTTTGTCTTGGTCATAAAAGGTGATGGCATACTTCAATTCTTTGCTTTATTTTTAAGCTATTAAGAATTTGTGTATACATTATTTTATATAGAGGCATACTATACAGGGCAATTCAGACAAATTTGTATATGCTGCCTTACAGATTTTAACAGCAATTGAGTGATTATTTTATTACCTCAACAACATTGTCCTTTCCTATGGGATACCTCGTACATCAGCTAGTGTGGACAATGTTGTTGGAGTAATACAAGTACAGTAGTCACCCAATTTTCACGATAATCTGTTAAGCAGTAAGTAAACATTTCTCGGAGTCACCCTGTACACGTAAGAGGCGTACAATACTTCTAAGAGGCCCTTGATGACAAAAGTAAATCCATTGTCTCTGTGCTCTCTTTTCATATTTACATCATCATAATTTTCATTGCTTAAAATTGCCGAGTTAATGTAAAATAAGATAATTAATGAGTAATAATGTAGTTTTCATAAAATTCAATCTCCACTGAAATTAAAAAGCCATTGAAGATCAACGTGTGGGTGTGTTGCAGGCCTTTAAGATACATCTGTGGGTGTCTACAACGTAAAGTAATTGAGAAGTGGCCACAGGACCGTCTAGTGAAAACGAGAGTTGTATCGGGCTTTATTTTCCTACGCTTGATATGTCCGGCCATCTTAAATCCCAGACAGTTTAATCTTTTACAAGGTGAGTGGAGCTGAGTTTGTAACCTGCTGATTATCATTTTCAATGTTACCTTACAATAAAATCACAAATAATCACAAGCTGCAATTTCCCAAGTATGTAAAAATTGAGAAGTTAAATATTTATAAATTCTTTAAGTTTTGAACATACTAAATATTTGCCAATACTGTACATTATTGTATTCAATAGTTTAGTAATAGTTTATACAAACAGCATAACCCAGTATATCTGTGGTCCCAACAGAACCACCTCACCCTATGGCATCACGCTCACTGATCATGATAGCCAAGTGCCTACAGAACCTGGCCAATTTGGTGGAGTTTGGTGGCAAGGAACCCTACATGGAGGTGGTCAACCCTTTCATACTCAAGAACAAGGAACGCATGATTACCTATCTTGACACGTTATCTGTAAGTATCCCTGTACCTCTTTCAGGACATCCTATGACAGAGCAGTTGGTGAATTACATTGTGGTCCTTGTGTTCAATTCATAAAAAATAATTGACTTACAACCAACAATTCCTGAGATGTTGATTGAGGTAAAATGCAATACTGTACTAGTTTCCTCGTTGTGAACTCTGAAAATTCTTTATCACAGATCTTGAGAATCTGTCGTGTAGAGGACCTTTGTTATTATGAGTGTGACTTTGCTATCATGGGTTATTGTGTCTGGAAGCTGGTAGTGTAGTGTCACCATGGATTCAGTATGTATTTGTAGGGAGTTAAAAGGCAAGAGTAAAAGTGCAATAGTGAGGAGAGGAAGGCGGAGGGGGACGAGTGTGGATGTAAATGGATGGTGAGTCAGCAGCTATTTGTAGGTGAATGTTTAAATGGAGAAAGTAAAATAATGAGTGTGAAGAAAAGTAAATTGATTAAACTATGTTGAGAAAACATTTGAGATGAAGTGTATGTTAACTTAAATGGAGGATTGAAGGAGCTGAAGTGTATCTGGTTGATGGGAGTTGTGTTAGGAAATGCAACAGTAAGTGATGAATTGAACCACATAGTAGAAGATAAAGACAGCAAGTAATAAGTGGATTGAGAAACGGCCAGAAGTGCATTAAAAGAGGTGTATGGAGGTGTCTAAGTTAAATGAAGCAACTTTTATTAATTCTTATATATTTTTATTGAGGAATATTCACACAGCTCATAGTATGCTTGAGTTTCATTTGGTGTATGGGTACATCTGGGTAGACATTCAACATCAGCGCCATTCATTGGACCAGGGTAGGTGACTTAAGTTCGGCCATCCATAACACATTTAACCTTTTCTTGTGGGGTCATCATAATTTAATCTGAAACATAATAAAGTTTAAGCACAGAAATATAGATATATGGTGTGGTAACTGTGCAAGTTGCAATATCCTCACATTTATGTATACTGTACAAATTTGTGTGGCTTGTTTCATGTCAGTGTGCTCACCCAGTTTAAGGGTAATCAATATGGGTACTTTATATGTGTATGAAGCATGGACTCTGGCAGTAAGAGGAAGGAGTGTATTATTGACAGAAATAACTTTGTTTTAGAGCAATATGTCAGGAAAGTTGGTTGTAGAGAATAAGGAATATACAACTTATGTGGAATTGAGAGTAGTGTCAGGCAGATAGTGGATTAGGGTTTGTGTCAGTGCTATGGACACGCTAACAGAGTAGAAAGTAAATGATTGGGAAAAAGTAATACAGTATAGCTAATTCAGGGGAGGAAAGTAGGAAGGAAGGGACATTAATGAAGATGCAAGAAAGGGGTGAAAGATAGACCTGAATGACCAGGAAGAATATGCTGCCTTTGGGTGGTAATAGGTTGTGACCATGCTGGGGGTAAACTAGATACGTAATTATTTGGAACAGGACACATCTATTGTAGTAATAAGATGTATGATTAAAGGCAGAGCTTGTGTGCAGGTTTTGATGTTGATTATGGCCAACTTTCATTATAATGGGAAGAGGCTTTAAAAAATGACATTACAAAAAAATAAAAGCAGAGAATTCCTCCTCCTTGAATCTTCTGGACTTTGGTTTAGTGATTATTGGATTTTATTCCTTAGTTAATGCTCAACTAACGCAATTAAAATATCTGGCAGGTTTTCCTGGGCTTTTCCTTGACAGTGGGTTACACAGTTTGCCAATTAGGGGTTTGGTGGTTGTTTCAGTGGAAGTTTCTCAACCTAATATGAATTAGTGATTGTAGGGTGAGCCAGTCATGATTGTAAGTGGTACACGTTTATTGTTTTTAAGAAATAATTAGGGAAATATGTATGGTGGTTCTTAAAAGTGGGTTTCAAATTTATCCTCCATTTCAGAGTGTTGGGGAGCGGCCAGAGATTGAGGAACTGCCTGTGAAGAGTGAGCCCTCACGAGACCTGGCTCAGTTGCACCACATATGTGTAACGCATATAGATGTCTTGACTACCAAGGCCAAGACACAGGTTTGTATACACCACTGGTATTTTACATTTATTGTGATATAATTTTGAAAAGATCAAACACGAGATTTTTGTAGCATAAATTTTGAATCTTGACCCAAGGTTCTGGAGATCATTAATTTTGTTACCAGGCAAATCATGTTTGTACCTTCTTCTCTTTAATTCAAGGTGTTTCAGGATTGAGGAACATTGAATATTGAGTAATTTAGTTAATAGCATAAGGCCAAGGATTGGCTGCACAATGTAAAGCTGATAAAACACCTAGTACAGTGGTCCCTCGGTTAACAAATACAATTCCTTCCACAGAGTCGTTCGTTAACCGAAAATTTTGTTAACCGAATCTGTAATTCAATGGGATATTGGGTAATTGGTTCCAACTCACAGAAAAAGTACATACAAAGTACTGTATACTATATACTGTATACAGTATACTGTACAATAATAAATAAAAAACAATAGAATACAGTATTTTAACTTACTTTGAGGTGTGTATGTCATATTCCCGGCAGCTTTGTTTACATATCAAACAGCTGATTGTAGAGGCAGTCGATGATGACATACCATATTCTTTACAGAGTGCATTGGTTCTAATGCCTTCTTCGTGTTTCATAATAATTTCTGCACTGTATATGATCAATATGTTAACTAAATTTCAGAATGACCAATAATTTTAATGTAAAAATGCAAAAATATTCGAGACCAACAAACTTGATGTTCACTCCACTGTCAATAAAGTTGAACTGAGACGCGTTGTTGGGTGATTCAATCAGCTGATGGGTGCACAAAAACTGTTCCCTGTACTGTATATTCCGGGTATTATCAATACATTAACTAAATTTCAGAATGACCAATAATTTTAATATAAAAATTGCAAAAATATTCAAGAGATCAACTTTCTTGATATTTACTTCACTGGAAACGAATGTAAACAGAACCAATTTCTGCAGTGGCGGACTAGCTGATGCGCACAACAAGGCGTGTTTGTTGTAAGGATACCGTTAATCGAAGTTTTGTTCGTTAATCAAACTGAAAATCTTCATGGGAGCTAATTTGTTAATGGAACCGTTCGTTACTGTGGGACCACTGTATAGTGTGTTTGCCTAAAATGTCCAGGTTTGGCTGCAGTGAGTTAATCAAAAAATTCCTAAAGAGTTACTGCATGTCCATACAGTATATAGGCAGGCAAGTTTTGATATCCCGTAATGTGAATTTATGGGGTGTTGGTAGAATATATAGTAATCTCCCCGTTAGCCAGAATCACCGATCCGTGGAACTCTCTAATAGCCGAAATGGAAGTCGGGCTGGAAAAGTTCTCTCAATTCTGGGTCTGTGAACACATTTCTGAGGATGAAAATCAGGTGCATTTTCTGTGAAAAATTCCAAGAGGGTTCCGAGAAAAAATCTCCATTCTGGGCCTGGGAATAAATTTTCCAGGAATTCTGAGACTGCATCATGCAGGGGCAGATCCAGGAATATCAAAAGGGAGGTCCAAGAAGTTTTGGGTGGGGGATCATGGCGAGCAAAGCGAGCCCACCCAGCTGGGGGGTTGGTAGTGGTGCTGTAACACCCCCACCCTCCCCCCACCCCGTTGCCCATTTCTTTTTTAATTTTATTTTTTATTTTTTTTTTAAATATGACCAATATCATGGGCATTTTGAGGCCATTTTGAAGTCATGTGCACTGATATTAGGAGATATTCTGAGGTCAATAGTAACTACTTTTTACTATACAAATATGCCTGAGTGCAATTCTGCAACGAAGAAAAAGTATTGGAATTTTCTGATGAAAAGGGGGACTGGACCTCCCAAGACACCCCCACTCCTGGATCCACCCTTGTCATTCTCCAGGCGCGTGGGTGGCCTAGCTGCTTGGAATGCTTAGTTCATATTTTGCTGCCATTGTAAATGGTTGTTCCTTCACTAGTTGCTGTTTTTTGCTTAAAATTTGTGTTGTGTGGTAGTGTACTGTAGTACATTACTGTACCAGGATACAATCAGCCAACAATACAGTGTTAAAGCAGTATTAAGATGTAAAAAGTGATTACAGTTACATAAACTATACTGTACATTCAATAAGTGGAAAACACTAGAGCATCTTAGCTTACATCTTTATTCAAGACATCTTCAGGTCATGAGACCCACTATTCCTCCATTGAAAGTGTTAAGATTTATTAAGTGATTACAGTTATGTAACACATTCAGCAGAGTGGACAGTGTCTGCCTACTATAGGCTCAAGACAACAGCATCTGCTGGTGAGTACAATACAGTAGTAGTATACATTATTTTGTTTATTACAATATATTGTTCATGTTTGCATAAATAAATACAGCTCTGTGCAACATGCATCGTTTAGACTTGAAAAAATTTCAGTCTTGGCTGTTTCACACAGCTCCATTCATGCCCGTATCATGTACAGTAGATTTGTTGTTTAAAATATATTTATTTAACCAATCTTTTAGAAAACCTATTCAAGATTATTATGATAAAAAAAAAGAAGAAGTGTTTCTAACTTAATTAGAACTCATTTTATCGACTCCAGTATCAACATTTCTTACATTATATATATATATATATATATATATATATACATACATATACAGTACAGTGTTCCCTATCAATATATTGTCAAAATAATTTGTTTGTGGACCTATTATGTGAACAATATTGTAGAGAATTTATTCTGGATCATAATGGCACCAAATTCATCTCTCAACATAATTAGAACAGATGTTGTGAATAAAAGTTTATACACTTTTTCGTTAACCATAAACATTTTTGCTCATGCCCAAGATCTGAATGCAATGGGAGAGTGTCTGGGAGATGAGGTGATGAGCTGCGTAGTTTAGACTCTCGGAAAACTTTGCCGAGCACCCAGAAACATCCCGATGTGTAATAGTGTCTGTCCGTGCGAGATGCGTAGTTTAGACTTGGAAACTTTTCGCATTACATGGAAAAATTCCTGGGATGTGGGATTTTTTCCGAGTTTGAGGGAGTCGTCTTGTTACCCGGAAAGCTCTTGTCCCCGGAATAGCTCTGCACCAATTGTTTCGGCTAATGTGGATATCACTGTATATGGGTGTGGTATGCTGTTCATTCTTTATTGGTTGCAAGGCTTCTGTTGGCAAGATTTAACTAATAATTATTAGTTGAATATTGCCAATTCAAATGTTTTTATGAACTCTTGTTTTTTTTTCAGTTAACATTGAAAAAATTAGTCACTGTGACAGATATGCTAAAGAAACACAAAGAAAAGTACCAAGAGATGATGAGGTGATGTCGGCCCCTTCCTGGCCCTGTGGACTGTTAGTGCACCCAAAATGCCTGGGTTTGCCCTGGTGGTATCAGCCTACTTTTGGCCTTGTGGTGTCGGTCCAGCCATGTGCTTGGGCTACTAGAAGTATAGTGACCCAGACAAATGTCAGTGCACCCAAGTGCCCAATGTTCCCAACACAAAGGCTGGTCCTGGGTGTACAGCACAGTGTCGGCAAAACAAGATACCCAGGATAGATATGGACTCTTCAGTGAAAGCGCCAGGATCCTGTGGTATAGGAGCTAGACCTTCTGAAATTTGTATCTGTGACCTATCAATAAGTAAATGGTGTGAGTGTTGAGAGACATGATGAACTCCTTCACTGGCTGATGACAACTATGCACAAAGTGTTGGTGATAACTGGTAATAATCCCACTTTAAAGTGTGGTGTGTAGCAGCAGTGGGTGGTATACACAGACCTGCACCTGGTGGAGTGGAGACTTGCCAATTTAGTGCAGCTCATACTCGGTAGACAGAACTTCACCCATGACTTACACCACAATGATCTCACAAGTGGCCACCAGTTGGCAGCGCTTCTGGACTTTCCTCTGTTGCACCCAGAGGAACACTGTGCAAGCCAAATTGTTTTTAAGATTTAACTTGCATGTGGTATAAACATCATTTGATTCTTACACTATTGATTGTATGGTGAGGATATATATTTGAATTTGTTCTATTGATCAATATGTTTGTGCAAATATGATCAGATACTTAACTCTATTTGGAAAGAATATCTTTAAAAATATAAATTGAGGTAGCTAGAGAGTGTAAGGCTGAACTTCATGTGTGATATGATGGCATTATGGAAGCTCAAGATGGCAACAACTGTGGCTAAAGTACCATTGATGGCTGCCAAAGGTGCTTTGCCAGTTACATGTGGTGGCTGGATGCCAATATTAGGTGTTAAGCATTATAAAGCATCTAGTTTGAGAGTTTAGCCCTTGGGAATTGAATAATATGGCTGTAAATGAAATAAATTTTCAGGTCTAGCTTGCAATTGTGCTGTGATGGTGCTAACGGGCTAGTTGGGCTCTTCCATTCTGTCATTCCCCCATTAGATGCCATAAGAGAGAGGTGCCATGTATTTCTGTATTGCATGCAACTGCATTGGTGCAACAAGCGTGAGTGTGGCAGTGTGACTACTCTGGTTGTAGAGTGTCCTCATGCTAGTGAATATATATTTGTTTAAGAATGCTCTGTCTAGTCTGTGCCAGGAGTCATCAAGGATGTGTCTTGGTAACACATCCCAGCTTCTTCACTCTTCACAGCTTGCTCTTCTCACAATGGACAGATTTAAATAGAGAACCTGGATTATTGAGGCATTTGTTTTCATCATGTCAGTAAGGTGACTGGGATGTGCAAGAGTCCTTGGGTGGTTGATGGCATTAAAAGAGCAGTTTATGTAATAGACTGTGAAAAGAGGATGAAGGACCAAGTCCACAATATATGGAGTTCTTGAACTTTACATTTGCAAGATTTTGGATTACCTTTTTCTCATTTGAACAAATAACATGAAATCTGATGATTTTTTCAGTATTATGTTATTGTTCTTCAGTTTATTTATGTTAAACAGAACATGCTTTTGTCTTTCTCAGTAAATACCTTTGAGCAGAGGTAAGCAGTGGTTGGCTGAATCAGTGTCACCTACTCAGACTACTACTGCAATTGGTGTAAGATTTAATGCCTGTTAATTTTGTGTGATTTTTGCTGCAAAGCAAAACCTACTACATTGATTTTTAAACTTCATAATAATTCAAAATCTACTATCATACCTCTTTTAATGGAGCCTCTGCCAACGGAATTTTGTTTAATGGACAGGAAAAATTAATCATTTAATAAGTACTGTAGAGGTATACAGTACAGTACTGTAATAGTAATTATAGTTCTATTCAAGAAAAATCAAACATTAGTAAAAAGAACCCACGATACAGTCTGCTGTCGTCTTTGTTGCTTACATTCTCTAAGCCGATTGGCAATCATCTCAAAACGTAAACAGTAGCCCGCCAAGAGTCTTGTCCGTTGCATCGCGGTAGGTCTCTTCACATTTTCACTATCTCCATGTGTTTTGTGAACATTTTATGCCCATTATGTCCGGGAAACCACCTGCAAGTGCATGTGTTGGTAAACCAGCCAAGGTGCTCGGGAAAGTCATTACTATGGACGTGAAAATGGAAGTGATATAAAGAGTTCAGGCAAGCAAGCATCAGGTTGGAGGAATGGGAGCAAGGCAGAGGTGGTAAACCACACATCAAGCTTCGTTGAAATTAACTGGTGAGTGTTAATTATTAAATTTAGTTTCATTTCTTTGGAATGTAAACGTTAAGTAGTGTCACTCGTGATGGCCATTTTTGTTTTATTATCGTTGTGCTAGAGTGGTTTGCTTGTCGCTTAATCTTTACTTTTCATACGGCAACGGTGGTGAAAAATCACTTGTATTTCTAAATAACGGCAACTTTTTTCTAGTGTTTATGACCTATTTTGGAACATGTAATCATTATTTAGTCATTCTTGATGAAAGTGTTCGTATATAAAAGGAGTTATTTATCATTTCGACTAATTTTGCTATTCGCAAGAACACATCTCCACGGATATTTCACTTAGCGGACCAGCCTCAAGAAGTATCTCGTCTGTTGTAAGAGGTATGATAGTACGGTATTTAGATTAACTCGTATTTTGGACAAGGAAATCAAGCGACCAGCCATGGACAAATTTTTTCATTATATTATATTATGTTTAAAATTTTATTAATACTTGTTACTTTATAATTTTTGCAAATAAATAATAGACTAAGTTTATGATTTGTGGCATGGATTGTGTAGGTTATAACAGTTTTGAAGATATATCAGTATAGTCAGGTTTATTGGAAATGTTGGTCAATGCCCCAAATTATATATTGTCTAAATAGTTTAAAGGTTACTCCTCAAAGCCTTGATAATGGAGAATACCTCTGACAGTGTTCAAAAGTGTCATGTTTGGGACCTCAAGTTTGTTGGGAGGGAAGAATACCTATGTGATGTGATTGAGAATCTATTGGGGCATATGAACAAGGTACAGGATGTATTGTTGATTACCTTGTGTTACCTGTTGGTATAGCAGCTTTGTCTCTGCTCTTATTTTGGATGCACCATTGATAATGGATTTTGTATTGAATTATCAGAATTGTGATGGCAGTGTTTCATTTCACCTGCCCTAAAGAATAATACAAAAGGATGGGGGTGTTTAATGCATCAGTGAATGGATCTGTGAAGCTGGCACATGCACACATTCATAACTTCTGGTAACAGTAGTTAAAGGAACTTTATTGATTCATCAAGATACAACCAGTTAATACCTGATGTGCACATTTCCTATGGTGAAAAATATGTGAGAGAGATGCAGGTTTTGCAGCCACATTTCTTGCATTATTTGCATATGAGTAAAAAAACAAAATCTTGACCAGTCATGAGGTTACTTGTTAAAAATTAAAAATTTCAAAATTGGTCTTTATTCTCTCATCTGTATCACAGAGCTTGTAAACTATAGCAAATGAGTGTAAATATGTTTGGGCAAGTTTTGCAAGGAAATACCTAATATGTGTGTGTGAGGCACCTGAAGACATTGATATGTAGCCAGATAGATTATATAGTAGCTACTGGGAAGGAGAGTTGCATGTAGTACGTATGCTGAGTGCACAACTTGAGATGCAGTTGGGAGGCTTGGAATGTTTGACAGTAATGAAGACAGTGTGCTCTGCTGGAGGGAGGAGGGGGTTACGCAATAATTCCTAATTCCACAAGTATACATATACCTTGTTAACATGTCAGGTAAAATATTCCTACTCCAAGTTTGATATAGCTACTAAATATATCTGTTTGCATCTTTTAAGTGATTAGTTAAGGCCATCATATGGATGAAATAAATTTCAGAACTAAAATATTTGATGATAGTCTAAAAAAAAAAATAAAACTTAAAAGATCTAGTCCAAACTGGTACCTCTTACCAGTTAATATTTATTGTGCGAACTAATGGTGTATAATGGCGGTGAGGCTAGTATTGTGAAGGTGAAAGCTGGCAAGACAGCTGCCACCTAACACAAGAATAAAACATCTACTCAGGCTACTTGATATTCCAGATTTACTCCTATAGTTTGTACAAATTATTATTGTTATGAATCCGTGATTGGTTAACTTGCGAGAGCCATGTTGATGCCCACCAATATTGTGCCATCTTGACAAGAAGTGTTATTGCTGGAACACTCACCAAGGTCCTAATGATACCATATTTAGTTTGTGGCAAAACAACTCTTGGTTTGTATTTCCTGTTCCTAAGTAGCCAATGTGGTGTAAGATTCAATAGGTCAAATATTTTTGTGATTCTTAGAATGTAAAAATAATTCCTGGTCTTTTGTTATTGTTTATACAGTGATGCTTTAACAATATGATATTAGTGTTTTGAACTTTTATTTTATTACCAAACCTCCACATACATATTATTCTGACAACTATTCATATCTACAACTTTTCGGTTTATCATATGCTTATACAATTGGGCATGTAACATAAGCAGTCAATGAGGATTGCTCAGGTTTCATGAAGTAATTAAACCCACTACAGTAGAAAGTTTTCTGACAGTGTTCCATCTTAAAGGGTAACAATATCTTTGCAACCACTGTGCAAGTACCTGTATGCTGTACATTAATACCTTCACAATTCATAATCAGCTATTTTTGGAAATTCCAAATTAGAAAAACTAAATACAGTGAAATAGACGATCATTTTACTGTGGTTGAGGGGAGTATTTTTTATATGGTTGGCGCCCCCCACCCCGGGAGAAAAATTTAGATAACGAGCTTCTAACACAATTATATGCCAGGGTTGTGTATCACCACTACTATCATTTTATTCCTACTTGTTTAGTGGCTTAATATTATATCTTACAGGCATATAACTTAATAAATGTGTCTGTCAGGAGTATGGAGTGGTGGTGGTGGTGGTGGTGGTAACGTCATGGCTGGCTAGCTTCATGTGAGCTGGGTTGCGTGTGCCCGGTTCCTAGTGGTGACATGTCGCTATCTTGCTTACAAATACTGTACTGTAGTCATGAAACTTAAATACAGCTCATAACTCTTGGTGTATATAATAAATACAAGCATGCAGTACTATATATTGTTTTCATGCTTGTATGTTTTAAAATACCATTTATTTTTTATTTTTTTTCATTTATTGGGCACTCCCCTACATCCTTGTGCAAGGTGAAGCGCAGAATCGTTTACAGCGCCCAACAGGGAAGCATGCTAAGTTCATGCTTGCCTTTATGTCTCATGAGTTAAGGGCGTAAAAGCCTGAAGAGTCAATGGTTTATGTCTAAGCAAGTTATTGGAAGTTCCAACAACTTGTCCCTGAATACGAATTCGCAACTTTCGACTTACAGCAGGTACCTACTTTGCTGCTAGGGACGAAGGGGACTAGGAAGAATGTCCAAAATACCATATTCAGTAGCTGCATCAGGTATCATAAATATTTATGTACAGTTGTGCGCCAGTTAACGTCCGTCCGAACAACATCCGATTGCATATACGTCCGTGGCCCATGAAAATATGGGAAAAAAACATTCAAACAACAGGACGTAGCGGACGTAAGTGGCCTTAGAGCGGGCGCGGTCACGCATGCATCGCGTGTTCTTATAGATTGTGCTGCCAGGCGTATAATGATACAGTACAGTAACTATATATCCATAATATGTTTTGATAGATATAAGAAATGTCTATGTTACTGGTTTATGTTTTTTGGCTATTGTAGTGTACAGTACAGTACTTTTAATTTGATTTCCTTACTTATGAAATAAAAAGTTTACAAACTGTATAACAGTGTATGCTTGGTACAGTACAAGTACACTGCAATATTCCACATACACGTAAGTATACTGTAAATACAAAGTTCACAATGCAATGTTCGGACAACGTCCAATTCGGTTAACGTCACGTATCTAAGACGTTAAGCGGCACATGACTGTATAAGCAAAGTAAATTTCTCCAATCACAGTCTGTGTGGCTGGCCGTCCGCTGCAAAGTTGCCACTTTTTTTATTTTACGTATATCTACCAAATAACTCGATAAAATGGTGCGTTTAAAAATTACAAACTCAATTTGTACACTACAAGATGAAAGTGAGTATCCTAGATCCACATAAGAAAATGGACAGTGAGACACTGACTTTGGTAGCCTTGCAGCATTGCTTCCACCCCTCGCTGGGTGTTTGATGCAGTTAAATAGTACAGTAATATTGGTTTAAATTAATAAAGCACAGTAAATCCCTGGCTCGGATAGATGATCTATACTGTATGACCTTTTATGAATCATTTTAAATAAATAACAAAACAGGTTAAGCAGAGGCAGCATCCATCAGTTAGCATTGGTATTCTATAACCATCAGATATAGTCACTGAAACTGTGAATGTTACGCACTTTGGAAGCCATAAGTGCTTTGTAATCTGCCAATGAAGGTCCTAGCTCTTCTACAGAAGCTGTCTAGAAAACTTTATTGAAACAATTAATATTGTGTGTGCTTAATTTTGTGATGCAACTTAAACATATTAACCCTACATAACCTAATGTATATTGGGCTTGATTTGCTCGTCATCTTTAATACAGTATTGGCTTAATGTTGTAGTCTGACAATTAGCATTCAATGTGAACATGTTACACATAGAACAATCTGCCTCTGGCAGGTGACCGAGGATGTGCCATAAAGTATACAGAAATGGAAACCTATTGTGTGTCAAAAGTGCTGCACTGAATGGGTTAAAAACTTGAGAGACTTTAACAGAGGTTTCTTTTTTATTGTGGCAAACAGAAAAAGAGGGAAATAAGCAATGTTTAAGAACTTAAATACTAGATACTAGTTGTTAAATACTGATAAAGATGGTGATGACTGGGACAAATAAATGTTACAATTGTCTCGCCAAAACACTGGTGAGCCCCCCCCCCCTCATGTGTGTATAAAATGCAATACAAAAAACAAATTTCACATCATTTACAACCGTTGAAATGCACATCAATATGGTAAGGATTATTGTACAATATATAGAAATTCAACTTACCTCAATTATGGGGCTTCAGTACTTGCACTTCTTTATGTTAGCCTGACACAGGTGATGCCTCCTTCTCTTGGGCCAGGCAGTGAATATCACTATTGTTATCAAGAGGTAAATCAGTTTTCTTTCTTCTCCTTCTTGAAAGGTAAATATTATTTTCTTTTGTTGTGACACTGGTCTTGGTTTTCTGTATTTCCAGAGGTCTTTCTTCCTAGTACAAATATTCCTGCTGATGGCATACTCTGCCATAATGGTAGATACAGTGGTCCCTTTTTCAAGTTTTTCAACAATTTCAAGCTTATTTATAAGAGAGAGATACACTCTCTTGTCCTTCTGTGGAATAACTTTTGGCCTAGTCATCTAGTTTTAGCACTATTTTGTTTAAACATAATATGAGGATTCCAAAATGATGCTACACAATGGTGTGACACAGGAAAAGACTGAAGAGCCATGCCCATGATGAATACCCTCACGGGGTTTTGGGTGGCCCCGTACCTTATACAGTAGTGTACTATCTTAACCCTTAAAGCCCTGGTGACATTCCTCAACAGTTCACTAAGGTGACCCCAGGTGATGTTTCTCAATGTTCTTTATTGGCAACTCAGCTCTTGCATATTCTCTTTATCGAGACTTGTGCCTCGTGGTCAGTCACCCGGCAACTATCGTGATGGATGCTCGTCTTCTGATCTGTTAAGTATTTTATAGTTCTTTTGAGGATAATAGAAATATAAAATGTTTTGTAGTACAAGTAGCTATAAGATAGAAATATGATATAAATGTGATTTCAATAAAGAACTGTGTGTTGCAAGTGCACGTCAACATCACTTCCCGTTTGCAGCAGCAGCTTCAAACAGCACATCTTTCATCACTGCTCATCAACACTCCAGACAACTCTCCAACCATGCTACAATAAAAGTTGAGTGTAAATATTGTATGCGTACATTCTTCTGTTTTTTCTCTTACTGATTAACCCATTTATAAGGTGACAATGGTCCCCCCCCACATACCTTTAGGGGGCTGGCAGGTCCTGTGTTGCCTGGGCTTTAAGGGTTAAAATCTCACTTATTTTCTATCGTTGTTAAACACTAATATACTGTACTGTACAAAAATAATTAAGAAAAGTATCAAAACCTGGAAACTTCATCTAACCTACCTTACTGAATGAACTAAATCATTGTTACTAAATACTAATACTGCATACAAAAAACAGTTGAGAAAAATATAATAGTAATTAGTGCGTTGACTTTATCAGTGGCAGTGAACACAATTGATTATTATTCAAAATTTGCTTTACAGTATTTCAGCAAGGGTCCAGCCCCAGTGTTCTTACTTATGGAAGTTTTAATGCAGGTTTTCCCCCATCTAACTGAAACTTCGGCAACTTAAAAAGCACCTCTGAAATATGTCTGATTTTTAAAAGAATGAATCGGTGAGTATTGCCAAACTTGAATATAATATTTTACTTTATTTTATGTAATTCAACAATGGTCTTTTTAAACTGGTATATCTGCAATGTATAGGCAATGGTGGCAAGGGGAAAATGGTCAATTATTTACTCGTTTATATTTTGTCTCGAAACAACTTTAAATTACTACTCTGTGTTATGGTCAGTTTCTAGTAAGTTGTAGCATTCTTTTGGAATTTTACCAGCCACCAGATGACCTTTCCCCCCACAAGATAAATATTTGGTGTTAGTAAGTTCTGGAATTGATATACAAGTTTAACTTTTCTTTTTTTGTAAGAATTTTATTTATTTAGTTGATCGTGTAATAATTTTCCCACAAACCAAATAAACATTAAAGTAAGAAAAAATAATGTTGTCAACTTGTGCACATATACATATAGCTTAAACTTTTACACTAGGAGAGGTATACAGTATATATGAGGGTGTGTACAGTACTGACCCATACTCATGACAGGCTGCTGGAGATAAAGTTATGGCTCTCACTGGGGATTCAAACTTGGGACCAATGGACTTTTATGGCTGTGCCCAAAGTCAAGTGACGTCCATAAATACACTCTTAAAGTGGCCGAGACTACTTCATTAAGTAGTTATGTCTTCCTGTTACAGCCAAATCGCTAGAGGGATCTTTAGAAGTGACACCCGGCATTTAGTATAGAAGGCACCAAGTCGTGACAACACAAAGCACGTGCACAACCGGCTCATCATCTGTGTTGGCCATAATGGGTTTCAGGATTCAAACCCATTAGTCTTGGCTGATTTGTAAGCTATCCATAGTGAAGGAAGGTGGGTTAGCCAGGTCACTGACTATAGCTCTGGGCTTGGCAATACAAAATTAAAATTCTCATTTATGACTTGATACCCATTGGTAAGCGGCCTCTGTAATTGAAGCAGCTAGATAGCACTAACTGTTCCAACTACTAATGTAACAATGCATCACACTCGGAGAATTAACCCAACAACAACCTAATGCAACATATCATTTGGATCTTCTGAATTTTTATGGAACAAACTCTTCTCATGTCAGCTGGTGTGCCCAATGCTAGAAAAGGTCTCCATTACCCAATGGGATTCTATATACTGTACAGTCGGCCACAGGAATAAGCATACACACTGTAGCCTTAAGGTCCGAAAATGGTCTGGGAACGTCGAAACTACGCATCCAGACTCATGATGAAACTTAGCTCCCCCCACCTGTTATCTCTACCTATTTTCTGTTTCCCCTTCTTTATTATTCTATTTACGCCTCTTCCTTCCTTTACTAATCAAAACATCTGTAAAAAAAAAAAGTAGGGCAAGAGAAAAAGTGGGGGAGGAGGAGGGAGCTGTACAATAACTGCAATCCCATTCGGCAACAAGTTTACTACCATTGGATACAATATATTACTTGTAATACAAACACAAGTCACTAGTAAAACATTCACAACAAATGTATTTATAACATATACAGTATGTAGGAATAAAACATAAATTACAGGTCATTTTGTAATTTTGTCTGTTCTGTTCAGGACAGTGTTACCAGATATTTTGTTTCAAACACGAACCGTAGGTGTATACTTATTCTTGTGGCCGACTGTACAGTACATTCCTTTTTGTTGAAAAAGGGATAAATTGCATCTTCAGAAAGGTGTATCAGGCCTTTCTGAGAAAGGTTCTGACAAACGAATAACTAAAGAGGTGGGTAATTATGCTCATAAATCTTTTTGGCTCAACACAATCAAACTTCTCATCAATTTTGAGGGAATGTTATAAAGGATAGAGGTTGTAGGGGAAATGGTTTCCTGATGGCAGTAAAACATTGGTGATGATTGGGAAAGAAACTCATTTAGGCCTGAAAAAGGGGAAGGAGCTGTGTATGGATGGAACAGCTTTGTCTGGTGTTGCCTAGAATTTACAGATCCACAGAGTAGCTTTTCCAGTACAGTATAGGTTTGTTATAGTTTCTTTCCTTCAGAAAGGACTTAATGCATGTGGGACAACACTTGCAGTTCGGAAGGTCAGGTTAAATAAGATTAGTCTGTCACTGATGTCAGGTCACCTGGGTCTAGACTGACAGCCAAAAAGGGCACATTACACCAGCCACCTAGTAAAGGGAAACTGGTCATAAATGAAAATTCATTGAAATCAGAATAAACTTAACTAGATTTAAAACTTACAGGTTAAAAATCTCAAGCCGAGTTTCTTTGCTTATCAGCCTGTCTCTGTAGGTAAAGACTTGTATGATGGGTAGCAACTCTGTGGAGAAATGGAGTACGGGCTGCACTCACTGCACCAGAACCAATGGCAGACCTGTACTTGATGATCATTCCTTCATCTTGCTCAGCTGGTTCCATAAACTGCTGCAGGGGAATAAACTGGTCAACTTGCTCTACAGTCAGACGGAAAAACTGCAAAGCATCAGATTTATCACCCCACAGTAACATGCGAAAGTCCACAGACCAGTATTGTTGCAAAGGAATGAGAAGAAACAAGGCAAAGGTAGAATCCCCATATGATACACTGATGAACTGCTCCAACATATTCCTGTACCAGTCAGTGAATGAGGTAAAACCTTCAATTGTACTGCTTGGATCAAGTTTTGAATAACCCTCACTGCCAAGAAGTTCAACAACACATCCCTGAAGGTTTGAGCTAATGCAAGCATCTAGGAACATATCACATGCAACCAGAAAGACTAATGACAAGTGGTACATCCAAGTTGTGGTGGTGGTAGTATGGATTGTGGTCTTGCGGTGCTTGAGAGTTAAGTAAGCCATCTGTAGGCACCTTGTAACAGTCAAGATATCCTCTGGTGTAGACAAATCACTTGAGTGTCCTGCAGCTTTTTGTTCCTGGGGTTGGGGTGGACGCTGGGATACTTTGAAAACGTACTTGATGGGATTCAGTGACCAGTAACTGTCAAGAACGAGCGGTGACTCGGTCTGACTTATTGTAACCCCATTAATGATGAAGGGAATGCCGTTTTTTAGTACTACACTAGCATCATATTCTCTCTTACTCACCAAACTTCTAATAAGTTCTCTTTCAATTGATTTCAGAGATTGGCAGATACTCTCAGTCAACTGAAGTGGTGAGAGGACTGGCTGGGTTATGGCAGGAGACTTGAGTGGTTCATAATTATTCAGAGAAAGGTCCCCCACATGGGTGCTCATCTCAGTTAGATCTGATATGAATTCTTTAGCACAAATTACATTTGTTAAAAGTTCTTTGATTATATGTTCATCTCCCTTATGGACACATGCCATCATGCACATGGCTGTCTCATGGTACAACTGTCTTCTGCTGCAACCTTTTAAAGCTGCCAGTTGCAGCAAATTACAAATAAAGTAAGTCTCAATTCGTGTTAGCCACTGTGAAGACAGTTGGTGAGAAGACTGACAAACTTTCTTTAAGTAGACAGATATTTCATCAGAATCTAACAATTCACATAATGCATGAGCATTAAGAGCAGGATGAAGGGTGTGGAGAGACACAAGGAGGTTGGTGATTGGAAGCAGCATGGGGTGAGGAGAAGACGGACGCAATACAGGAACAACCTCGCCACCAAAGGTGACACAACCCGCTGATCCAAGGTTGTTTGGATCACGTTCAGTGCCTGGAACTAGGTCACTAATGAGAGATGAGTGACTTGGAAGTGAGGCAATTAGTGTTTTGAAATATGGTGATATAAGGATGGGTGAGATTATGTTATTATGAAGATGCTGAATTTTCTTGTTGTGGACGTCACCACTGTATGAAGTCTGATCTTTCCACTTACAATAGTAAGCCTCCAGGAAATTACAGCAGCTGCCAATAAGTCTGAGTGCTGAGAATGTGGCCTCATTGCTTCTTGTCAGCTGTGCTAACCATTTTGTGAGACATGTTTCCACCAACTGGGGTAGGTCCTTGAGGTCATCCCAAGTCAACTCAGGTGGCACAAGAACCTCTGCCTTGCCATCAGCACCTATCACTGTCCCCTGATTCAACTTCATTCTGTTTTCTAAAAGTGAATGTGTGGCAGCCACATTCACAGCTGCTGTTAAAGCAGCAATCATGTGTGCTCCTACATCATAATTGAACTTATTCTTGTCCGTCTCTTCGTTGACCGATACCTTATCCCTATAAAACACCAGTTGCTTAACCAACAATGGGTAGAAACTTGCAACAGCTTCCTGAGACTTAGAGAGTCCATAAGTGAGAAGCACAGCCCACATACGATATGCCTCCTGGCTCAGTGCTAAGGCTTCTTGGAGAGGTATACTGACTTCACTGGGCTCAAGGGACACATATGTCAAGACATGACTCATAATATTGTGAGTGTTGACCAGAACAGCTGCCAACTGCCGACCCTTGGTTGCTAGTATCTGAGGATAAAGAAGAATCACCATTACTAAGCTTTAATTCTAAATTGTTAAACAGCTTTAACCAGGACATCTTTAACTTCCTTCATAATATTCTAATGTAAAATATATTGAATCCAGTACTTTATACGTAAATGGTAGATTGATCCTCAAACCTTATTTTTCACCTTCTGACATTACTGAGCCATGGCAGCTTCATAGTAGCTGTACTGTGCCATTTTGTTCTGCACTTTCACAGTACCTATAGACTATACTATAGTGCTGTACTTATAACTCGGGGCAAACTAACTAACTATACCGATATTATTGCTGTACATATCAACCACATAAATGAGACGAACTATAATAATGTACATCTACTTACCGTCAGAAGACGCAAGGCGTGCCTTAGAGGTATGCCATAAACAGAAGTCATTGAATCTACAGTCTCGCCAGTAAGCAGAGGCGACAGATTGTGTGGGAGAAAGTTTGTCATGATGGTAGAGATGAGGCGCGGGGTGCGAATTAGCGTCCAGGCAGCTGTGAGGGAGTGACGCACCATACGCAGGAAGATCCCCATGATGTTTATAACTGTCTCTGGACCAGGCTTGATGATCTCCAGCAAGTACCTGTGGGTTTACACTACATAGTAATGACTCTAATTCTGATTTTCAAGACTTCCTTTATAAGAAAGTGTAACTAAAACATCAAAGTCAACAAAACTACAGAACTGTACTATGGAATACCCATACTGTACTGTATATTGCATCAGAAAAGTAAAGTCTATTCAATCCTAGTTGAGAGGAGGTGGTTAGGAATTGATAGTTACTTTATAGTTTGCCACAATGTACAATCCATGCTGGCAACACTACAGATACAGCACCGTAGACCCTCAAATCTACAGACCTCGATTTAACAAATTTCGGAAACAACAACTCCTGAGGTGTCAATTCCGTATTGGGAATATTGGACTGAGACCATTGTTTCGAAGACTGGCCGTTAGGTGGCAGTGGTGAGTCGGCACCCAGACCTGCACTTAGGGTAAAAGTGCTGTTGTTCTCGCAGTGTTTATTGTATAAGATTCCATTGGTAATATGGTAAATTACCGTACATTGACACATCATCCGATCGTGATCTTCAACCCTTTTATGAACACCTTTGCTCATTAAGGGAAATCATCAAAAGGAGGCAGCATCAGCATGGGACTAAAATTTTTTTTTCACTCATTTTTCAAACGTGTTGATGATCCTAAACCACCTCCTCCACTGTAACCCTCTACAAGTGAGGGGCCAGAGCTCCACTGAGTCAGAATAAGTCATTCTGAGTCACCACTATATGATCATGGGATAATAAACTCCTCTATCAACCATAAAAGGCAAGTGAAATTACTATAAACTTCTTTATATACAGGTAGTCCCCGACTTACGACCGTCGGGACTTATGACCGCCGCAGTTGTGACCATTTTTTTTCTCTTTTCTTTTTTTTATTTTTCTCAAATGACACACGCATTTTCTACACCGAAACGTTTCCAGTTAACGTAGTCTCCATGTATAATTAGAAAATTATGGGGGCCCCATGTGCATTCAGCTGACTACATTAAAGGTAAGTGCTCAGTCACACTGTATCCATTCCTCATTATTTATTACTTTTACTGTACTGTATTTCATTGTAGATTTTTTATTTAAATCTTTTTTTTTTTTTTAATCTATGTCGGACTTACGACCATTCTGACTTAAAACCTGGATTTGGGTCCCTAACCCCGTCGTAGGTCGGGGAGCACCTGTACTTTCATTTACAATGTTTATTATATCTTTAATGTGTTTTCCTGTTTATTGTGTGTACAGTATTGTTTATTTTTCCTTTGTTTTTATCCCTTATTTAGATTCAATGGTCAATTGGCATTAGCGGACTACCTCCCCCCCCATTAGTCCGTAGAATCGAGGGTCTATTACATATATATATATATATATATATATATATATATATATATATATATATATATATATATATATATATATATATATATATATATATATATATATATATATATATATATATATATATATATATATATATATATATATATATATATATATATATATATATATATATATATATATATATATATGCAGTATATATGTTTACCAGATTTAATTTAAACTATTCAAAGTGAAAGATGAGCTTGATTGGTCTTGCTTTTATAAGCATAAAACACAATAGTATGTGTTTCAGACACTCTTAATATTTTATTTAGCTAACCCCCAAAGGATTTTACTTAGAACAGAGGGGATCCCATACACAAGTGGTTAAGTGGAGCCTTACTTGATCATATTATAAAAGTAGGTTGGTTCAAGGTCAGTTAAGTTTGCACAAGGTCCTGAGAAGGTTCGAGTTCACCGAGATGAATAATTTAACTGCAGTTCATAAGACTCTTGTATCCCTCTTTAAATATAAATGGAGGTAAGTACACCTGCCTCTTTAGCTCCTACCACTGAGATATAAATCCCTTTTTAATAACATAGGGGTAGTCAGTGTGATGTGTTAAATTCTAATTTAAATAGGAACAGCTGGATATCATTTATTGGGAAAAAATTAAAACACCTCAAGCTAGAAAAGTAACACAGAGGGTGTCTTGGGTAGTGTGAAGCAGCCAATATTTGAGAAGGACACATGGAGGAACACATTCAGGAGAGAAATGGGGAGGGAATAATAGAGGAAGAAAGGGTAAAAAAAATACTGTATGTAGTAATAAGGCAGACATGAGACTCTTATGTCATGGTCATCCACTTCAGAGGGTGAGAGGTAAGATGTATGATAGATTATGATGTCCATAAATATTTAGTGACTAACCAGCCAGTTGCAGACAATAAGCACACATCTGAACACCCAACATCTCCGTCATACCTCAGTCTGATGTGAGTATCCATCCTAACTAGAGCACGAATTATATCAAGCTTGATGATCTCAAAGTCCTTCAACTCTGCTTCTTCTTGGTCCAATTCTTGTCGTATCTAAGTGTCAAATAAGATTGTGGTAAATTATGAAAAAATACAGCCGACTTATAATTATTAAGACTCGGCTAAAGCTGTGGGTAAAGCAAATTAGGTCTACACTATTGATGTGATAAAATACCCTAAACTGTATCTAGTATAACACCTGCGTGTATGTGTGTGTGTGTGTGTTGATTTGAGGCCTCGTGTGTTCATGACATACACACACATCATTTACCGCACATCACAAGTACCAATATTTGTGACTTTCTGTAGTAAATGGTTGGATAATTTTATATTATAAATGACAAGACACAGATACAGGTATCCCCCGAGATACGAACGTTCGTGATATGAAAGTTTGCTTATATGAATTTCCTAAATTGACACTGTACTATTTTGAGAAACGAAAGTTTCCCTCCCACCTATATGAATTTGGGTCCTGGCAAAAATTCAAATTTTGCACACCGGGAGTCAGATGGCGCAGCCTTCTTGGGAAGAGATGCACAGAGACGTATTCTCGCTCACTGATCAGGTGAAGTGATCCTTTTGTTGTACCTTTCGTTATGGCATCCAAAGGTTCTGCTGAATATTTGGTTACCCACACGACACTGAAGAAACCACGGAAGGCTGTGACTCTTGAGACAAAGCTGGAGGTAATTAAGTATAATGAATGTGGTGATGACCCTACCAAACATCGGGAAACATCACGGTGTGGCTGCTTCTACTGTGGCAGACAGCAGTGATGAGGTGGATAACCCTCCTCATCTTGGGCCCTTACTCAGCCCACCCCTGCTCACCCCTTGTGGCTGTGAGCTCAGACTGCCCTCCCAGCCCAGCCCAGACAGCCTACCCATAAGGTAATGTACCAAAGTTAAACAGTATTTTAATATTTTTTTCATGTGTTAGGTATGGTAGTAATTTCATGTATAAATTATAGTAGTTTATTGTATATCATTAGTTAGGTCAGTTTTGCTCTTGTTTCTGAAGTGATTTCATGTTTTTGGGGTATCATATTGGGAGTAATTTTGTCATTGGGGAACCAAACCCTATTTTACCCATGTTTATCTTTTTGTGATATGAAAAATTCACCTAAAGAATGTTTTGCTTTTTAACCTAACACATTCGTATCTCGAGGGATACTTGTACGCAAACACATACTAACTGGATATACTGTACTGGAAAAGATTTAAAAAATAAATAAATCATAATAATTTAAGAAAACAACACATTATAAGTCTGGGATGAAACAAATAAATATACTGTATAAAAAGTTACAAAATAGTTACCTTCTCACTGGCATGAATGTCACTGGATATTCCCGGCTCTAGTCCTGCAGGGAGCCAGGGTTGTGCCAAGGCCAAGCACTGTTCATCAGGTTCACTGGCTATCAGGTAGTACAACCCTCTCACTGCTTCACTGTACACAAGGTGCGATGAGTCATCAAGAGCAAACCTCAGCAGCAGAACAGCACCGGCCTCTACCTGGCATTCCCCCATAAGATGATACAAGAGTTAGTACAGTACCATCCACATATCAGTAAAACCTATATGGTTTTTAACATGAAAAACCTCTGCCAAACTTTACATTTGTTACTACCGTATGTATTATTCTGGAACACTATTCGCGACACCTGGTTTGCAAGTGTTTCTATCTCTCTCTCGAACCAACAACTAGTGAACAAATCTTCTTGTTGGTTTACTGAAATCTAATCAGGGGATTTTCCTAATGCATAATGTACTCTATTGTGTCATCTTTCATTTTATGCCTTTGTGTGCAGGCTTATATATATATCTGTGTATATGGATGTTGATTAATGATACTGTGATGTAAATAATGGCCGATAAAAAATCCTTAGGAAAAAATAATGTACACATACATCAAGTTAGAATAACACCTCTGCCTGTGCTAAGACAAAGTTCATAACATAATAATATTTTACAGAAAAAGTCCAAAAATCCGGATGCCAGAAATCCGGACCACCTGAGAATCCGGAATTCGAAAACTCATTTTTTTTTTAGCTGGCTTTTGTGTACCGGTATGTGCACATGCATGAGTGCCACAGCTGCACAGCGACAACAAGCGACCACGCAGTCGCCACTTTAAAACGAGCAATCAAACTGTGACAACGTATGTAATTTTGAGTCCTACTCTTTCCATTTACAGAGTACTGTACAAACCCATAATAATGGCTCCTAAAGTAGATAAACTTTGTTGTGTGAAGAGAAAGAAGAACACGTTGAAATTGTGACAAACTTGAAATAATTAAGAAACTAGAACGTGGTGTGAGCAATACTTTTCTAATGGAAACGTATGACATTAGAAAGTCTACAATTTATGATATAAAAAAGGCAAAGAATAAAATTCTAGAATTCACAGCTTTTTCTTTAAAACTGCTCGTTTTGATAAATGAAGCATGCTATATTTGCTAATGAATAAACTATCAAAATGTACCTGTTCATCTCTTCTTTATTCCTCCTTAAATTTGAATTTTAAAAGTAACATGAGAAAATAAGGAGTCTGCAATAGGCCGGTTGGCCTGTGCATGGCAACTCCTGTCGAGAGTTACTACCACTCTCTATCATCCATGAATATATCCAGCCTCCTTTTGAATCTTTCCAGCGTTCCAGCGCTTACTACAAAGTTGCTAAGCTTGTTCCACTCGTCCACCACCCTATTTGTAAACCAGTTCCTTCCTATCTCCCTCCTAAACCTAAACTTATTCAAATTAAATCCGTTGTTCCGAGTCCTATCCTGCTCGGATATTATAAGAACTTTATCTATATCACCTTTATTGATTCCTTTCACCCACTTGAATACTTCTATCATATCTCCCCGCACTCTTCGTCTTTCTAGGGAATGCAAGTTAAGTTTCTTTAACCTATCCTGATATGGAAGGTTTCTAAGTCCCGGAATCATTTTCGTCATTCTTCACTGCACCGACTCTAGTGAATTGATAGTCATTCTATAATAAGGGCACCAGAACTGAACTGCATAATCGAGGTGCGGCCTGACTAGCGCCTATACTGCCTGAGAATCCGGAAAATCCGGACCGACCCGATCCCCAAGCAGTCCGGATTTTTGGACTTCTACTGTACAAACAATCGAGCAAGTATAACATCAAGCCTTTAATTTATTAAGAACAATACAGTATAGGAATTGAATACACAAACCTCAGAGCTTAATATGAGGTGGAAAGGAAGGACAGACATAAGTGTAATCCAGTAAAACCCTCAACATTAATAGGCAGATGCATAAACATATATTAACCCAATATCATAAAGTACATAGTTGTTTGTATTATATAATATATCTAAAACTAACATGACCAAAGAGAGTTACAAAGACTTACAGTCAGTTGTACTACAGATGGGTTGACACACGTGTCATAGAGGCCTTCCTTAGCATTTCTGAGGATGTTAGCCAACGTACGTAGACCCAAGTGGCGCTGTTGGAGCACTTGTGATCGTATGAGTATGAAGAGTTCATCAAGGGTGTAGCCGGCACGACCTGGAAATATTTAAGACTTGAAATCCATCCTCTCATCACACTATCTTATGAGTTTCACCATTATGTGGGAAATAAACAGCAATGAAATTTGTGGAGTCCATAACAAAGTTGCTGCATTTGGTCCAAGCTACACCACATTTGTGGTGTGAAAAGAAAATTGCACTTTTAATTGCCACTTCTATACGAAATTGCAGTCTTCACCTACCCCTACCATCCCATACACCACCTCCCTCCCTCCCAAATTCTTTTTTGTCCACAACTGCACCAAATAGCCGACCTATGGTACATGGGTAGCCTGTGATGTATTGGTAAGCATGCTTACCTCGTAAGCAAGAGGGCTCGGATACAATCCCTGGGTAGGGTGAAGCTATGGGCAGGTTACTTTGTCATTGTCTCTGTCTAACCAGCAGTAATTGGGAGTATTTTGTGATTACATGACCCTTTAAACCCCTTGTGTACAGATTCCCTTCTGAACTGAATAAAATCATTTGGTGTTAGACAAATAAAATATTAAAAGTGGCATTCCTGTAGGAGGAAAAAATGGCAAAATTCCAAGAAAAGATGATGAATACTGGCATCCCTGGGTACCCATAAAGTAACCTACTTGTCAAACAATTAATAGCCTCCAAGCATTAGGTTATAAAATGATGAATTTCACTGAAAGACACTCAAAAGTTTATACTAAAAAATACAAAACTGTACACATAGAAAATTGAGCTAAAAAAGGCAAAAGTGTAAAAAAAGTTAACCAACCTGGCTCCTCCCCATGATGATGGAGCCCTTCCCTATAGGAGACATCTGCATCATATGGCAGAATATCACCCTCAAAGTTGAACCTGGCAACAAATCCCTCACTGTCCTTCAGGGGTTTAGGCTTTGGCATGTTAGTCATCCATTGTAGCTTCTCCATGTCCACCTGGAAATATATATCATAATAGACAGATTAATATATGAAGCTGACTTTAAATTCCAATAATAGTCAAAAAGTATTTGTCCAATTAAAAGAAAATCTTCAAAAATGTGTTATAAATCTACTGAGTGACCAAGAACATTAAAAGCAACATTCCAATATCACAAAATATCCCCATTATTCTCAATACAGTATCAAATTAAAATCACAACTTGCCTTGTCCATGTGAAGCCACTTGCGTGCTTCCGATGGAGGTATTGGCAGCTCTAACTCAAGATTTTCTTCATTATCAGCTACTTCCTTCATCTCCACATCACTGGAGAATTTAACTGAGCGAGTTTTAACATCTACACTGTCCCCTTCATGCATGGGTTCACTGGAAGATGGGGCATCAGAGGAGCTGGGACGGCCTTCTTCACTTCTTTGTAAATCTTCGCACTCCATGGGAGTGGATTGTGCTGTTTTCTTTTCATTATCCACAGCCAAGTTTGACTGGTCTGAAGACTTTTTATCACTAGCTCTTGATGCACTATCCTTCTGTGCCATTTCTTTTCTCTGACGGAAAGACTGCAGTAAGGTGATCTGTTCCGAGGTAAGATTAGAGAAGAGCTCTTGTTTCTCTTTCATCCGTTCTTCATGGGTCATGCTGGCAAGCTTGCCGATGTTTTGCTGGTGTATCTTATCCATTTCACTTTTGTTTTGTTGAATTCCATCCCCTGTGATGACACAACTCTGTTTGCCTGAGTAAAAACAAGTCATTTGAATGTAAATTTGTGATGAGAACGAGAAAATAATGTACAGAGTATTTATGATAAATGAGAAAGGAACTTTATTATGAAAATAAAACTCAACTCTCATTAATTCAGACCCACTCTCTTGAATTTCAGCTAATTTGCACTAAATATTTATGTCCAATGATTCCCATATATTTCTGATGGCATCTGGAGAATACTGTGCCTATCCTTCCCCATGCAATTCCACTCACAAGTCCAGCTGTTCAGGAAATATAAAACCAAATTAGGGGGTTAGGTAAATGGATTAAAGGTGTGAAGATTGAAGTGAGTTTGTTACGAATACTCAAGGCCTCACCACTATAATCCTATTACCTAGTCATCCACTATTAAAAATGAACTAAGGTTGTGAAATTTTAATATTTGTCTGGGGAAGGACAAAGTGACTGTTATGATTCTGTTGTTTCGCTTGATAATGCCTGTCAAGACCACTGAGCAGCTGAAAGTAAAAGACTTCAGCAATACACTAGATCAAGGGGAGATTGAGGGAAGGAGGGTGGAGTCTGGGTTGCATTTTTGTATACTTTTAAAATTAGAAGATACTGTAGTAGAATCTGGAGAGGTGTTCTTGAAGATATGATGTTAGTACAAATTTTACATAAAATAATAGGACTATATGCAACAACTCAAAAGTAATACAGTACAATAGTGATTCACATAAGCAGCATTGCAGCATATTCCTACCTAAGGCTGAGAGTCTGGGATCTTGTGAGGCATGGGCTGTTACAGGTGAACCTTCGCTGGAGATGGGAACACTTTTGAAACATTCTTCCTTGACTATCAAGCCTTTTTTCTCCAAATTCTGTAAGTATATAGACTTCTTCTTTGTTCCAGGGCCAGAGTTACTTACTGTGCCTTTCTGTAACAAAAACATTCATGTGTTACTGTATATGGTGCACACCATTCTTTCATCAATCCACATTAACTAAACTAGTACAGTACAGTATGTATTTTATAATTTATAACAGTTTTTATCATGCATGTATAATTGTAAATTAATTATTAGTCATCTGGACCCCCCCCCCCCATGATGCCCCTGCACCTTACTTTCGGACATTATTTCAGAAGGTAACTGAACAGTTGATTAGCAAGAATATGTAGATGGAAAAGAAAAATTCATTAAATAATAAAGAGTTGAATAATCAAATGACAAAAATCATTTTAACCAATCGGGGGCGACTGTGACCAGGGTGTGGGGCATAGTTGCCGAGTTAATTTGATTATACTGTACAGTAGTATAGTAACCCCTCCAGCATGATTTGTAATGTTATATATATTGTAGGCCCACAATGGTAACGTGGAGAAAATAATTCTTGAATAAAACATACAGGTAAGGGGAAACACTGTAGCACCTTAGCTTTTATCTTTATTCAAGAAAGTATATATACTGTATTCAGTATTCATATATATAAACCATACCAAAAATAGAAGACTGATCTTAAAATACTGTTGTATAAATGAGTTAGGACGGGAGCAACACTGTAGAGTTGACAAGTCGAAGGTCATAACTTACCAAATTTTGCAGTCTTTGGGCTTTAGGGAAGCCATGAGGACTGGGTGTTGGATGCCACTCCTGGAGACTATGGCCAGCTGGAACCACACGCTCAACAATTCGTCCAAGGACAGGAACTTTCTCCTTTTGTGAAACTGTTAGATAAAAGCTGTACAGTACACTGCAAAGAGTCTTGTGGGACTCTCAGAGTAAGTATATACAGTACAAGATTATCAAGTACAGTAAAGTGTTTTACAATACACCAAGAAGAGTCCAGAGTTCCTCTCATTGAGGAGAGATTATTTACCCGGTAAGTGAAATAACCAATTTCTGGTCATTTAACCAAACAGTTATCACAAGGCTAGAAATTAAGTTATCCAACACTGTCATAAAGTCTCTCTTTTTCTTTCTCACACACACACACACAAGATAAAGGATGTATACAGTACTCACCAACTTCGGTCAATACAGTGTTATCAACAATGCCTTCCTTCTTTTTCTTGGCAGCTCGATCCTGAGCAAACTTGGACCTGGGTGTGGCTGCCCCCGTATCTACAAAACATCACTTGGTTAAAGTATATGGATAAAAAAAAATTAAATAACATAAACAAAATTTAAATTTGAAGTGGAAAGAGAAAGCCAACATCTGTTTTGTATTTATCCGGAGAAATTTTTTTCTTACAGCTGTTGTTCCCACTCTGTAACAGTGGGTTGGTGGTAGGAAGGGCAGGGGACAGTGATGATGATGACTTTACCTGTACTGTACATGAAATTCCAAGATTTAGTTTAGTTATATGTATACTATATTGAAATCAACATAAACATCACAGATCTAGGATGCATATGATAGGTTCAGTATTGCAGTCTTGTAAAATCAAACATGAGTATGAGAACAGGAAAAGAGAAAAAAAATAAAGTACTGTACAATATTTATTGCCAACTTATATAATTCCAGATGGAATACACAATTACAAAGAAATGGAGAACTAAAGCCTGAAATCCCATTCTATAGCTGAGAGACCAGTAAATATCTGCCATTTAAAACACCCCCTGAGAGAAAGTGCCACTATCAGGGGATGAAATATCTTGCAGCAGGTTACACTGCCTTTATGGCTTAGTGTAAATAGTGTGAAGCAGCTTCTCACCCACCACACCAAGATCAAGGTTTACCCATTTAGATGTCTCATCAAGAAATCTTTGCTAAGGACTATGCTCCTCATTCAAGGGTCAGCAGTGATTATTAACTGGAGTCATCAAAGTTATGCTTAGGCTACAGCAAAGACCATACAGTATCATGAGCTTAAGTAATTGCACACTAATATACAGTAAATTACCATGGGAAGATAGTAATGTTTCAGCATAGTTAGATCAGCTCAAAATTATATGACAATGTGAGGCTTGTCTAATGATGTCCTCGTGACAATAGCAAGCTCTACCATGGCATTTTCTATTGGTGGAATCTCACAAGCCCCCAGTGATGACCTGTACGCTATAAATTAAGCCTCTACAGTATACCTGATGATTTTGGGGACACAGGCTCCTCTGTCTTGCGTTTGTTGACAGAAATAAGCTTAGCCGATGGTTGAAATTCACCACGAGCCATCAGCTCTTGTTCCTGCTGTAAAAGGTCATCATCTGATTCACCCGCAGTCGGTCGCTTCAACATTGTGTCACTGGAATACAGAGAGTACAGGACATCTGGTTAGAGAAGCTTCAAAATGGAAGGTGATAAGTCCTTCTGCAAAGAAATGTGATGTGAAATTTACCTGTGAATATAAAATAAATGGCAGACCTTTTCCGAATCTTTACCTTGTATGGGCCACACCTATACTAGTTTCGGTAAAGGTGGAGGAGACAGTTACCACCAGAAATATCTTATGGAATTCAACCAAAATTTCTGGAGATACTTTTGCAAGATACTGAACACAAAGACACAAAAATGGAAGAAAGAATGCACAGAACCTATTGGAACCTGACCTAACCTACCTAACCTCACCGAACTTCCTAACCTGTGCATTGGCATTTTTATTTTCTTACTATCAACCAAACAGCATCTCTAAAAAAAAATAACGAATTCAATCCAAATCATAATAAACACGCCTGATGAGATCGTTGTTCATTTCTTAACATATAATTAAAGACCGCGGATGATCCCGTACCATAAACGATGTGAACCAAACACAGGAGATCCGATGTCGCCATAATTAAGGATAAATATAAAGGACATAGACGTGAAATTACTGTCACATGATCAGTATTTGTAGTGTTTTTACCTCGTTATTTCCTTCTTCTTTCATGCCATACCAACTAACAAGTAATTTATGATTGAAGGATAAGCTAAATAGAAAAGATACTACAATATTGTCGCTTTGATTTTATTACTCAGTATTATCCAAACATCTTCTGAATATTAGGTGCAATTTAATAAAGTCATGGGTCCTCCTCAGGCATAAGGGCTCATTAGATAGTGTATGAGGAATCAAGGAGACAATTACCTTTTTTTTAGGTGACTGTTAACAATACAGCTCTTCTTCCCTTTAAAGTTTACAATCAACGGTGATATGTTATTACACGCTGATTTTTATGACACCTTCCACCACCACAGTTACTGAACGGTTATCTTACTTGTCTGATGTAAATAAACAATGATAAGACTGAATCCCATCCCACCAAACCCGATTCCGAATTTTCTCATAATTTTCATGTTTATTTTAGCTATGATTCTCTTTATCTGTGTATTAATAATTCACAATGGATAACATGCCAGTACGTAAGAGACTGTATACTTCAGGGATGGAAAAATTAATTGAGAGAGATAGCAATTACAGACGATATCATCAGAAGAAAAGTAGCTAACTTGAATGGCAACCAAGGAATATTATAAGGAACTATTAGTGTTACAAGATCAAGTCAATTTCTATTAGTTGGATGCTCGTCAGGGAGATGGGGCTAAGTCATGGGTGTGTTGCTTAAACGTGTGGTAGGTGGAGTGGCGGTAGATATTAACAAATGGCGCCAATCACTGGTCACCGTTGGCGTTGTGTTGTTTGTGGGAGAAACGAGGAAATGATATAGACCTAACATTTAATTTCTTTTTAAGAGATAGGAAAAGGTAAGTAAATAGGTATGTGATTGATTCATAAACAGTGACGATTAAATTACAGTTGAATTTATCATTTCACCACTTATCGTACGTCTCTTATTTGTTACTTTGTTGTGAATTTCATTATCCAGTGGCACCCATCGAGTAACCTCCTCCTTTTATAGTTATCTTTAATGTAATTTTAAAATTATTTTTCTGAAAAGTACAATTGGGAAGGTAGAAAATTAATAGACAAAAGTAGGAGCACTGTTTGCTTACATTTCTACGTGTGTCGCATAACGGTGGACGAGCCGAAATGCAAAGTTAAATTAGTTGTAACTTTTAATATTAATTTCCGAAAATTTCGTGTTGCATGTCTAGAAAGAGGAGGTAGAAGTACCCCAAGAATAAAATATAAAACGGGGGTTACTCAGTGGGTCTTGAACTGTAATATAAGCAATCGTTTGAAAGCACGTATCGATAAATTTAGGTTTTACACACACACACACACACACACACACACACACACATATATATATATATATATATATATATATATATATATATATATATATATATATATATATATATATATATATTCTTTTTTGAATTATTAGCCCAGGCACAGGTCAATGACCCAAATCAGGGCCTGGCGGCGAAGATATATAATAATAATAATAATAATAATAATAATAATATAATAATAAATAATAATAATAATAATAATAATAATAATAATAATAATAATAATAATAATAATAATAATAATAATAATAATAACAAGGGGGTGCTGGTGGTAGAGTGGTACCGCTCTTGCCTTCGCAAGCGAGATGTCACGGGTTCGATTCCCGGGCCGGTGGAAGTTGTTTGGACACACTTCCTAGCCCCCATTAGTCCCTGTTCACCTAGCAGTACAGTAGGTACCTGTTGTAAGTTGCGAATTCGTATTCAGGGACAAGTTGTTGGAGCTTCCAATAACTTGATGACACAAGCCATTGACTCTTCAGGCTTCTACGCCCTTAACTCATGAGACATAAAGGCAAGCATGAACTTAGCATGCTTCCCTGTTGGGCGCTGTAAACGCTTCTGCGCTTCACCTTACACAAGGATGTAGGGGAGTGCCCAATAAATAAAAGAAAAAAAAAATAATAATAATAATATTATTATTATTATTAAAAAAATGTACTGTAATATAATAATATTAATATTAATAAAGAACCATAAATAAATGCAAAAAAAGATCAATAGAGAGAAACAATATATGTATGTTGTGTTGTCAAGGAAAAAGAAACAATTGAGACCCTGCAATTGTGTGTAAATGAGGCAGAAAGTAAGATCAATAACCTGGGACTTGGTCATAATTTTTGTGATACCAAATGGCAGCAGGGTCTACCATTAGACAACACATTATGCTTCCAATATCTTCCCGGGCGGTAGTACCTCCCTGTTTGATAGCTGCCAAAACGGGAACAAATAGCTTTTTAACCCCTGCATTTTCCTTCCATATAACATAATAGTCATCGATATCGTGCTTGAGCATTTGGTTCGTGTTTGTTATATACATAGTGATACTTTCCAGGTCCTATAAATTCAGTTACCTTTAACTTTCATTTTCTTTTATAGTTGTTTTTATTTATCATAGCATATTTATAGACTGGTTAAGTAAGCTGAACAAAGTATACATCACAAGTTTCTTCCGGGAAATACCAGAGTTACTATTAAAATTGATACAAATATTCTCGAGAACGCAATGTCCATTTTCTATGAATTTTGGCTTGTTCAACAGATGGCAATAGTGTCGGACCTAAAGAAAATATAAAGTTTCGGTTCCTTTTGATACTCCTTGCGTGGTAATAAATTAATGGCGTACATTTTGAATGGAAATAGGTTCTCAGTGGACCCACCTTCCTTAACTTGTTTGTCTAGTGTTAATGGGTGGCTATTAGGTAAATAGGTATATGTTTGGGGTTCGGTAATCGTTAATGCGCCTTTATTGTTGTTGAAATGTTCTATGACTTAAGCCAATTTCAATTTTATATATCCTTGTATATTTATGTGCGATGTGTCCAAGTTTGGTTTATAGTTAGTACGGCAACTATGACCACAATAATAAGAATAAGATCTGCTCATTGAAAATATATTAATATACAAAATTTAATATGTGATAATAATGATGTATGAATATGTCTTCTTTCAACGAACAGTAAAGCATACGAGTATATTAGTACTGCATAAGGTGTTAATTCAGTGGATATAAATGTTCATTGCTTATAAACTTTGGACAGACGCAGTCACACAAGTTTCCTCAGACTGTGCATAACATTTGGCCTTTTTCATCTCGGCGACACTTTCTCAACTGCTGTACATGATAGTATGTTACCACATTTAGCTTGAGTGTTTGACAGAGCAGTGTAGAAATATATCAGTGCCTATTAGGTGAAATACAGTTGGGTGTCTTATCTTCAGGTTAAATAAGCTAGGTGGTTATCCTTCAGGTTAAATAGGCCGGGGCCGCTAATCAGTGATTTGTTTAATGAAATCCTAGACTTGGGCCATACTAATATTTGACCATGAAGTAATCGTATAACTTGTTAGGTTAAGTTAAGTTCATGTCAGGTTAGGTTAGGTTAACGTTATGTTAGGTGAGGATTATATTATGTTAACTTTATTTCACTTAGAATGTTAAATTAATTTTTTCAAAGTTTATGTTAGGTTAACTTTATATGCTTTTGATGTCATAGTAGGTTAAATATTAAGTTAGGGGATGTTAGCTGAAAACATTATAAGGTTAGGTTAAGACTTGTGTTAGGTTAATATTATATTAGGTTGAATTTATGTTAGGCTACCGTTACTTTAGGTTAATATTAAACTACCGCCATTGCTCTTACTGAAGAACCGAAGGAATACAGTGTAGACTATTCCATTATGTAGGCAAATAATTATCTTTTGCTGCAAAATAACCAATGTGCTGCCTTGAGAAATTATTCTTAGATATATAAAGTGTGATATCAATAACCTGCTGACTATTATGAGTTGCTCTTTTTGAGTAATCTGGTGTTATCGCACATTGTAAGGCGCAATGGGCCTAATTAGTTACACTGTATACTTCACTCGGACAGAAAATCCTAATGGCTAACTATAAATCTGCTAAAGGTTTTAATAAGAAGTGATGGAATATGAAATTAGACAATGGAAAAACATACAGTGGCATCAATAAAATAAAACCAGTGGCATATGTACAGTTAATTAATTGCGTCCAGAATTCAACAAATATTAAATAATACAGAAATACTGTTAAATGATTCGTTTAGTGTCTCTCTGAGCCCAAGAGTGAATTAAAAAAAATGAACTGAAGGGGAAACATTATTACGAAAGAATAAATGAAATCCCGGTCACCGATTTCAGAAAACTAAGCAGCTGGCACCTCACTCAGCTGACTGGCCTCGAGCCGTGTAAACGAATCGATGACACAGTGTCGCCACGACCTTCACCGGTGGAGGACGTCGTATAAGACTCACCTCCCTTGTCTAGCCATCCATCGCTATCCTGAGTCCATGCGTCCTGTGACCGCATATGTCAGGTGATTATAAGTGTTAGATGTGTTAAGGTACATATTGGATGGCGATGTATCACACACATAGTGGGGGATAAATCTGGATCTTGACTGAATATAAGCGCTAAAAATTCCCCCGGGTGTTATACGTTTATACCTCTTAGAACAATATCTAATCAATGTTTCTTGAGTACGAGTAAACTGTTACCGTTGACACTGACTGAGAGACCAAGAAAGGGCCTTAACGTGTGTGTTAAATCCAAGGGGTAGCAGTGTGTTGTGCGAGGTGTTGACATTAACACAACCAACAGCTGCGCCGCCACCAGTCAACACAGATGACGGTGTAAACATGAGCTACCAGCAACAAGAGGTGTGCAGTAAGTGCCAAGCCAAACCTTTAACGTACATTACTTACACACACACACACACACACACACACAAGAAGGGTAACAGGTTGACCAGGCCAGCCACCCACCCACCCTTACCTTATATCGATCAAAGCTGACCTAAGCAATGTTTTTCACCCACCTAAAACCTTTTCCTTTATATTATTTATACGGAAGCCTCCTCTCTCCTCTCTCCTCTCATCTCTCGCTTTTTACGGTGACTCGACCATTAACAAGGACAGGTGTGTAGTATTTATAGTGACAGGTGTGTAGTATTTATATTGTCAGGTGTGTTGTATGTACAGTGACAGGTGTGTATCATTTATAGTGACAGGTGTGTTGTATGTATAGTGACAGGTGTGTTGTATTTATAGTGACAGGTGTGTAGTATGTATAGTGACAGTTGTGTTGTATGTATAGTGACAGGTGTGTTGTATGTATAGTGACAGGTGTGTAGTATGTACTGTGACAGGTGTGTATCATTTATAGTGACAGGTGTGTTGTATGTATAGTGACAGGTGTGTTGTATTTATAGTGGCAGGTGTGTAGTATGTATAGTGACAGTTGTGTTGTATGTATAGTGGCAGGTGTGTATAATTTATAGTGACAGGCATGTTGTATGTATAGTGACAGGTGTGTAGTATTTATAGTTACAGGTGTGTAGTGTGCATAGTGACAGTTGCGTAGTATTTATAGTGACAGGTGTGTTGTATGTATAGTGACAGATGTGTAGTATGTACTGTATAGTGACAGGTGTGTAGTATGTATAGTGACAGGTGTATAATTTATAGTGACTGGTGTGTTGTATGTATTGTGACAGGTGTGTAGTATGTATAGTGACAGGTGTGTAGTATGTATAGTGACAGATGTGTAGTATGTATAGTGATATGTGGATGATTTACAGTGACAGATGTGGATGATTTGCAGTGACAGGTGTGGATTTATTTACAGTGGCAGGTGTGGATAATTTACAGTGACAAGTGATGACATGCTGGGATTGACAGAGGTTTACAGTGGCAGGTGTGGACAGACTAGGTTTGAGTAGTCATCGTAGTTAAGGGATTAAGTCAATGTAGTCAAGGGATTAAGTCAACGTAATCAAGGGGTTAAATCATCGTAGTCAAGGGATTAAGTCAACGTAGTCAAGGGTCAAGGGGTTAAGTCATCGTAATTAAGTGTCAAGGGATTAAGTCATCGTAGTCAAGGGATTAAGTCATCGAAGTTAAGGGATTAAGTCAACGTAATCAAGGGGTTAAGTCATCGTGGTCTATAGGTGTGTACTCTTAATAGCCACACATATATACAGCCTACTCATTTAGAAGTTCTGTATACACGTTCGTACATATTCGTAGGCCTTCATGTATACATTGTAAGTAGGTAGTAGGTAGCAGGCATCTATCAAACAGGGAGGTACTACCGCCTGGGAAGATATTGGAAGCATAATGTGTTGTCTAATGGTAGACCCTGCTGCCATATGGCATCATGAAAATTGTGACCAAGTTCCAGGTTGCTGATCTGACTTTCTGCCTCATTTACACACAATTGCAGGGTCTCAATTGTTTCTCTTACTTTGACAACACAACATACATAATGTATATCGTTTCTGATTCTTGATTTATTTTTCTCGTTTTTTGTATTTATTTATGGTTATTATTATTTTTAGTATATTAATTTTATTTTTAGTACAGGTATTTTGTTATTATTTTTGAATTATTATTATAATAATAATATTAGTTATTATTATTACTATTATTATTCATCATCATCATCATCATCATCATCATCATCATCATCATCATCATCATCATCATCATCATCATCATCATCATCATCATCATCATCATCATCATCATCATCATCATTATCATTATCATATTTTCGCCCCCCCCCCAGGCCCTGATATGGGTCAGTGACCTGTGCCCGGGTGAGCTAATCCCTGTAAAAAAAAGTGTCTACATTTTAGCCCTATATGTTTATATTCTAGACGTACACGTGTACACTTCAAGACACGCAGGTGCAGAGCTTATACAAAACTCAAATTTGATTTTTTTATAGTTATACTTGTACAAGTGTCAACGATACACATAAACACGCTTATCACCACTCATTTATTGCTGATGGGGTCGTGTAACCAGTGGGGTTCCCCAGGGGTCAGTACTAGGCCCACTCTTGTTCATAATCTACATAAACGATCTAGATACTGGGATCAGCAGTGACATAAGCAAGTTTGCGGATGACACCAAAATAGGGCGGCAGATTAATTCAGGGCAGGATGCAAATGCATTACAGGAGGATCTAAATAAACTGGAGGGGTGGTCTGAAAAATGGCAAATGAAATTCAACACCAGCAAGTGCAGCATACTTAATATTGGAAGAACAAATACTGTCAATATATACAGCCTTAACAACATCAACCTAGAGAAGTCGACTTGTGAAAGAGACCTAGGGGGTACTTGTAAGCACGGTCCTACGGCCTAAAACAGTGCATTAATGTTCGAAATAAGGCAAACAGAGTATTAGCTTTTATATCTGGAAGTGTAAGTAATAAGAGTGCAGAGGTCTTATTGCAACTATATCTTGCGTTAGTCAGGCCGCACCTCGATTATGCGGTTCAGTTCTGGTGCACTTATTATAGAATGGATATCAATTCACTAGAGTCGGTGCAGCGAAGAATGACGAAAATGATTCCGGGACTTAGAAACCTTCCATATCAGGATAGGTTAAAGAAAATAAACTTGCATTCCCTAGAAAGACGAAGAGTGCGGGGAGATATGATGGAAGTATTTAAGTGGGTGAAAGGAATCAATAAAGGTGATATAGATAAAGTTCTTATAATATCCGAGCAGGATAGGACTCGGAACAACGGATTTAAGTTGGATAAGTTTAGGTTTAGAAGGGAGATAGGAAGGAACTAGTTCACAAATAGGGTGGTGGACGAGTGGAACAAGCTTAGCAACTTTGTAGTAAGTGCTGGAACGCTGGAAAGTTTCAAAAGGAGGCTAGATATATTCATGGATGATAGAGAGTGGTAGGAACTCGACAGGAGCTGCCATGCACAGGTCAACCGGCCTATTGCAGACTCCTTATTTTCTTATGCTCTTATGTAAGGGTTTTCTTGTTCTGTTTTATATTATTATTATTATTATTGTTATTATTATTATTATTATTATTATTATTATTATTGCTGATTTTATTACGGATACTGTTACCGTCACTGTTATTGTTACTGGTATTATTATTGTTGTTGTTTTAAATGTTAACAGTACTGAAAGATTAACGTGACATTTACCGTTATTCTATTTTTAGTGGAGTTTATCCGGGAAAGGTTATGTTACGTAAGGGGCTTGTGTGTTTGTGTGTGTACAGGGACCCTAATTATAAGGAGGGGACAAAACCTGTTGGTGGGAAGACTAGTGACGCGGTAAGGATTAAACCCATATAACTGTGTGAGAACATGTGCGGACGAATGTTCAGGGTTACCACAAGCGTACAGTACACCAGACACTTCATCACTTCTGGTCCAAAGGGGCGGGTCCTCATTGAGTCAATAATAATAGACGCTAACCTGACCTAACCATTACACTGAAAACCCAGTAAGAGTGATATGCCCTTTGATTTTATTCCCATGTGACAAAACAGGTTATCTCAACAGATTTGGCTAGATAAATACGTCGTTATAGTTAGGTTAGAAGACCAGGTTATTGAGGGTTAACTGAATACACTGAGAGGTTTAGTAATTATAGGCGGTTACAGGCACACAGGTCCCGTTTTCATTTAGTTTTTGTGTTAGAGACTTATCAAACAAGTTTCGCATGTACGAGGCCGATTTTGGTCATAATTGAAGAGCGGACGCGGTGTGCTACATTGTTTGAAATAAAAAAATATGATCGGGGTGTAGGAGGAAAAAGAGAGAGTTAGTGTAAAGTAACAAGAAAGTGTGCGTATGAATTTTGGTTATTATAAAGACTCTACTGGATGATTCATAAGTTGTCTAAGGCGAATCGACTGTTTCCCTTGTCATATCTTGGCATGGAACGGCGACGTCTGATTGGTTAATTCGCTAATCAGAAAATAGCGGGTTTACAGTTCATTTTTATTTCAATCAATATAAATTATTATTGAGATCATACGCTCATATATATAAAAGGCTTATAACGGTAAATAATAGTGTTTATTGCTAGATTCATGTGTAAATTAATTAATGCATTTATAAAGATAATTATTTGTACGTCATTCAGCAAGACATTTGTGGCAGTGAGACGCTGCTTGCTCTCACCAATGCTGTACACCTCTTTGTGAATATTATTAGTGCATGTTTATTTATATTCTTAACCCCTTGAGTACGATGAAGTAAAATCCTTGAGTACGATGAATTAGTCCAGAGTAAGATATCTTAACCCCCTAAGTACGGTGAGTTAACCCCATTGAGTACGATGAGTTAACCCACTTGAGTACGAGGAGTTAACCCCCTTGTGTACAATGATTTTAACCCCTTCGAGTACAATGATTTTACCCCCTAAGTACACTAGTATTGTACTAAAAATGTTATCGTACTAAGGAGTTACCCTTTTTTTTTTTACAATAGCCAAGACACGTTCATTTTTTGCATGACCCTGTTGTGTAAGCTAGATGACAACAGCGAGCCAGTGTAATCAAACCTAACTAGTTACCCAAGATCAATAAGTGCACACAAGTTGGCTCATATCTGCTGCTGTCAAGTAATGTTTATTTTACACACACGCTACACACCACCACCACCACACTACACTTCAGTTAAGAGCCAGAACCCACACTAATTGGACAGTTTTGAAATAAAGTTTTGTTAACGAAGACGGTAAAATTATCCAAGCTTTCTAAAATAAAAGTAAAAATTAAACCATTTTGATTATATCTGTGAAGGTGAAAATATTCCTCATTATGATGTAGACAGTTGAATGGTATAATGATTTAGGGGGGTTAATCACGTATTTATGTATAAGATATGATGCGTGTGTACGTTATGCAGTGTCACGGTTTTGAAATTCGAGATGGCATTAGCATGGTGGTATAGGTGGCGGCGTTAGAGGATGGTCGTACGCTATCTGCTGTCCCGCCACCCAAGTAACTCAGTGTACAATACAATACAAATAATATGTGTAAAAGTCACCAACAATAAAGTACATATGGTAGAAATTTGAGAATAAGTCACAAAAACATGTTTCCATTGTGGTGGTCAGCAAGAACTGGTACTGTTATCATGTACAGGAACAAAAAGTACCTTACAGTTCTTCAGTATAATACCTTCTTATTGGTAAAAAAAAAATATTTTGAACTGTTATAATAAATACCAGCATTATATTCTTAAGATAAGGGCATTGTAGAGTCAGTTGAGGGTTCTGAGTTGTTTCTCTAAATAACATCAGCTGGGTTATTACCGAGGCTACACAGATAAGAAGGAATGGCAGTCACCGGATATGTCTCTGCTCCTTCCCTTAACTGATAAACTATATCACTAAGGGCATATAACCGAAGATTCATCCAAAGGTTCTTAAGAGTAATAATTTACCCGTAAGATGTAAAATTATTGGTTGTATTGTTGATATAATTAGTATCACAATTACATAGACTATCGTTACTCGTTCAGATAAGAGACAAGATATAACCAAAGTGTGTGTAGAGGAAAGTCTAGCGAACTGACACGATGGATGTTCGTTTATGTACCGGGGAAATAAAAACACTAGTGCCTGGTAAATGTTTATCAGTGCTATCAGTCGTGTCACCGTGAAGAACGTCAATGTCATAACAGTAAGTGCTGGATTCATTCTCCTTGGGTATATCAACAAAATTTCGGAGCTCGTGACGTCACTAGTGCCTACTTCTCTCTGCCCTAGATCACATATTATATAGATAATAAATTTTAGCCTTATCTATATTACCCATATTTTTAATATGACATAAGCACCCAAAAACTGAGCAAGTACTCGGCATGCTTGTTGTTGTTGACTTGTGCAGGCAATAGTGACGTCACAAGCTCCGAGAGGTTCCCTTTGCTTTGATGAGTGAGCAGACCTTACAATTATTCTACATACCTTCGGGCAAGGAATATCTAATAAGGAAGCTCAACTGACACACATTCTCATTATTTTTAAAAAGGTCCCAAATTTTTACTACAGCGCCACCTGTTATTGAGTAAATATACTACTCAGAGAATGGATTGGGTAAACTAAAATAAGTTACTCACAGAAAATGGTCCAAAGCAATCATAGAATTATATATATATATATATATATATATATATATATATATATATATATATATATATATATATATATATATATATATATATATATATATATATATATATATATATATATATATGCAAATAAATCACTGTAGGTGCGCGTGATCTAGGTATATGCTGATAACCACAAGGAAAGAAGAAAACACGATATATGGGTGAATTGTGGTGGTAAGGAAACACATAATGCAGCAGGATTCTCTTACGTTTCGGGGTTGTGTCTTCTTTAGAGAATGACACAAAACAATTAACTAAAAGGCAAGTGACGGGTATGAAGAAGGTTCAGCTGGACGTCTCTTTAAAATAAAATGTAATTACTACAAAATTATTCAAAATGCTAGATTAGGTAAAGTTAGTTTAAATTAGCGTTAGGATGGTTAATCTTAAGGTGAAATAAGCTGAGGAAACTAACCTTCACGTGACACGAAAATATAGATAAACGGAGAACAAATAGGCGAATGTGTTAATAAAATATGTGTTTAAGAATCTCCGCAGGGGATGCAAGGATTAAGATAGTGTACTGGGGTTCAAGGAGCCAACACTTTTAGCCTTGAGAACCAGTGGAGGTACAGTACAAGGTTATGGTATGGTCGCCAACATCTTATCAACTACTGCGGCGAGTTTAAGTTTTTGTGACACGTGGTGACGCTGTTGCTATTCTAAACTGACAAGAAATTGTTTTTTCTCTCACGAGATCTGTGTCAGCGTGACGTCAGCTAGGAACTAACGCGAGTTTAGTCATGTGTGTGTGTGTGTTTTTACCATGTTTCCGGCGTGTTGTTTTTAAGAATAAGAAACGGATTTAAACTTGAGGTTCTCGGTAAACTTGACTGGCTGTGTATGTGCTTTGGAACTCTGGGTAACACTTGTAATTGTTTATAAAATGGCTAATACAATAGTCAGCCTTTTCCGTTTGTGTGTAGGAGTTGCCGCAGGGAGTACAGCGAGGGCGAAATGTTCTGACGTGGCTTGACTAGTCCCCCTGATGCGATGGTCTTTGTTGTATCAATATTTCAAAGGTGTATCGTGTGTGTAAACGAAACTCCATGACTACGGTACTTATTCTATGGCGTCACTGTTCACTAGTTTTCTAATTAAACCTAACCCAATCCTATAATTCCGTAATCCGATCCCATATATACCTAATCACATCCATATACTGTAAACTAATCATCTATTTCAACCTTGTAACTTAATCTCATAATCCCGTAACCCAATTCAAATACACTTTAATTAATCCTATAAAAATTAGCGCGTCTGACTGACTTGACTGACTCACACATTTACTGGTGACTGAGACAAACTTGTTGAACCGACAGCTCTCAAGGATTGTACTGGATAACGTCGAGTAGTATAGAATGTGATTTTTTTTTGGGGGGGTAATGTGTTTTATGTGTTTAAAACTGGCAGTACATTATTGTTGACATTTTTGTGAGTGGGTTTAAGGTTGTAATGTATATATGCAGGACTAAGCGCCTCTCATTTTGGTGGTTTTATGTGTGTGGTTATTGTTTGAACATAAGAAAATAAGGAGTCTGCAATAGGCCGGTTGATTATTATTATTATTGTTATTATTATTATTATTATTATTATTATTATGTCTAAGTAATTGTTGTTCTTTTATAGCAAAATTTTATGTTATTATTTTTTGGATAAGACGGTGGTAGACACGTTGGAAATATTATACGTGGATCCATAAATTGTTGTACCTGAAAGCTGTGATCAGTAATGGCGTTGTCATGACTAATACTGTTTTTTTTTCAGATATTTAATTATGGTAAAATATAACTAAAATTGACAGGAAAAAATTACAATTAATTGATCTGTCGGTTTCTGCAGATAGAAACAGAGAAAAGGAAGTGAAAAAAAATAAACAGTGACAGTAGCGATAACCTAAACATACAAGAAATAAACAATATAATTACGAGAAGTTGGTAAAAAAAAAGCATAAACTAAAACAGGAAAGTATCAGTGGCAATAAACAAAAGACGGTCGGTTAGAGAAAAAGCTATTAACATTCAACAGAAGATACACTACCGAAGAAGGAAGAGGTTCTGGAGGATGAAGTGTGACAAAGGAGGTCAGGAGCGGTGTGTGGTGGTGGCCTAACATCACTTCGGGGTCACCAGGATTAACGCTCGTCACAGACACAGCAGCAGCAGTAGTAGTAGTAGTAGCCACCAGCGGAGTCCGAGCCTTATACAGCTTCTGAAAACTGGCACATGTATATAACGGTTAGGTAAGTGAGCTCCCCTATATTATTATTATTATTATTATTTTTGTTGGTGGTTATTATTAATGTTATTGTTGGTTATTAATATTATTATTATTATTACATTATTATTATTATTAGTGTTATTGTTGGTTATTATAGTTATCATTGTTATTATTGTAAGTTATTGTTCGTATTATTATTATTATTGTTGGTTATTATTATTATTATTAGTATTGTTATTATCACTTATTATTATTAGTGTTATTGTTGGTTATTATTATTATTATTATTGTTATCATTGTTATTGTTGTAGGGGTTATTGTTTGTATAATTATAAGGTATGGCTTAAAATGAAGAGTTGTTTGAAAAAAAAAAACTGGTCTAGATCTTTTCGTCAGTGTTCTGTGGTACAGGCTGTCGATGCCTTAGTTTTGCACGTAAACGGATTACTGGTGTGGTGTGATGTGCCATGAAACCATTTTTTTTACATTAGTATTTCGTTACCTTATAAGCTGGCCTCTGGAAATTGCAGAAACAGTGTCTTGGGTGGGGTTAAGTTAGGAAAGCGTTAGGGTGGTTAATCTTCAGGTGAAATAAGCTTGGTGGGGGGAATCTTCAGGTGATCCCATCTTATTAAGTTACACACACATTCCCAGCTGGTGTGGACTGGGGGAATACTCCAGATGCGAACCAGCGACTCTTAGTACAGGAGGCGAGTGTTGTATTCACTCGGCCGCCGCACAAGAAGATTGTTACCAACACGAGCTAACACACAGTAGAAATCTTCCTTGTATATATATTTTCTTTTTATACAGAGCAAACAGATAACATATTTAACATGGTAATACAGTATATCTCTGGTTGTCTATGGATGGTGAGAATGTTACTTGTGTAGCCTCGTGTACTGTAACAAATTTAACATCGTGATACCATATTGACCCATGTTACTAATATCACAGGTCAATTAGTATAAACTTTTTATTTATTTTTTATTTATCTTTTTTGCCACTGCCCCCCACCTCCCCACCCCCCAACCCTCCCGTTAGACCGTATTGCCAACAAGGATTATACCGAAGACGCAGACTCGGGACCATAACTTAAATAACAGCAACAATGGAAGATCACGTGATACTCGAACGTGATGGTACTGGAACGTGATGGTACTGAACGTGATGGTACTGGAACGTGATGGTACTGAACATGATGATATCGGAAATGATGATGATAATTTCGAACGTGATGGTACTGAACGATGGTACTGAACATGATGATACTGAACATGATGGTACTGGAACGTGATGGTACTGAAAACGATGGTACTGAACATGATGGTACTGAAATATGATGGTACTGAACATAATGCCACTGAACGTGATGGTACTGAACATGATGGTACTGAACGTGATGGTACTCGAACATGATGGTACTGAACATGATGGTACTGAACGTGATGGTACTGAACATGATGGTACTGAATTATTACAGGTGGTAGTGTACAAAGTGTGTGTGTTGCGTGATGATGGGTGTTGTGTTATACCGATTTACAATACTTACCTGTGGCTCCTTTGTTTTAATTACCAGGTGGAGTGTGATTTATGTGTCGCGTTATCCTAGTGTGTGTGTCTGTATTATGTATGTATGTATATGTCTGTGCATGTATGTATCTCTCTCTCTCTCTCTCTCTCTCTCTCTCTCTGTTTATGTACATCTTTGTCTGTACATGTGTGTGTGTGCCTGTTTATGTACGTGTTTGTGTATGTATGTGTCTGTATGTATATGTCTGTCTGTATGTATGTGTATGTATATGAGTATTTAATGTGTCTGTATTAATTATGTTTGTGTGTATGTATTATATATGTGTCTGTGTATGTATTATGTATATGTGGTTGTGTATTATGTATATGTGTATGTCTATATGTATGTATGTGTGTGTGTATATGTGTGTATGTGTCTCTATGTATGTATATGTGTGTGTGCAGTATATATTAATACACTGACACAAGCTAAAGTCACTACACTGTACTGCATCATGGGAGGTTGGGCGTACAAACTCGTTATGGGCGTTGTTTATTTACCTACGTCACACCTCCAAGACCTCAATTGACCTCCAAGACCTCAAGTGGCCTCCAAGACCTCAAGTGACCTCCATGACCTCAAGTGGCCTCCAAGACCTCAAGTGACCTCCAAGAACCTCAAGTGACCTCCAAGACCTCAAGTGGCCTCCAAGACCTCAAGTGGCCTCCAAGACCTCAAGTGACCTCCAAGACCTCAAGTGGCCTCCAAGATCTCAAGTGACACCCAAGATTTCATGTGACCTCCAAGATTTCATGTGACACCCAAGATTTCATGTGACCTTCAAGATCTCAAGTGACCTCTAAGACCTCAAGTGACCTCCAAGACCTCAAGTGACCTTCAAGACCTCAAGTGACCTTCAAGACCTCAAGTGACCTTCAAGACCTCAAGTGACCTCCAAGACCTCAAGTGACCTTCAAGACCTCAAGTGACCTCCAAGACCTCAAGTGACCTCTATACATATTGATTGGAAACATAAACATGAACTTTAACAGAGAAATGAGTTCTTTTGTTGACTTTAGGTTTGAGTGGTCGAGGCATTGGTCTAAAAATGGCTCCTCTAACCTAAAATGGCTCTCCTCTGGTGTAAAATGGCTCTCTTCTGTGTCTAAAATGTGTGTGTGTGTGTGTGTGTGTACCTATGTGTGTGTGGATCTTTAATTAGTAGTTGCTATTGTTAACCTTTTGTATTCTGTCTCTCTCTCTCCTCTCTCCCTGTTAACCTTTAATAAACATTATCTTATCACTAATGACACACTAAAGCTGTCGACGCTACGATAATTTCACCATCAGGACACGGGATAATATGGGACACGGGATAATATGGGATGGGATATTGACATATGGACACGGATAATAGACATGGATATGGGACACGGATAATATGGGACATGGGATAATATGGGACATGGGATAATATGGGACATGGGATAATATGGGACATGGGATAATATGGGACATGGGATAATATGGGACATGGGATAATATGGGACACGGATAATATGGGACACGGGATAATATGGGACATGGGATAATATGGGACACGGGATAATATGGGACACGGGATAATATGGGACACGGGATAATATTGTGTTAACTGTTTTAAATTATAAAACCAAAAAAACCAATGTATATATATAAATTGTGTTTTTAATAGTATGACAGGTAGGAAATCCAAGTTAAGCCATTAAATTCAAGTAATGGCGTCGTAAAGCTATTAAAGAGTGGTTGTAATTTTTGTTTTAACCTTCTCTGTATTCCTATTTCTTCCTTGTGAGTAGATGTTTGTGGGCTTAGGTTAGGTTAGGTTTGGTTAGGTTAGGTTTGGTTAGGTTAGGTTTTGGTTAGGTTAGGTTGGGTCTCATCACCCTTGGCTAAACATCAACATTCATCCTCTGAAGCTGTCGTTCATTACTCCGTTCCTGGTGTATTGAGACGCTTATACGTTACATTATACTTAGCATTCTGACTTAACCTAACCAAAACTAACGTAACCTAACGTAAACTAACGTAGGTGTTTTATGTAGGTAATGGAGAGTTAATGTAGAGTTTTAAAGTTAAGTTAGGTTAGATTATGAAAAGTTAGGTTAGGTTAGAACTATAAAAGGTTAGGTTAGGTTATGTTAGGTTATACTAGATTCCTTTAGGTTATATTAGGTTATACTAGATTCCTTTAGGTTATATTAGGTTATACTAGATTCCTTTTGGGTTATATTAGGTTATACTAGATTCCTTTAGGTTATATTAGGTTATACTAGATTCCTTTAGGTTATATTAGGTTATACTAGATTCCTTTAGGTTATATTAGGTTATACTAGATTCCTTTTAGGTTATATTAGATTCCTTTGGGTTATACTAGATTCCTTTAGGTTATATTAGGTTATACTAGATTCCTTTAGGTTATATTAGGTTATACTAGGTTCCTTTAGGTTATACTAGATTCCTTTAAGTTATATTGGTTATACTAGATTCCTTTAGGTTATATTAGGTTATACTAGATTCCTTTAGGTTATATTAGGTTATACTAGATTCCTTTAGGTTATATTAGGTTATACTAGATTCCTTGGTTATACTAGGTTATACTAGATTCCTTTAGGTTATATTAGGTTATACTAGATTCCTTTAGGTTATACTAGATTCCTTTAGGTTATATTAGGTTATACTATATTCCTTTAGGTTATACTAGATTCCTTTAGGTTATATTAGGTTATACTAGATTCCTTTAGGTTATATTAGGTTATACTAGATTCCTTTAGGTTATACTAGATTCCTTTAGGTTATACTAGGTTATACTATATTCCTTTTAGGTTATACTATATTCTTTAGGTTATACTAGATTCCTTTAGGTTATACTAGGTTATACTAGATTCCTTTAGGTTATACTAGGTTATACTAGATTCCTTTGGTTATACTAGATTCCTTTTGGGTTTATACTAGATTCCTTTTAGGTTATACTAGGTTATACTAGATTCCTTTAGGTTATATAGGTTATACTAGATTCCTTTAGGTTATACTAGATTCCTTTAGGTTATATTAGGTTATACTAGATTCCTTTTAGTTATATGGGTTATACTAGATTCCTTTAGGTTATACTAGGTTATACTAGATTTCCTTTAGGTTATACTAGGTTATACTAGATTCCTTTGAGTTATACTAGGTTATACTAGATTCCTTTAGGTTATGTTAGGTTATACTAGATTCCTTTGGGTTATACTAGGTTATACTATATTCCTTTAGGTTATACTAGGTTATACTGTTTTGGTTATACTATATTCCTTTAGGTTATATTAGGTTATACTAGATTCCTTTAGGTTATACTAGGTTATACTAGATTCCTTTAGGTTATACTAGATTCCTTTAGGTTATACTAGATTCCTTTAGGTTATACTAGATTCCTTTAGGTTATACTAGGTTAGGTTAACTAAAGAGACTGTGTCGTGACGTGTATATAC